CACGTAAACGCGAAACAGCCGTGGTGCACACCACCTGGCTTGCATCGGGGGGAAGTGAATTACCGCTCCGTTCCATATCTGGGGCCCGGTTCCGTTTTTAGCGTTCCAAGATGTTTCACAGGCGTATTGACCCCGCTCGTAAATACCCAGTTTACTCGCCATTAATGCTACGTCGCATTACACAGCGAGGATTTCAGTGTCCGCAACGCGCATTTATTTATTCCTCGGCGGTATTCGCTAACTGACAACAGATGCCAATCGAAACTCTCGAGTCAAGGTGCCTTGCTGCTCAAACGAGCAATGGCATTGCTGGAATTCCAATATATTGAAGATTGCCACATTCCTACGACTGGGAAAATTCTCCCCGTGAGACAATCCACTGCCGAACTGAAGACAAATGTACGACTCGCCGTCCGACGGGTCTCTTCGGGGTTGCTAACCGCGTGTCGCTCGGCACGATGTCCGTCGTTCCGCTCCACGTGCCGCGTCGGAGCTTCTTCATCGGATTCACTTCCCAAAGAAGCTCCTGGCACGTGGGGTGCGCGAAACGTCAGACGTCGTGCCCCGCGACACTGCCTGCACAGCAGCACGGAAACCCATTTAAGCATCGCCGACTTTACCGGCCCCAGAGGGACGATCGATGCTCTGCACTGACCCACGTGACGTGATCGTTCCGCACACTCGGGCAGCGAGATGTGGACCTGGCAGATTCACGGTCAGCAGTCCATCGGCATGGAACTCACCTACCCACTCACCTACCTACCCACTCACCTACTCAGCAGTCCATCGGCATGGAACTCACCTGCCCACTCACTTACCTACTCACCCACTCGTTCGCTCACTCAGATACCCACCCACCCACTCACTCCCCTACCCACTCACCTACCTACCTACTCACCCACTCGTTCGCTCACTCAGATACCCACCCACCCACTCATTCCCCTACCCACTCACCTACTCAGCAGTCCATTGGCATAGAACTCACCTACCCACTCACCTACCTACCTACCTACTCAACCACTCGTTCGCTCACTCAGATACCCACCCACTCACTCCCCTACCCACTCACCTACCTACCTACTCAACCACTCGTTCGCTCACTCAGATACCCACCCACTCACTTCCATACCCACTCACCTACCTACCTACTCAACCACTCGTTCGCTCACTCAGATACCCACTCACTTCCCTACCCACTCACCTACTCAGCAGTCCATTGGCATAGAACTCACCTAACCACTCACCTACCTACCTACTCAACCACTCGTTCGCTCACTCAGATATCCACTCACTCACCTAACCACTCACCTACTCAGTGGTCCATCGGCATGGAACTCACCTACCCACTCACCTACCCACCCACTCGTTCGATCACTCAGATACCCACCCACTCACTCACCTACCCACTCACCTACTCATCAGTCCATTGGCATGGAACTCACCTACCCACTCACCTACCTACCTACTCAACCACTCGTTCGCTCACTCAGATACCCACCCACTCATTCCCCTACCCATTCACCTACTCAGCAGTCCATTGGCATGGAACTCACCTACCCACTCACCGACCTACCTACTCAACCACTCGTTCGATCACTCAGATACCCACCCACTCACTTCTCTACCCACTCACCTACTCAGCAGTCCATCGGCATGGAACTCACCTACCCACTCACCTACCTACCCACTCAACCACTCGTTCGATCACTCAGATACCCACCTACCCACTCACTCCCCTACCCACTCACCTACTCAGCAGTCCATTGGCATGGAACTTACCTGCCCAATCGCTCACCTACCCACTCACCCACTCGTTAGATCACTCAGATATCCACCCACTCACTCACCTACCCACTCATCTATTCAGCGGTCAATCGCCATGAAACTCACCTACCCACTCCCATACCTACTCACCCACTCGTTCGCTCACTCAGATACCCACCCAACTCACTCACCTACCCACTCACCTACTCAACGGTTCATCGGCCCAGAGCTCATTGCCGCTGCATGATGTTCGAGGCTCTTCACATACATTTCACCAGTTCAGTAGAAGATGCAAGACAGAGCTGTTTAATAGAATCAGAATCTTTATTTAGACCGCAGGAGGAATCCATTGAGCCGTGAAGCTCTTTTGCACAGATCCACAGTTGGGGCACGGGGTCAGCGAGCTACAAGGGCAAACAATACAGGAACACGACAGGGTACAACATAGTGAAATGATAAACAAGTCACAGCATAAAAATAATTAATTAATAATATATATATTTCAAGTACAAATTACATTAAGTACAAACATTGCAGCCGATTTGTCAACACCAGATGCAAGCTTGGGCAAGGCAATACAACAAACACAGCTCCAGGCCACACCAGCACATTGAGCGATTACAATGTGCGAACACCACGTGATCGTGAGAACCTCGGTCAGGGGTTCTCATCAATGGAGGAACACCACGTGGTCGTGGAGAAACCCGCGCTCAGGGTTCTCATCAATGGGAGGAACACCACGTGGTCGTGAGAAAACCTCCGGTCAGGGTTCTCATCAATGAGGAACACCACGTGGTCGTGAGAACCTCGCTCAGGGGTTCTCATCAATGGAGGAACACCACGTGGTCGTGAGAACCTCGGTCAGGGGTTCTCATCAATGGAGGAACACCACGTGGTCGTGAGAACCTCGGTCAGGGGTTCTCATCAATGGAGGAACACCACGTGGTCGTGAGAACCTCGTCAGTGGGTGTCTCATCAATGGGAGAACACCACGTGTGCGTGAGAACCTCCCCGGTCATGGGTGTTTATTATTTTATTACTTCCCTTCTACGTGACTTTACTGAAAGAACCAAGAAGATGAACACCGCTTGGTCGTGAGAACCTCGGTCAGTGGTTCCCATCTAGAGGGACGCGGACCCCTGGGCGAACGTGGCGATGTCCAAGGGGGTACGTGAGATGATTTAAAAGCGTGTGAAATTATATTATACGTGGTGAACAATCGCGTATGAATCTGCCGATATAAAATAACTACCATAACGTTTAAATCTATATGGTAACCCAGAACGGTATATTAAACACATTCCTGCGGAGGGAGCTGGTAGAAACGTTGGATGTTGCTCGGTCAATGGCCAGGGTCAACGGCGGCGTGGTGTATTCCGCAAATATGCCCGACTGTGAGGGCGGGCACAAGCCGGCGTGAGTAGGTTAAACGTTGAGTTTTATAAGGGCACCACGGGGTGATCAGCCCCTCCCCACCCAGCCCCACCCCTCTCACCCCCCACCCAGCTGCACCCTTCCCACCCAGTCCCTCCCCACCCTCCCCTCCCCACCCAGCCCTTCCCAACCCTCCCCACCCAGCCCCTCCCCACCCAGCCCCTCCCCACCCAGCCCCACCCTCCCCACCCAACCCCTCCCCACCCTCACCTCCCCACCCAGCCCTTCCCAACCCTCCCACCCACCCTCTCCACCCTCCCTCCCACCCAGCCCCACCCTCCCCACCCAGCCCCTCTCCACCCTCCCCTCCCCACCCAGCCCCTCCCTCCCCACCCAGCCCCTCCCTGCACGACGGATGGACGAACACAATAATCCCCTGTGGGCTGGTGTAACCAGAGGTTCCTACCAGTAAAACCTTTCTAAACTCATTGGTCGTAAACAATGTGGGTTTCCAAGAGTAACCAGCGAGCGCAAACAAATGACATTACGCGTTGTGGAGCATCCGTTCAATTTGTATTTTTATTCGGTCGCAGTTACTCGCTCGTTAGGATTACCTCACAAAATGGACAAATGGTTAAATATTGACGTTCATTATTCATACATCTTATTTCTCAGAACCATGCTGGGTCAGCCAAGGGCTTACTCGGCCGAAACTAAATTCAACGAGGGGTGATAAGCACAATAGCCAAAACAAGGTTGAGAACCACTGGCCCAGGTTCTAAAAGCTGCACGTTCATGAATGCACGGCACTGATCTTCTTGGTTCTTTCGGTAAAGTCACGTAGAATAGATGGCGGTGGTGGCATCTACAGCAGCACAACGTGAAGAACCAGTGACATCTATATCTGCAGAACATGTACAACCAGTGGTATCTACATCTAAAGGAGATTATACAACTGTTAAAGCCATTCCCATGTTTGGAATCGACAGGAGTAAAGTTGGACTTACGAACAGATCGACTTGCGAACAGACCTCTGGAATTTTTCGATTTAAAGCTTTCATGACTGCAGAGATTCATCTTCTTGGTTCTTTCGGTAAAGTCACGTAGAAGGGAAATAATAAAATAATAAAAATAAACATTATAAAATAAAAATTATCACGACGTTTCGGCCACAACACAAGCAGCCGTCCTCAGGTGAAGACACAGAGCTGTCGGAAAGACAGCGTCCTAATGAACACCGCTAAGCTTGGCAGCGTATATTTAAACTGAGCCGGGGGAGGAGAGCGCCTTGACAAAGGAGTTTACATATCAACAGCGAAATAAAGCATATTGATGGAAAATGCAGATATGGGATTAGTCACTCCTTGTGGAATGTGTACGTGATGGGGGGGGGGGGGTCTTAAAGTCATATTATGCTCGTGTATTATGTAGGATTAGCAGTGATAAAGGGGAATTTTTATTTTTATTATGTTTTATTTTTATTATTTTATTATTTCCCTTCTACGTGACTTTACCGAAAGAACCAAGAAGATGAATCCCTGCAGTCACGAAAGCTTTAAATCGAAATTGTACGCTCATTGTTCCCCGACAATTTAAAAACGTCATTAGAACTAATTTGCCAGTACCAAAATATAATTATAATAATAGGGTTTTTTTATACTCTTAGGTGTTTTCGGTAAAGTCACGTAGGTAAAAAATAAAATTAAAATAATTTTACTTTTATTAATTTAAACTACATGTTTTACCTACGTGATTTTACCGAAAAAACCTTAGAGTATGAATCCCTGCAGTCACAAAAGCTTCAAATCGAAATTTATACGGCACTGACATACGCCGCCCGCTCCCTTTGCGTCGCTGCGCAGTTCGAGGGCTGCCCCAAGGCGTTCTCGCGGCTGGAGAACCTCAAGATCCACGTGCGGAGCCACACGGGCGAGCGGCCCTACCTGTGCCAGCAGCCGGGCTGCAGCAAGGCCTTCAGCAACTCGAGCGACCGCGCCAAGCACCAGCGCACGCACCAGGACACGGTGGGTGCAGCAGCAGCAGCAGCGACAGCGACGACGACGACGATGACCCCGCCGACGTGCAAACGCCGCCGCGCCGATGCAATCTCCGCGCCGCGTCAGGCCATCGCGTGGAGGGATCGATGGTGGTTTTGGGGTGGTGGGGAGGGGGGCCCTTTATTGGGACCCCCCCAAATACGAATGGTTTTTGGCTGAAAAAATAACTTAAAACGTACGTGTTGAGTCTGGCGTTCGCAGATGAAAACTAAATACATTTTATGAAATGTACGTTTGCAGGTCAGCCCAAGTACTATTTTAATCGCGTGGGTTTTAATGTAAAAATTTAGGATCGTTTTTACGTACAGGAGCCTTGGGTTTTCAAAAAGGCTACCTTTAAGGAAATAAAGTGTAGTTGATTAGTTGATTTCCACTGTACGTACATCCGAACTGAGCTGCACCGAGCTGCCTCGCCACGGCCCCGGTGCGGTTTGGTTGTTTTTTTCCCACCGGAGAAGCTGAGCCGTGCTGCCGTCATCGCATGCATCGAAGGGGTCGAGACGCCGATGTGGCCTGACTGACGTCACATGCAATGCGCGCGGAATTAGCACCTCACCTGGCCCTGCTTGGCCCCGAGCCAGATTCAAATCAAATGCCTTTGGAGGCCAGCGTAGCACGTTTCAGTATTCGCTCGGCTTGTGTGTACGTGTGTGAACTTCTTTCACACTGTACGTAGTCAACCGTGCTAATCGGAGGTGCGGTCTTGGCAAGTAACCTGTGGGAAACCACTCAGTACCGTTAGGGCCCTGCGCTGGCTCGGCTCAGATGTGCCAGTGGAAAGAGCTGTATTCCCATGACCATTGTCAAACTCGACTTGGTAGACCGGAAACAGCCAGAGTCTGGCCCAGGATGAGTGCCCGGGCTTAGATCTGGGTTCCCCGTGCTCCATGAGGCGGGAGAAAAGAGTGCCTTGTGTGGTGCGTATTGATTGTTGCATTTTGACTTGGGGGTGCCACGGTGGCGAGATTGTTAACTACTCTAGTCGTAGGTTTTTACCCTTTTAAACTGGTACAAAACTGACACCTTTATTCAAGGCATCATGTTTGCAATAACCACAACACAAGTAGTCAAAAAAGCAAACAAAAAGAAGCAACTCTGATAATGATAATAATATGCACTGTCCTTGAAGTTGATTGGTCCACAATAGAGACTAGGCTTTCTTTAGAGCCTAGTCCTCATTGGTGTTGGACCAGATGACACCAGAAGGCGTACAACTCAAACACAGTGCAATATCAGAGTATTGAGAGCTCGGGGTAAGCATTTACACTATGAGATCTCTTTTACTCTCTCTTTTACCGGTATACATGAGACCGTGGGTTCGAACCCAACCCTGACGCGTGTATATTTTGAGTATGCATCTCCTCCACGTGGTTGTGTGGATTTGTATCCAGATGCTCAGGTCTTTTTCTGTGCACATTTATAATCAACATGCTTTTGGAGTATTTGGCTGCTTTAAATTTCCATGTGCTAAGCCACTGCGTTGAGCTATCATTTGTGGCCAGGTCGCTTCTGAAAACGAGCTACTGAGCTCAGTGAGCCTTACCTGGTAAATTATAAATAGTTTAGCTTTCGTTTCGCTTTTACTTTGCCGTGCTAATATGTTACTGTATGTACGTATCTTGAACTTTATGCGCACCGTGCGTAACCAAACCGTGCTCGTGTGAGTAAATAACCTCGAGTTTTCTTCTTGTTGTTTCAAGCTATCATTGTGAAAGGAACAGGTAAGTGGTGGAAATTCCACATTCATATGGCAAGGACCAATACACTCATAGAATAAGCTCGTGTTATGCCGTGAGTATAAGGAGGGCTTCCCCGTGCCTTACAGGTCTTGGGGGTCATTTGATGTCCTGCAGAGCCAGTGCTGGAAATTCCACCTTCCTATGACGGGGGTGAGGTCTGTCCACAGGACAACCGCTGTTTGACTTCCCCACTAAGTGGTACCGATTTTATCGACCCCGGGGGGGGGGGTGATGGGGCTGAGTCAACCGCCAACTAGGATTTGAGGTCGTAACCTTCCTTTTGTGAGCTGCTCACTCTACCAACTGGCCGGACTCCCCATGCTGAGATATCACCGCGGGCAAGAGGCGTTCTCTCACAGACGTTAGCGATGCTTAAGAAAGCACGATGCCAACAGTATTCGGAGGCTATACAGGGACTCTTCTACTTACGAACGAGTTTGGTTCCAGAGGTCTGTTCGTAAGTCGATTTCTTCGCAAGTCCAACTTCACCCCTGTCGATTCCAGACGTGTTGTACGGCATGTACACTAAACACGGGGAATGGCTTAAAAAGTTGTATAATCTCCTGTAGATGTAGATGCCACTGGTTCTTCATGTTCTGTAGATGTAGATGCCACAGGTTCTTCATGTTCTACAGATGTAGATGCCACTGGTTCTTCACTCTACAGATGTAGATGCCACTGGTTCTTCATGTTCTGCAGATGTTGATGCCACTGGTTCTTCACTCTACCGATGTAGATGTCACTGGTTCTTCATGCTCTACAGATGTCGATGCCACTGGTTCTTCACGCTCTACAGATGTCGATGTCACCGGTTCTTCATTCTCTACAGATGTAGGTGCCACTGGTTCTTCACGTTCTGCAGATGTAGATGCCACTGGTTCTTCACGCTCTACAGATGTAGATGCCACTGGTTCTTCACTCTACAGATGTAGATGTCACTGGTTCTTCATGCTCTACAGATGTAGATGCCACTGGTTCTTCACTCTACAGATGTAGATGCCACTGGTTCTTCACTCTACCGATGTAGATGTCACTGGTTCTTCACGCTCTATAGATGTCGATGCCACCACCGCCATCTCTCGGTCCAAACAGGCAACTGAACATACGGACATGTTTGTTCGTATCTCTGAAAGTTCGTAAGTCGAATACTCGTAAGTAGAGGAGCCCCTGTAGTTAATATTTTATTGTATTTGTTTATTCACAGTATATATACGGCGAATGTGTCCGTAGATATAGAATTTGGAGCAGTGGCGCGCAGTAGTCATCACGACACTTCGTGAACAACCCGGCGGACCTGAGTTTGATCCGCAGCCACGGCTAACTTCAGTTCAGGAGCGCTATCCCAACCGGTCGGTCCTGCTGGGCTCCCAACTCAGCAGCCTGCCGAGCCCGGTGTGGTGAAGTATTCATACTCTTTGTTCTTTCGGTGAAGTCACCATGTAGGTAAAAAATGAAATTTAAATTAATAAAAATAAAACAATAAAATCACGACGTTTCGGAGGCAACACAAGTCTCCGTCATCACTTGTGTTGCCTCCGAAACGTCGTGATTTTATTTTTTATTAATTTTAATTTCATTTTTTACCTACGTGACTTTACCGACTGAACTAAGAGTGTGAATCCTTGCAGTCACGAAAGCTTCAAATCTAGAATGGTGAAGTATTGTCAAACGACCCCAACGAGCGACAGGGCACGGGGAGGCCTTCATCCAGCAGTGGATAGACAAGAGGATTTATTCATGAACAGGTGCATTGTGGGGGGTCGGGGGGGGGGTTTCGGTGAATTGAGTTGAGAAACGCGACTTGAAGAAGTGCGGATCAGCTGTTACTGGGTCACCTGCTGACCTACGTCAACCACCACCTCCTGTCCTCCCCCCTCCTAACCTGCCCCCCCCCCCCCGTACATGCGCCACAGAAGCCGTACGTGTGCCAGGTGCCCGGCTGCAGCAAGCGCTACACGGACCCCAGCTCCCTGCGCAAGCACGTCAAGGCACACGCGGCGACGGTGGCGCAGGGAGAGGCCCCTCCAGGGCACGAGGTGTCGGCATCGTCGTCATCACCGTCATCATCGTCGTTGTGGTCGTCGCTGTCATCGTCATAACCAGCATCATCATCGTCGTGGCTGTGATCGTCATCACCCCGTCATCATCGTCGTCGTCATAACCAGCGTCATCATCAAGGCTGTCATCATCATAACTAGTGTCATCATCGTCATAACCAGCATCATCATCATCATCAAAGCTGTCATAGCCATAGCTGACATCATCATCACCATCATCATGGTTGTCATATTCAAAACCAGCTTAATCGTTTTCACAGAGTTAATGGTTCTGTAGACTCTGGCTGGTAGATCCAGTGTTGACAGGCGAGTGTGTAAGAATGTGTGAGTGTGCACAATTCTGTGACTATTAATTTGAGGGTTTAGTCTACAGCATCATCATCATCAACAGCAACATCATTCTCATTGTCAAAGTCATCGTCCTTATGGCATCATCATCGTAATTGCTGTCGCCATGATCATCATCATTGTTTGCATGATTAGTCGTTGTCTCTGATCATCATAGCCAATGGCGGAGCCAGGATTTCCAGGTAGGGTGGGCAACCCCTCCAGCAATGAAAAATGATAGGAGTTGTTAGTAAGTAAGGACTTGTCCCTTGCTTTTTATTCAACCGTGTGTGATCGGCATCGCGCTCGCTGAAGGTGAATGCCTTCAGGGAAGTCGTGTGCTGTATACGCAACTGCGCACAATTCTGAGTCACTTATCACTGCTTTGCCGTTACTTATTGCCAATTATGGACTCAGACTATTGTACTATCATCTCATAGAGTCCCTGCCACGTAATAATATGCTACACAGTGGCAGTCGCAAAATGCCGATTTATTACTAATAAACCCCAAAGATCCGATCGAAATTAGGGATTTCGATCAGATCATTGGGGGGGGCACGTGCCACCCCACCCCCCACTGGCTCCGCCAGTGATCATAGCCGCGCTTAATCGTCATCAAAATGATAATTGCCACCGTCGCTGTCATCTCAACGCTGCCCCTCGCTCTCCCCGTTGTTTCTCCGTGCAGTTCCGTCCCGACCCAGGGGCCCCACCGCCAGAGCACGTGACCCCCGCTGCATCCACATGCACGGAGGAGCTCTTTACAGGTGAAGGGTCTGGTGGCAGGAGGGGGGGGGGTACCATTGAGCCAGCTCACAGCCACACTGAAATTGACATCCCGAGTACTTGGAAAGATCGTGTGAACCTCCCTTCATTTCGGTACCAAAATTAAATGATGGTATCCCGCCTGGCATCGCAAGAGCATCTCAGCTACTGTGGACTAAGAAACAAAACACCGGATGTTTAAAAGCTTTGGTCCCCGTTCATAAAAAAGATATGGTCCTCATTCATAAATGGGCACCATATCTTTTGGTCCACGTTTATGAATGGGAGTGCCATGGTGGCGAGATGTTAACTACCTCGCCTGGTGTACAGGAGGTCTTGGGTTCGATCCCGACTCTGACACCTGTATATTTGGAGTTTGCATGCCTCTCTCTCCCCGTGGTCGCGTGGATTTTTCTCCGGGTCCTCCGGTTTTCCCCTCCACATTTAGAGACATGCATTTAGAGCGTTTGTCTGTTATAAATTTCCACTTGACGATAAGCAACTTCGTTGAGCTATCATTTGTGGCCAGGTCGCTTCTGAAAAAGAAGCTATATATCTCACTGTGCATAATAGAGTTTTTTTTGGGTTAGATCGCGTAAATAAATGTGTCGTTAAAACCCGCCACCACCCGACACAGCCAACTAGTAAGGGTTGTCACGTAAACAGAACATTCGTCACGAGTAGAGCACTCACCGGTGTGTTGGAGAGCCAAGCCACAACATTTACAATCTTGAGTACGACGTTTCGCCAGTAATTACAACCAGCTTCATCAGGCGACAGTCAGATTTGTGGAGAAGTCCTCCTGTTTCGTTCCTTATATAGAGGCGTAGATGTGGTGACCACATTCTGCAGTCTTGAGTCGACGTACATGATGCATGCGCATTATGCGAGCCCTTTGATCTTGTCCTTCCTGTCCATTGTGTGTATTAAAATAGCCGTAGCAACGGTAATCCCTATTGAAGTATGGTGGCCTGTATAGGCATGCATTTAAACAATGTATTATTTGATGATTCGCTTCCACGCAGCACTAAGTCGGTAGCTATCCGAACGGTTAAAATAATTTTTATTTATTTCAATTTCGATAGATGCTCCAATTAGTCTTGGCCAGTAGTAGACAGTTAACGACACATTCATATATTTACGCGAACTAACACCTAAAAAACTCTATTATGGATGATATTAGTCATGAAAGCCTACGTGTGAAACAGGTTAGATCATGTAAATATGAATGCGTCGTTAAACCTGCCACTCCCCGACACAGCCAACTCGTAATGTTCGTCACGTAAACAAAAAATGCCAACTCCTTACTAGTTGGAGAGTAAACCCACTACAACATTTACAATTCCAGTACCGTGACGTTTCGCCGGTAATTACAACCAGCATCGTCATCAGGTGACAGCCACAGAGCTGTAGAGAAATCCTCCTCCTGTTTCAGGAGGAGCTCAGCGTGCCTTGCATCGAATTTTTTTTGTAGTTTATAAACACAGTGACCATGACTGCCCGCATCATCATCATCTTCAGGATAACGAGCTTCTGGCTTTACCTGTCCTCTACGCCGCTTGTAATTGGCGCCCCCCCCCCCCCCAAACTAAATCGTATCCTGACCCCTGGTCTCCACCTCTCCCGCAAAATCCGCAAACTCCCCCTCTCGCTCGTTGTTTTCTTTCGTTAATAACAAAAAGGAAAGAGTCGCTCATTAGTGGCAAACAGTGCGCGCAACGGACGGGGTGGAAACTTACACGCCGTGCGGAGACGTGTTCCGTCGGACGCGACGTCGACGCCGTTTTGAAAAGCTAAAAGTGGCATCGTTTTCCCGTCGCGTTTCCACCACCATCGCTGACTGCCCCGTGGTGTGAGGGGGGTCCCCCTGTGTCTCCCCCCCCCCCCCCCCCATCAGAGACGGAGCGATCTCGCGACGCGGCTAGATATCGGACGGTCGCAGACGGCGCAGCGAGGTAAGCGGATGCCTCGCTTTGAAACAATGGCTGTGGATTCATGCAGGGACTCCTCTACTTGCGAACATTCGACTTACGAACAATCACAGATGCGAACAAACCTGGTCCGTATGTTCAGTCGTAAGTTAAACCGCCGCGCAATAGATGGCGGTGGTGGCATCTACAGCAGCAGCAGAACGTGAAGAACCAGTGCCATCTATATCTGCAGAACGTGTACAACCAGTGGTATCTACATCTAAAGGAGATTATACAACTGTTAAAGCCATTCCCCGTGTTTAGTGTACATGCCGTACAACACGTTTGGAATCGACAGGAGTAGAGTTTGGACTTACGAACAAATCGACTTACGAACAGACCTCTAGAACCTAACTCGTTCGTAAGTAGAGGAGTCCCTGTATCGCCTCTGAATACTTTTGGCATCGTGTGCTGTAAGCATCTCCAGATGCTCTACGTGAGCGTCTCTTTGTATCGAATAACGCGAACGAAGCGTCACACATTGTTGATATTTCTCTTTCTTTTACTCGTTTTTTTTCTTCCCTCCCTTCAAAATACAAAAGATGTCGTCTGCGGGAGAACGCCTCTTGTCTGCGGTGATATGGCGGGCCGGTATCGCCGATGCTCTTATCCGCTATTTTACTCATCTAACCCGCGGGGTCAAAAAAATAATAATTAGTGGAAAACCTGTGGGTAATGGGGGTGATTTGCCGCGCGACTCCTCGCATCGAAGACCTCTGCACGTCGATTTCATTACGGGGATTTATTTGACCATACTTCACCACGCTGGTCAGTACGAGCCAGTGAAAAGGTTGGGTAGGGGGACGGGGCCCAGGAACGTTTCAAATTTCACTCGCCACTGATGTTAGCCGTGGCCGGGAATCGAACTTGGGTTTGCCGTATCCAAAGCGCAGTGCGTCATCATCATCATCGTCGCAACCATTGTGCGCTATTGCACCCCTCCGTTATAATCATCATAAACTAAACCATTTTTTTAATTTTACCAGGTATGGCTCACTGAGCTGTTTAACTCTTTTTCATAAGCGACCTGGCCACAAATGACAGCTCAACGAAGTGGCTTATCGCGTGCACAACGTAATTGCGGGGACCGGCGCCCGAGTGTCAACGACAACAATGCCGGTTAACGTTACCCGTGGACCTCATCTGTTTCGTGACTCAAGCGAGGGAGGTGGCGGTGGCAGGAAGGGGTGGCGGGGAGCTGGGGTGGGGGGTGAGGGGTGGTGGTGGTGAAAACGTGGCCGTAGCGCCGCTCAATTTACGACGCGGTGTGGCATCGCGCTGTCTCGCATCACGCTCCCAACTCGCGCCGCCGTCAAATCGCCCCGGCGCGCCGCTCCGCCACCCCGCCACCCCCTTGCTCATCGTCAAGGGGCTTCTCGTCTTAAAGCTTTCGTGACTGCAGGGATTCATCTTCTTGGTTCTTTCGGTAAAGTCACGTAGAAGGGAAGTAATAAAATAATAAAATAAAACATAATAAAATAATTCTCACGACGTTTCGGCCACAACACAAGTAGCCGTCCTCAGGTGAAGACAGGTCTGTCGAGGCGACAGCGTCTAAAAGAAAACGCTCCAAACGTGGTGGTGTTTTCATTTAGACGCTGTCGCCTCGACAGACCTGGTCTTCACCTGAGGACGGCTACTTGTGTTGTGGCCGAAACGTCGTGAGAATTATTTTATTATGTTTTATTTTTATTATTTTATTACTTCCCTTCTACGTGACTTTACCGAAAGAACCAAGAAGAAGGGGCTTCTCGTCGTTTCGTGGTTTTTTTCTTCTTCTGCGTGTGGTGTCAAACGTTGTCGAGCGACCGCAGCGCCGTAACTCCACACCCGGGTCCCCGCTGAGATTCTGTGAAACACAAGTGGCCTGTCCACTCTCCCAAACGCATCCCCGAGATCGATGGATTCGACTGCTCGTATTTTATTTTTTTGTAATTTCCCCCATCCCCCAACGTTATCCCGGTCGTGCTATATCGGCGTAATGTCACGAGGCCTGGAGAAGCGGATATCACAGAGCTAGATACCTTGTATATTACCTAAAAAGCGACTTCTGGTCCACGCAGAAAAATGTTCGTCACAGTCAAACCGATCTATCTCATTCCCAGCGCTGACATTTTGCCAAATGAAGTGCAGAACCCACATCTTTTTTGTTGTCGTAGCAATCATTTGGTGGTGGTGCCGAGGCCATCAACGCACGACACCTTTAATGAAAAACGAGGATTGCTTTGTGATGAACAATGAAGATTTAATACTCTTTGGTTCTTTCGGTAAAGTCACGTAGCTAGAAAAATAATAGATAACGACGTTTCGATCGCAACACAAGCAATCGTCATCAGGTGGGACAACCACAGCAAGAAAAAACTGCTGAGATAGGCCTACCTACGTGACTTTACCGAAAGAACCAAAGAGTATGGATTCCTGCAGTCACGAAAGCTTCAAATCAAGATTGCAGATTAAAAAATTTTCAAAAAATCCACGCTTTCGCGAAAAAAGCGCCGACGTTCATAATGCCCGGGGGGGGGGGGGTGAATTACCTCGAGGGAGATTACAACAACAACAACAAACCAAGCTGGCCGCAGCCAGTCCATCAAGTGAGCCTCCGTGTTGCTCAGGGGATGCTCCCCGCTGTGTAATGGGTCGCTGCACTGGACTTACGATCCAGAGGGCGCCGGTTCAATCTCCCGGGCGCAGCAGTTGAACGCAACAGTCAACATCTATTTTTGTTTTTATTGAGGCAACGTGCGGGCCCGATAGATCACGTTGTGGCGCACGTACACACGCCGTCAACACGACCCAAGCCGGTGATTAAAAGCACGGCGATAGAACGATGGGGAAGGGGACTCACTGCCCCAAACCCCACTGACTTTTGTGCCACCCTGTATATTATGATCGTCACCTGTACATACTAGCTCATCACCTTGAAGCGCTTTCAGATGCGCTTCTGCGGCCGTCTAGAACGCCTCTTCCTTCCTATATTAGCTAGCCACTGGAGCTATGCACTTTTAAATCAATCTAGATTGACGAACTCATTTGTTTAGAACTGCTTTTTGTGTTTAGTTTGTTGTCCTTCCCCCGCACCTCCGCTTAGCGCGGTTACCGAAGAAGTATCTTGTGCCTACTCAGTAAAACCATCGGTTTCCCAGTGGACAATAAACATCCCGTGAGGCAATGCGAAGAAGAGCGGGCCATGTGTGCTGGAGTCACGGTTCAAATTTTCCCAATTTACGAAAACAAAAAGCTAATTATTGAATTGTGTAAAACAAAAACAATCGGCGACAATTTCCGCCCCCCGCAAGGCAGGCTCCTCTGCGTACGCGTCTGTGAAACGCCACGCCGTCGTGATGGAATTTAGAATCTTTTATTTATCCTGCAGGAGAAATCCGACGAGTTACGATTCTCTGTTGCACAGATGTTCCAGGAAGGGGGCACGGGGTCAGTTTGGAGTGCAAAGTAATAGTAAGGGTAAACAAATCACTAAACACAAATATATAATCTTCTTGGTTCTTTCGGTAAAGTCACGTAGAAGGGAAATAATAAAATAATAAAAAGAAAACATAATATTGTATTATGTTTTATTATTATTATTTTTAACGTAATATTTTATTATGTTTAATTTTTATCATTTTATTATTTCCCTTCTACGTGCCTTTACCGAAAGAACCAAGAAGATCAATCCCTACAGTCACGAAAGAAGCTTTAAATCGAAAAAACCAAATATATAAGTAAATATATTGAAGCTAAACTGTTTCATTTTATTATGACAACCTTGCACTGTGAGCATGACGCGAATACCAAATGGGCTAAAATATTGTTCACAATTCACAGGACGGAGCAGTTGGCGATGCCTCCACCACCAACCTGTCACTCGGCTGTGCCGCAAACGCCAGCGCACCGGCTCGGCCCGTGCCACGTGGCGCACGCCCGTGCTGACCGCTACGCAACACTGTGCTCCTCCGGCCCTCCCGTCCGGAGCAACGACGCCACCACCTCCACCGGTTCCGCCACAATTTCTGCGTCACCGACGGGTGAGAGCCGGGTGTAGCTACCGAGTGTGCCGGCGGTGCACCTGCACCGGGCATCACCGTCCAGGTGGCGGAGCCGCAAAGAGGGGGAACGTGTCTTTACACGGGGCTCACAATTCATCCTGTGCAGCAGGGTTCACGTCAAGCATGTTGCCCTACCACCACCACCCTTCTTTTCACACACCCACTCACTCACTCACCCACCCACTCAGAAACTCAACTATTAACTCACCCATTAACTCTCCCACCCACTCACTCACCCACCCCACCCCACAGGATCACAGTCCAGTTCGTACTCCAATGCATTTTGCCTCAATGCCCCTAGTAGAGTCACGCAAGCCCCCCCCCCCGTGACAACCTGGAGAGCATGGATGTCACCCATCTAAGCAGTATCCAGACTCAACCCTGTTTATCTTCCGAGGTATCATGAGATCGGGCGAATTCCGTGTGGTACATACGAGCCGATGATTGTTTTCAATCCCACTGTCCAGGTTACAGTGGCAACGTTTACGCCTTCCAGCTGCCTCTCAGCCTGAAGGCGGAGAACTCGCCCGCAACTGAAGCCATCACTGGCATCTCCACCACCACCACCACCCACACCGCCAGCTCCACTGCCATTGCCGTCTCACTCGCGCCAACTCTCCTGGCCACCGCCGCACAGCCACCGCACGTCACCGCACCCTGGGCACCAGCTCCGCACCAGCGGCGGGCTCCGTCTGCCGGAGCTCTGCGTGCCGAAGGCGGCGCCGGGCTTGGACCGATTCTGGGCTGCGAGCTCGAGGTGGGTGAGAATCGGCAGCAGCAGCAGCAGCAACTTCAGCAGCACAAACATCAACAGCACCAGCAGCAGCAGCAGCAGATTCAGCAGCACAAACATCAACAGCAGCAGCAGCAGCAGATTCAGCAGCACAAACATCAACAGCACCAGCAGCAGCAGCAACTTCAGCAGCACAAACATCACCAGCAGCAGATTCAGCAGCATCACGAGCAGCAGCGTCAGGATCAGCTGCATCATTACCCAGCGGTCACTCCGTGGGACACCTATGCAGGCTGCACCACCGCCGCGCAGGTCAAGTGCGACTTCCTGCAGGAGCAGTTCGCCACCCTGCCCGGAGCGAGCTTCCTGCAGCTGTCCCTCTAACGGGGTCTTCTTTATCGCACTTGGCAGCCCTTGGTGGCCTTTCGTGTGGCCCCTGGTGGCCCCTGGTGGCCTTTTTTGCGGCCCCTGACATGCCCCCCCCGCCCGCCCGACTATACACAAAGAGTGAAAACACCCCCGGTCATCATCGTGCTGCCGTCAAACCCCAAATGACTTCACATGTGTGGCGGTCCTCACACCGATGATGTCTTATGGGCGAATGTGACCCCCCCCTCCCGCCTCTAAAAACGTGTGAAGAATTTTGACCTCGTGGATGTCTTCGCACGTTCGTGCAAAGGTCACGGCCCAGCCGTGGGGCGTGTATGGCTGGCCTCGAAATGTAAAGGGGGTATGCCTATCAGTGCTGCCAAATATAGAGGCTGTATGTGTATCTGTGCTACGAAATGTAAATGAGGGGCAGGGGGGGTGGGCAGGGTTGCCACCTCTATAGATTCTCAAGGGATCGTCTTTGTTGAGAAGAGGTTTTCCACTTTTTTCTGTAAACAAATCAGCTGTGTTAAGATGTTAAAACACCAAACTAAAACCTATAACAAGGAATCATGTCTGCATTAACCACAATACTTGTGGTCAGAATGTAAGCAAAAAACATACTCTGATCGCATATGCATATGCTATCAGAGTGTGTTTTTCATATGCTATCAGTATTTTTGTTTGCATTTTGACCACAAGTATTGTGGTTAATGCAGACATGATTCCTTGTAAAAGGTTTCAGCTTTGTTGCCAGAAAAAAGGGGGAAACCCTATTCTCATATTTTGGGACAGGCAAAGGAGGTCCCATGATCGTCCTTTGTTGTTTTGTTTTTTCTCGCAGCAGCGGTTCTGGAGAAATCTCAGTTTCACACCTAGTAGGCTTTCGCAACCAATATTATTAATTAAATATTTTTTTTGGCGTTAGTTCGCGTAATTATCAATGTGTCGTTAACCCACCACCACCCGACACAGCCAACCAGTAAGGTCTGTCACGTTAACAAAACGTGCCAATTAATTACGACTTCAGCCCATTATCAATTTGTTTGCCAGATTTGGCAGTATCACCCGATGATGCTGGATGTAATTACCAGCGAAAGCGAAACGTGACAGTACTCAAATTGTAAATGTTGTGGATTTACTCTCCAACACACCGGTGGGCTGAAGTACTTACTAATTGGACACGTTTTGTCTATAATACAAACCTTACTAATGGGCTTTGTCGGGTGGTGGGAGGGGAAAAGTTTAAACGTCTTCCTGGGACATTGAAAGCCCCCAGCTTCTGTAATGTGCGTGATGATGCACCATTCAAGACAATGCGTTTACATGTTAGTTTTCCTCCTTATCTGGTATTATGATATATATTCTTCCCGTGATGCTTTGTTATGGTTATGCCTTAGAGGTGGCGACTCTCAGAGTTTTGGGGGGGCGGGCGTAGCGTCCCATTGTCTAGCAACAGGGGTCATTCGAGGATAACCTGCAGTCTGTTCTAGATGATTCTATAATGACAGATCTCTGGAGATGTTTTGGTTTATAAATGTTATACATTTGAACCGTGTTTTTATTGTACGTGTTCCTGTCATATGTTCGGTCCTTGCAGTATACTAATTGATGTTTCCGCCACATCATCATGTAAATAGTTATTCCTGTACAGCGTCTGGCGATATAATCTTAGTGTTAAAATGCTATATAAACACAACTATAAATAAAAATGCTAATTATTCAAACTATGACAGCGATGCAGTGGTAAGTGTCAAATACAGCAGCGTGGTTGTGATGTCACAGCTGCGCAAAGCAATCTGGGTATTTCCAAAATGGTAGCAAAGGTGGCACGTGCTCGCATGGTGAGGTTTCTGTTGAAGGAAACGGGTCAAGAGCAGCCGAAATAAATGGGTGCATCGACCTATCCGTGCTACCAAACATACAGGGCGCCACGGTGGCGGGATGTTAACTACCTCGCCTGGTATGCAGGAGGTTGTGGGTTCGATCCCGACCCAGAAGCCTGTTGTATATTTGAAGTTTGTGTGTCTCTCTCCCTGTGGTCGTGTGGATTTTTCTCCAGGTCCTCCGGTTTTCACCTCCACATTTAGAAACATGTACATTATTGGGAATATGTGGCTGCTAAAAATGCACACGCAATAAGTCACTTCGTTGAGCAATCATTTGTTGCCATGGTCGTTTTTGATAAAAAAAAAAAAAGAGCTGGCAAACATAGTTTAGTTTTACAGGTTTCGTGCATCCAGTTAAATGCGTTCCGGGAAATTTACAGGTTATCGGTTCGGCGAGTGCATGCGTGCGTTCGGGCGGTGCAAACGGTTCAAAAGTGGACGGAGAGTTTATCCTGAAATGCGTGCGTTACCTCTCCTTAAAACATCGGCCCTCCTGGCGGCAAGGCGTCATAACGCGGGTAGGACGAATGCGGATCGTGTAGTCGGGGAATAATAATACCATGATCAAAAATATAGGGTCTATATTCTTAGGTTTTTTCGGTAAAGTCACGTAGGTAAAACATTAAAATTAATAAAAATAAAATAAAACAAAAATCACGACGCTTCTAAAGGCAAAACAAGCTTCCGTCTTCAGGTGGAACCGTCACAGCCACGAAGCTTGTGTTGCCTCCGAAGCGTCGTGATTTTTGTTTTATTTTATTTTACTTTTATAAATTTTAATGTTTTACCTACGTGGCTTTACCGAAAAAACCTAAGAATATGAATCGTTGCAGTCACGAAAGCTTCAAATCTAGAAATATAGGGTCTGTTTAATTCACGTTCAAAATTTTTATTTTGACGACGCACAGGCTCACCTTGAATGACCCTCGTCCAATGGTACCACTGTACTGAATACATCGTCAAACCTTGCCGTCGTAGAAATCAATGCCAATAAACGTCCGATTGAAGTCCTTCAGTGCCCCCGCAATCTGAACTACGCAAATGCACCCGCTTGGGTACAAACTTGCAATTGCAGAATTCGTGCGGCGATGCACATCAAGTTCAAGTTCATTTATTATGTGTAGCCCTGTGAGCCATTCGGATCTTGAATCGGGTGCAACCGCAACAAACAAAAAACATGAACAAAAAACATCTTAAAGGGAATATGCGACTAAGTGCAAACAGAAAATCCAAGAAAAGACAGCAAAATATTGCAGAAAAAAACACCGTACACCAACGCTGTGTGCAAAAAACCCAGTGGGATGCAAGTCAAACAACAACATCGTGCCGAGAGCCAGACTTGAGGTCACTCGATCTCCCATCGCGTGATTACTCGCGAGCTGAAAGAGCCGGAGAGAAGTGTTATTAACTCTCCCCAACCCCCCCATCCCGTCTCCGCTATCGGTGCCGGGAAGACAACTCGCAGCTCCCGATCGGAAGCCGCTCTTCCACAACGCGCGCGGGCCGCAGAGTAACCAGGGTGAACTCAAAAATGTGCGCTCCTTCTTTTCGGCCCGACACATTGAATGCAGTCGAGCACCGCGGCAAAACAAAACAAAAAAATCCTTCATTGTGCTCCGACACACGCGAAAGGAGCGACAAAGGGGGGACAAGGGGGGGTTGGGGGCGCGACTCAAACGGGGATCTTCGTGGCCGTGCCTGGCCAGCCGAGCTGATCTCATCCTTCCGCATTTGCTTCCTTTGATTAATTCGGGCCGGAAAGGATCAGAGGGAGAGAAGACGGCGGCAGCGGCGGCGCCCTTTTTTTAATTAAAATCACAGGAGACGAGCAGCGTCACGGGCGTTGACAGCGCCTGCGGTGAACGGTGGCAGCAGCAGCATCAGGAGCAGCAGCGTCAGGAGCAGCAGCATCAGGAGCAGCAGCAGCAGCAGGAGAAGCAGCATCAGGAGCAGCAGCGTCAGGAGCAGCAGCAGCAGCAGGAGAAGCAGCATCAGGAGCAGCAGATTCAGGAGCAGCAGCAGGAGCAGCAGCAGGAGCAGCAGCAGCAGGAGCAGCAGCATCAGGAGCAGCAGCAGCATCAGGAGAAGCAGCAGCATCAGGAGCAGCAGCATCAGGAGCAGCAGCAGCAGCAGAATCAGGAGCATCAGCATCAGGAGCAGCAGCATCAGCATCAGGAGCAGCAGAATCAGCAGCATCAGCATCAGGAGCAGTATCAGGAGCAACAGCAGCAGCAGCATCAGCAGCAGCTGCTGATGCAACTCGAGGCGGCAACAGCAGGCAACGTTACAGCATTGGCCGATACAGCAGCAGAGTAACAACAGCGAAGGTCTATCAGACCCTTTTTTTGCCAGTATCGAGATGATGAAAAAAGGCTTTACCGTTTATGGCAATAATACAAGGGGTGTCAAGATGCTCAAACACCAAATACGACACACATTACAATGCATCGATTGTGCATTAACCACACATACTTGTGCCAAAACGTGCAAATATGCTTTGATGTTGCGTAATTGTCCTTCAAACTGATTGGCCTACACCAGAGAGCCTCTTTTTAAATCCTTTATATTAAGTTCACTTGCTTGCTTGCGCGCTTATGACCGTGCAAAATCTTTCGGTCGTTTTATAACCCACTTCCCGTGATCCAATCGAGCTGACATTTTGCACACAGACTCGTTGTGCGTGACAATGTATTTTCGTGAAAAAAAAAATTCCCAAATTTTTGCTTAATGGTGGCAGGCAATCATCTGACCCATAGGTGGCAGCCATCTCAAGCCAGAGGACGAGAGTACTCTAGCCGCCCGTTTCAAAGACCAATGTGGGCTGGGTTGTGGCCCATTGAACACGCATATAAAGGATTTATAGTGAAAAACTTTGTTTTTACGGGTTAATGTTTTATGGCTTTGTCTCACCGGTGCGAGAGACAAAAGGGAGACCAGAAGGACGCCAAAGGCAAACTGCACGAGTGCGATTCAAACGCCAAAGGATGAATATCGAATGCATGAATGGTTTAAAGCTTAATTGTAAAGCGTAAAGATATCGTTTGCGATGTAAACCCCGAAACAAAAGCTTGTTCACCGGAGTGGGTAGACACCCTGAACGTGACTTTACCGAAAGAACCAAGAAGATGAATCCCTGCAGTCACGAAAGCTTTAAATAGAAAAATTAAACCAAAGTATTTTTTTTATTTTACCACGTAAGGTCCACTGAGCTTTACAGCTTTTTCAGAAGCGACCTGGCCACACCATAGCCCAATGAAGTGGCTTATCGTGTGGATATTTGTAGCAGCCAAATACTCTAAACGCATGTTTTTAAATGCGGAGGGGAAAACCAGAGGACCAGGAGAACTTGCAAACTCCAATATGCAGGCGTCAGGGTTGGGATCGAACCCACGACCTCCTGTATACCAGGAAAGGTAGTTAACATCTCCTCGCCACTGTGGCAATCAGTGAACATAAGACCACTTCTGCCCCGTTCACAAAGAAACCACACACGGACCTCGGGAAGAAAACTTCAGCACATTTTATTGCTTTGTTTTAAAGAAAAACTAGGTTACATTCAATGTGTACAGTATTTGTCGGTATAAAATTTATTATATAACCTCAATTCATACGTAATAAATGTTGATGCAATGTGTAATGGAACTCATGCCACAATCCACAGCGATGATGATGATTACATTGACGATGACCATGTTGATGATGACGCTGATAATGGAGACCTTAGCGTTGACTATGACAGCAATGACTGACATGATCATGTGGATGCTGGTGTCCATGATAATAACGATGATGCTGTACCCTCAAATTAACAGTGATAAGACTGCGCGCATGCGCACGCACGCACGCGCACACATACACACACACGATCTACATAACCGTCATTCAGTGCAACAGTGCTGCGGTAGTCGTGTGTTCTAAGTGAGAAAATCTCCATATCACAACTGGCAGGCAGGTGGAAGGATGTAAGAAAAGGCACTTCTCTTTTGTGAGCCCTGCAAGGATAAAACGGTACGGGTTCCGTTCCTACCCGTGGAGGAAGGCCTCTCGTATTTCACGACCGGTCACGGGGCAAAACAAGTGACGCTTTTCTTTGCGGGGAAATACACCGATTGCACGTTTGCCACAGCAAGGCGCTGCTTGCCGCATGGGGCCTGTAAACGGCGGAGGCAAAGAGACGTGCATTACGGCTGACGAGGATTACAGAGCGGGAGCCGTCACTTTGCGCAGATTTTTGTGATCGATGCCGCCATCCACTGGGATAATTTACAACTAGTCTGTTCTGCCGCAACGCCGCGTGTTGTTTTCACAACGCGAATTGGATACAACGCGATGGATATAACGCGATTGAGTGAATGGAACCGCGTTGTGCGAGTAGGAATAAGCGGTCGTGACGGATGCCTCGTCATAGCATCGCACAAGGCGGGATGCTGCTGGATGCTTCAAGATGCTACCCACGTACCTCAGTCTGTTCAGCCTGCGTACGCATCTCAGGTGCTATCGCGGACTGTGCTTTAACCTATATTATATATTATTTATTATAACGCGAGCTTTCCATAACGCCGTGTTCTTCAGGAACGTGTTCTTCAGGAACGTGTTCTTCAGAACAGACTGTTAGCAATTCCCACCAGGGCCACGGAATGTGGTGCAGAAGAGATAGAATCACGAGGATTGCAGATTGTGCCCCATCACTTTGCTCTCGTATAAAATGTCTGTCAAAAATGAGGACTGGGTGGCGCAGATGTCAGAGCACTGAGCCAGCCCCTGTTGAGATGCTGGGCTCAAGTCGAGGTGTCAGGAATCTTTGGAACAAACTGGGTGTGTCCCGAGTGTAGTGCAGTTGATGCGTTTGTCTGGTCAACAAAATTTGGGTCTGCACTTAACAGGACCGATTTCCAGCTGTGAATTAAAAGTAGCAGCATCACGTGATAGATATTACACTCGTATGGTGGAGCGTGTGAGAAAGTGACGCCCTCTACTGTGTGGACCAAGGGGCGCCACTGCGGCGAGATGTTATCTCCCTCGCCGGGTATACGGGAGGTCGTGGGTTTGATCCAGACCCAGACGCCTGCTGTACATTTTGAGTTGGCGTGTTCTCTCTCCCCCCGTGGGTCGGGTGGATTTTCCTCCGGGTCCTCTGGTTTTTCCCTCCACATTTAGAAATATACATTTACAGTATTTGGCTGCTATAAATGTCCACGTGATAAGCCACTTTGTTGAGCTATTGTGTGGCCAAGTCGCTTCCGAAAGAGCTATACAGCTGAGTGGGCCTCACCTGGTAAAATAAAAAGTTTACGTTTTAAGGAGATTTCAGATGTAGCTTGGTGATATTCACTTAAATGGGCCATTCAAGCACAAAGGGTTGTACAGCCTTATGGGATTTTCGTCTTATAACATAATCCAATCGCACAACCCAATCGTGATAACATTGCGGAGGAAAATGACTTAAAATTTAGTTTTTAATATCTGGCAGGAATTTTCGTCAGAATTCCTAAACGTAACTCACTACGTAAACAAGTTGGCAGCAATTCCGCTGACAAACGTGGCTCGTGGGGAGATTTACAAACCGGCCTCCGCCACCACCACCATCGTCATCCTGCCACGGCTGTTTGAGAGCTCTCCCACGAAAGTAGGGGTGACCGAGGGATAAATTCGAACCTTTGAAATCCTTCGCGGGGCTACACACGCGGCCACACTCACACACACTTCAAGCACTTGCAGTATGACAAGTGACGAAAGTGACCGTGCTAAAATTAGAAAACGGAGTGCTGCGTTGCCAGTTTGATAATATTCCACACTCATGCACGATTTGGCGTGGCTAAGATGCTTGCAGAGACTGATAAATACCCCTCGGAGCCCGCTTTGAAATGGTAGGTTAAAACGTAGCCGTGGTCCGTAGGTTCCCCAACCCCCTGCTTTAACGCAGGCGACGAGAGAAGCGTATGCGACGCTGGGAACACGTGGTGGGAAAACGTGCGGCGTGGCAGTCGGTTTGTAGAAAGGTGTCCGTCGGGGAGTGGAAGGTGTCGCCGTGGTAGAAGTGACGATCTTTCGGGACTGCTGCAAAGGGAATCCTCCTCCTGGTGGTCGGACAGGAAGAGAGAGCGCACGCCGCACACACACTTTGTACCGTGACGGACGAGGCATCGTCCCAGTGGCGGTGTTCAGACGACCGCTCCTGCCAAAACAGAAGCGGCGATGGGTTCCATCCAACGCAATGTACACGCGCAGCCCTTATGTCGATCCATCCGACTGTTGGACAAACTACAATTGCAAAGTCACAGGAACCCCCGTCGTTGTTATAATTCGGCATATCCGTGAAGATGAACACGGTGTCGTATCGTGAAAAATTACATCTCGGCAAGCAACCCTACGATATACCTACCGGAACTTCCCGTGGCAATATGGTGCGCAGTCAATATACCAATGTCAAACAAACCAAACCGTTCAGAAAACTGCACAGGCATTGCCCAAATTCGAGTACAAGATGGAAAACCCAGCAAACATAACATGAAAAGGTCCACACAGATGGATTTAAGTACCCACTTCCTGTAATGCCATCTCCATACTCTTAGTTCTTTTGGTAAAGTCACGTAGGTAAAAAATGAAATTAATAAAAATAAAACAATAAAATCACGAAGTTTCGGAGGCAACACAAGTCTCCGTCATCAGGTGGGACCGTCACAGCCAGATTAGCTGCCTCACTTGATGCAGCTAATCTGGCTGTGACGGTCCCACCTGATGACGAAGACTTGTGTTGCCTCCGAAACGTCGTGATTTTATTGTTTTATTTTTAAATTAATAAAATTCATTTTTTACCTACTTGGTGACTTTACCGAAAGAACTAAGAGTATGAATCCTTGCAGTCACGAAAGCTTCAAATCTAGTATGCCATCTCCAGTCCACCTGCGGCAGCCCAATGGGCTTGGCAGGTTCACAGATCGATAGGCGGGTCCACCAACCCCTCACCTCCACAACGTTGCATCACGGGCGTGCACCCGAAGCGTTTAAAAGACGCGGCCACACTTGCCTGGTCGGTGGTGTGGCGGGCACCCCTAGCAGAGCTGCGCGTGCTGCACGACGTTTTGCAGGGACTTGCGGGTCACCAGCAGCCGCACCGCCTCCTCGTTCTTCTTGGTGAGCTTCTTGCGAGCTTGGTCGTGCGTCACCATCGTCATGTCCCACCCGTTCACCTGCAGCGAACGGCGGCGGCGGTGGTAGTAGGCGTGGCGGCGATGTCAGTCAAGTTAACGCCCCCGATTCATGGACCGAAATCGGATTCCACGCTCACCGCACACGCGTCGAAGTGTGTGTGTGTGCGTGTGAATGCGTGTGAATGGGGAGCGGTAGCGTAGCGGTTAGTGCGCTGCCCTCTGAACCCGGCATCCAGACTTCGATTTCTACTCACGGCCAACACCAGGTGATGATTATATGAACCGGTCATGGTCCTCTTTGAGATAGACGCAGTCTTAAATGAGTATCTGGTGCGGTGTGTAAACATCGCAACTGGGGAAACAAAGGCGGTTGGGCGTGGTGCTGGCCACCCACCCCCTCGTGTGCCGTGCCGTCCTTCATAAGTGCTTGCTAACAGCACTTGCCCCAACAATCTATTAAAGCTACACAGGGGGTCTTTGTCTTGTGTATTTAAAAGAACACCCGCGTCATCTCGCCTGCATGATCTTGTCCCCGATTTTGAGTCCGGCGAGGTCGGCTGGGCCACCGAGAGCCACCTTGGTGACGTAGACACCCTGGGGGTGGGGAAAGCATGGGTTCATGACAGGGTTAGGGTTGTGTATTTTAGCGAGAAGCCGAGATTGTTTCAGCTACCGACGGTATGATCGATAGACTTGAACTCGAAAGCCATCTCTAGAATTATATATTTTGCTGGAGTGTAGTTATTGCTTAATTTTTTAGTCCTAGGAAAAGTTAGAATTATGCAACAATTGATTACTGTAAGGTCTTATGTCCACAATACATACATACATGTAGTGGATCAAGGGCATAAGAATTGGTTATTTTTAATTCAACAGTTGATTTTGTTTTGCCAACTGTGGTGAATGCAGCGCTTCCAGTGGCTGTCGGGCTTGCTGATCAAATCGGAAACAACCAGAGGTTAAATTTCTCATCGAATATTTTCCAGGTGCCTGGTAAACTGCGAGGTGACGTGTGACTTGTATCTACAGACATAGTATGGTGGATGCAGTGCGCTTGGATGCATCAATATTTTCCCCGAGTCACTGACTCGCACCCAACCGGCTGAAATTAAGCCTCAATTACAAAACACAATTCAAAACGAAACGATTACCACGACCACAATTTTATGCTCGTATTAAGCAGTCAATAATTTCCTGCTCAAATGAGCACTTCGAGATTATTCATCTCCGTTTTTTACAGTCCTGAGCCAGTTGATGGAAACTGCACAGTAGGATGGCAGGGGCATAGTCTAGGCCAGGGGTCGGCAACCTACGGCTCCGGAGCCACATGCGGCTCTTTACAGGCTGCTTCTTGACGATGAGTACGTATGTACAGTATGTACTCAGATGCATTGCGGCTCTTGAAATACTGAATTTTGTACCGAATTGGAAAGAAATAGCTCTTCTTGTTATTTTGGTTGCCGACCCCTGGTCTAGGCATAGGACAACCACTCCCGACTTCTCCACAAAGTGGTGCCAAGTTTTGTTGACCCCCGGAAAGGATGATGTGCCCGATAAAGAAGATCATCATTTAAATCAATCAATCAATCAGTGCATGGATTACACGCTTACAAAGGGTACTGGACAGTATGGCCTTGGGACACCAAGTCGAGTAAATGAGTTTAAAGTCAAGGACTGGCTCAGGAGAAGAGGGGAGGGGAGGGACCTTGTCGGACTTGTCCAGAGAGTACGGGTTCTGGCCCGGATCCTGGTCGATGCCGCCTCCGATGCTGAAGCCCAGGATCAGGTTATCTCCTTGCCGCAGTTTCCGCACCTCAATGCACTCCTGTCACCAGGGGCGGGTTGGGGGGGGGGACGCGGGGCGTTATTCAAACGCAATGCGCACAGGGAATTTAAACGCGGATCCAGGTTCCAGCTGCCCGTCATGAACATGAATTTTCATTGCAGTGAATACCGCACCTCAGATTAGCATGGTTAGCTACGCACGGTGTGAAAGAAGTTCAACATACATACGTCTCAGCCTGGTCACCCATGGATATACACACAAACATCACATTGGCTCATGTCCAGCTCCGAAGAATTAAAACAATAATTGTCTGAGTGTCATTTGAAGACCACTATGCCGTTGCCGAGTGGGTAAGAAAGTGCTGCCACCTACTGTGTGGATCAGAGGTCACGTAGAGACCTCAGAGGTAGTTCTGTGACATCAGCTTTTATGACCGTTCTCGAACACAAGCGGTTGCACCCGTACCCAAGTTGGTCCCCGCCCTGCACCGACCAGCGTGCACCAAGTATGGTCAAGCAATGCCCCTCGACTCGTGCGGCATGGCTAGACCTTCATCCAGCAGCCGAGTGGCTGACCAAGAGGGCCGGCAAATTACAAGGCACGGCGGTGGAGCCCATTTCATTGTCTTCGGAGTTATTACGAGCGGACCGGGCAAGCGGCGGGGGCCCGGAATGCCGGGCATGCAGAGGGCAAGGTGTCGGCTTATTCGAGCAGTTGGTCGCGTGCACTGGTGCCGGATGCGGGGGGTGTGCGCGAGCGACAGCGGGGGACGGAGCCACGGAGGGGGGGGGGGGGCGTGCGAGACGGACCGGACAGAGCTGCATGGAAACGAGGATCAGCAAGTGTAGAATAAAGGGAGGTTATTACAAGTTCACCTGCAATATGGTGCACATGCACGAGGAGAGCCTGGGTATCTGCTCTTACGGTCTTATTCCTTAATTGTAGTCAATTAATCGTAATGTAAGCGTTTATTTTAGATTACAATACACAGGGTGCACTGCTTTGTCAATTATAAACTAACCGGCATGTACAGGCTTTGTATTATAAATATCCTAAGATGTAAATACGTTATGAAAAGCACTCTTGGGATGCCTATGCTGATGTGAAGCGCGCGATATACATGAAGTTTTATTGAGGCTTCTCTTCCACTGTGCAACAGAGCCACGCCAGGGCTGGCTCTGTAGAATCCTGAGTCGTGTCGATGAAATTGAGGGCATCCAAGACGTGAGTTTCTTGGAGCGTCAGGACATCAAAGTTACAGGTCTTCATTTTGTTCCCGAGATACTCAGTTGGAGGATCTTTGTTCCTGGGGTCTATCTGACACGCTGTCTGGCCATGAACAGGGCCGTTGGCGTGGCTTGTGTTGTTGCTCTGGAGGCTGGGAGATCTATGATCAATGTTGATAGTGGTGATGGTGGTAGTGATGGTGATGGTGGTGGCGGTGGTGTTGCTGGTAGTGTGCGTGTGTTGTTGTTGTTCTGGAGATCGGGAGATCGATGATCTATGTTTGGTAGCCGCGCTGATGGCATTTTCGTCGTGATTTCTCACTTAACAGAGTTGGCCTCGTGAAGGATGCCACCTTCCACTCCGCTGCATTGCCGACAATCAGAAATGTCGCATCGCAAGATCGCAAGAGTTGGCAAAGACTTGTGGAGGCCTTAATCGGTGGAATGATCACGATTGATAATGATCATGATGCTTATTTTGTTAATTGAGTTATTCTTCATCGTGAAATTTGCCACCAACATTTTCTGACAGTGTTATTCGTTAGTCGCGACTGTTTTGTAAGCCGAGCCACTCTGAACACAAGGAGCTGTTGCCACAATAAAGAGAGAGGGGAGGGTGCGAATGGTCTCTCTACACCCAACCCACTAATCCACAGCAACCAGATCTCCCCCAGCTCTCACACACCCATCCCATACAATTCATCCCCACCGATTCGACCGTCATTAAATATTTCACGACGAAAACAAACACCCTTGGCATTGTCTCCGTAAAACCTGATGCAGCACTGAGCATCACAAACATCACTAAACGATTCTAGATTTGAAGCTTTCGTGACTGCAAGGATTCATATTCTTAGGTTTTTTTCGGTAAAGTCACGTAGGTAAAAAATTAAAATTAATAAAAGTAAAATAAAAATAAAATAAAAATCACGACGTTTCGGAGGCAACACAAGCTTCCGTCTTCAGGTGGAACCGTCACAGCACGATAGCTGTATCTTGATACAGCTAACGATAGCTGTATCTTGATACACCTGAAGACTGAAGCACGATAGCTGTATGTTGATACAGCTAACGATAGCTGTATCTTGATATCTTGATACAGCTATCGTGCTGTGACGGTTCCACCTGAAGACAGAAGCTTGTGTTGCCTCCGAAACGTCGTGATTTTTATTTTATTTTTATCAATTTAAATTTTAATTTTTTACCTATGTGACTTTACCGAAAAAACCTAAGAATATGAATATCACTAAACGAGTGTGTGCGGACGCGTACAGCCCTTTTATCAATCCACCGCTGGATGAGGACCTCCTCACGCCGTACGGGTCGTGGGGGTTGAAAGTGGGGACCATAGAAGTACAGTCCAAAGGATGTTGCACTGCCTTCTGATGCTCACCACGTAGCCGCACAACACACGGTGAACATCCGTTTCTTCGTGGTGGTCACCCATCGAAGCACTATCCAGGTTACGTTCTGCTTAGCTTTTAAGATCTGTTAATTTGATAATCATCATCATTATCATTGGCTGTTTAATCCACTGCTGGCTGAAGGACCACGGGACAATGGATATCAATTACATAGGCTCAGAACGGATTACAAAAGGATATTGAATCTCAAAGGGATCACCCGACCAATAACGAAAATGCTTTGAACGTGATGAATCTCAAAGGGTTAACATCTGGTCAATAAACAAAACATGTCAATGAGATGATTACCTGGTTACATAGGGTGTAATGAAACCCAATGAGATCTCCTGACACAATTAAGGAAATCAATATGAATGACTTCACGTATAATTAAATGAAAAAAGACAATGACTTTCGTTATGGAAATGTTATTAAACGGAGGAAAACGAATCTCAAGAACGTAACAGGGATCCGTAAATGACGCCTACTGCTGTATATTTGGAGTTTGCGTGTATCTCTACCAGTGCATGTGTAGATTTTTCTCCGGGTCCTCCGGTTTTCCCCTCCACATTTAGAATCAACATCACTCGTTTAGAGTATTTGGCTGCTTTAATTTTCCACGTGATAAGCCACTTCGTTTAGCTATCATTTGCGATAGCCAAGTTGCTTCTGAAAAATAGCTCCATAGCTCAGTGGGCCTTACCTGTTAAAATTAAAATAAAGTTTAGTTGTAGTTTATCTCCTTGTTAAATCAAAATCAATACATATTAAGTGAGGCCACATGCAACCGCACTGAACACAATCTATCTCGATTGACTCAACCCCGAGTTTAAAAAGTCAACGTGTGAATTTCTCACAGTGGGGGAACTTTAACAGGTGTTTCAAATCTAGACGTAACTTGCCAGCAGTACATCAATTGAGTTGGTGTGGCGACGCATTGGTTAGGGCTGCTGGAGCGCTCGGCCACGGCTAAAAACCAGTGGCCAACACGGTATTATTACACTGGTCAACAAAAAAACACATTTTTTTCTGGCCTGGACTTTTGCAGCTGTTTTAGACTAATCTCAGATTTGCTCTATCACATCTCATTTTTATGCTATCGGCATACCCCATTTTCATTGATTTTACCCAAAATTAACTCTGTCACTTATGATTGCAAGTTGTTGCGAGTCAGTGACTGCTTTAGTGTTAAAATATGGTGCTGTATTTTTACGATAGTGTGTTTATAATATAATTTTATGTAGATATCCACATTTATTTAATATTTTTCTTCTGCAGTTTTTATTGAAAATGCAATATGTTATATCTCAAAAACCTGATGTGATAGACAAAAACTGATGCCAGATTTGGAATCAGCACCCCAAAATTACATTAGAACCGTTGGAATACCTTATGCCAGAAAAAGTGTGTTGACCAGTGTTATTATTCTCAGACTCAGTAACGGCGTACAGCCGTTTGAATAGGGGCACATTTTTTTGTCTGTTCGTTTGTGTTTCTCCCTTGGGATGGGACTTTGCGGGATGAACGTTGAGATGTATCAGGGCACGGGTGACTGATGATGTCTGAATTGATCTGTAATAAGGTATGTACTGGTATGTAAGACGCACCCAAAACTTGTATCCGGTATCAGTAAAGTTATACAGAGACACAGATCCCCCGTGTAGCCTTAACAGACTGTTGAGGCAAGTGCTGTTAGCGAGCACTTATAAAGGCCGGCACGGCACACGAAGTAGTGGCTGGTCAGCACCACGCCCGGCCGCCTTTGTCCCCCCCCCCCCCAGTGGGTACTCATTTGAGGCCGAGTCGACCTAGAGGAGGCTCAGCATCAGTTCAGATAACAAACCTGGTCTCACACACGCACGGACGCATTGCAGCCGTGGTGAAGTATGGGTGCCCCAACACGTGCCACGCCCGTCACATGTTAAACCGATGAGAGCGACGCGCAAGTAGAGAGTACAGAACAATGTCAAAAAGGTTAATATCGCAGTACCCATTAAATGATCTCAAGTTGTTAAGCGGTTGAACCAAAACGAGTTAGATCTAGCTCTTAAGAGGAGGGGAGTTTGATCTTAAAATGATCTCAAGTTGTTAACCTGTTGAACCAACACGAATTAGATCAAGCTCTTAAGAGGAGGGGAGTTTGATCTTAAAACGATCTCAAGTTGTTAACCGGTTGAACCAAAACGAGTTAGATCTAGCTCTTAAGAGGAGGGGGGAGTTTGATCTTAAAATGATCTCAAGTTGTTAACCGGTTGAACCAAAACGAGTTAGATCTAGCTCTTAAGAGGAGGGGAGTTTGATCTTAAATTGATCTCAAGTTGTTAACCTGTTGAACCAAAACGAGTTGGATCAAGCTCTTAAGAAGAGGGGATTTTGATCTTAAAACGATCTCAAGTTGTTAACCTGTTGAACCAACACGAGTTAGATCAAGCTCTTAAGAGGAGGGGAGTTTGATCTTAAAACGATCTCAAGTTGTTAACCGGTTGAAGCAAAACGAGTTAGATCTAGCTCTTAAGAAGAGGGGAGTTTGATCTTAAAACGATCTCAAGTTGTTAACCGGTTGAACCAACACGAGTTGGATCAAGCTCTTAAGAGGAGGGGAGTTTGATCTTAAAATGATCTCAAGTTGTTAACCGGTTGAACCAAAACGAGTTAGATCAAGCCCTTAAGAGGGGAGTTTGATCTTAAATTGATCTCAAGTTGTTAACCTGTTGAACCAACACGAGTTAGATCAAGCTCTTAAGAGGAGGGGAGTTTGATCTTAAAATCTCAAGTTGTTAACCTGTTGAACCAACACGAGTTAGATCAAGCTCTTAAGAGGAGGGGAGTTTGATCTTAAATGATCTCAAGATGTTAACCTGTTGAACCAACACGAGTTAGATCAAGCTCTTAAGAGGAGGGGAGTTTGATCTTAAAACGATCTCAAGTTGTTAACCTGTTGAACCAAAACGAGTTAGATCAAGCTCTTAAGAGGAGGGGAGTTTGATCTTAAAACGATCTCAAGTTGTTAACCTGTTGAACCAAAACGAGTTAGATCAAGCTCTTAAGAGGAGGGGAGTTTGATCTTAAAATGATCTCAAGTTGTTAACCGGTTGAACCAAAACGAGTTAGATCAAGCTCTTAAGAGGAGGGGAGTTTGATCTTAAAACGATCTCAAGTTGTTAACCGGTTGAACCAAAACGAGTTAGATCAAGCTCTTAAGAGGGGAGTTTGATCTTAAAACGATCTCAAGTTGTTAACCGGTTGAACCAAAACGAGTTAGATCAAGCTCTTAAGAGGAGGGGAGTTTGATCTTAAATTGATCTCAAGTTGTTAACCGGTTGAACCAAAACGAGTTGGATCTAGCTCTTAAGAGGAGGGGAGTTTGATCTTAAAATGATCTCAAGTTGTTAACCTGTTGAACCAACACGAGTTAGATCAAGCTCTTAAGAGGAGGGGAGTTTGATCTTAAAATGATCTCAAGTTGTTAACCTGTTGAACCAACACGAGTTGGATCTAGCTCTTAAGAGGAGGGGAGTTTGATCTTAAATTGATCTCAAGTTGTTAACCTGTTGAACCAAAACGAGTTAGATCTAGCTCTTAAGAGGAGGGGAGTTTGATCTTAAAATGATCTCAAGTTGTTAACCTGTTGAACCAAAACGAGTTGGATCTAGCTCTTAAGAGGAGGGGAGTTTGATCTTAAAATGATCTCAAGTTGTTAACCTGTTGAACCAAAACGAGTTAGATCTAGCTCTTAAGAGGAGGGGAGTTTGATCTTAAAATGATCTCAAGTTGTTAACCTGTTGAACCAAAACGAGTTAGATCTAGCTCTTAAGAGGAAGGGAGTTTGATCTTAAAACGATCTCAAGTTGTTAACCAGTTGAACCAAAACGAGTTAGATCAAGCTCTTAAGAGGAGGGGAGTTTGATCTTAAAACGATCTCAAGATGTTAACCTGTTGAACCAACATGAGTTAGATCAAGCTCTTAAGAGGAGGGGAGTTTGATCTTAAAACGATCTCAAGTTGTTAACCTGTTGAACCAAAACGAGTTAGATCTAGCTCTTAAGAGGAGGGGAGTTTGATCTTAAATTGATCTCAAGTTGTTAACCTGTTGAACCAAAACGAGTTAGATCTAGCTCTTAAGAGGAGGGGAGTTTGACCTTACACGAAGCTACTCATGGTTCCATCCTAAATCGCATTCACCGCACAAAACCGTGGCGTTAGTAGATGCGGATAACCTCATTATGTACAAATGTTAAAAACAAAACCTCTCCAGCGGTAGTAGCGTGGCCACTGCGGCCATCCGCAACAGGGAGTCGTGGTGTGACGACGTTTCGACGACGCGGTCTGTCCCGAGATCCACGAATACGACGGAGGCGACATCAAGTCGTGACGTGGTCACGTCTGATCTGGCCTGACCACCCTGTTGTGAGCATTGTAGGTTGTTGTTCTCTGCGATCTCGCCGTGAGCCGTGGGGAAGGAAGAAGTGGAGAGAGGAGTGGACCGCGCCCTCCATTGGCATGGGGAGGGGAGGCAGGGGGGGGAGGCAGGGGGGGAGACGGCGGCCTGACCGCGGCGACCTGCCGCCGTGAGAGGGCGACTTCACCCGGGCAGTCCGTAGTCGCGTGAGACACAGAGACTGAGAGACACAGTGAGACACGGTGAGACAGAGAGAGAGACAGTGAGACACATAGACACAGACCGAGACACAGACCGAGACAGAGAGACACAGACAGACTGAGAGAGACACAGAGACTGAGACAGAGACACAGACAGACTGAGAGAGTGACACAGAGACAGAGACACAGAGAGACAGAGACAGACAGAGACGCAGATACTGAGACAGAGACACAGATACTGAGACAGAGACAGAGACACAGATACTGAGACAGAGACAGAGACACAGTGAGATACAGATACTGAGACAGAGACACAGTGAGATACAGACTGAGAGACAGAGACACGGAGAGACAGATACACAGAGACTTTGACAAAGAGACAGAGAGAGACAGTGAGACACAGACAGAGAGACTGAGAGAGAGACAGAGACACAGACAGACTGAGAGAGAGAGACAGAGACACATACAGACTGAGAGAGAGACAGAGACACATACAGACTGAGAGAGAGACAGAGAGACACACAGACAGACAGAGAGACTGAAAGAGACAGAGAGACAGACACACAGACAGACTGAGACACAGAGAGACTGAGAGAGACACAGAGACAAAGAGACACAGACAGACTGAGAGAGAGACAGAGACACACACAGACAGACTGAGAGACACACAGAGAGACTGAGAGAGACACACACAGACAGACTGAGAGAGACACAGAGAGACTGAGAGAGAGCGGCGTTAGTTTGAGTACCACGACTGTGGAGAATGATTCTCCCGGTGTGTACGATGCCATCTTCAGCCGGGAACCAAACCCCAGCCGCCACCGCCTCCTCCTCCCTCCAACTCACTTAATGGGGGGGGGGGGGGCACCCGTGACGTCATCGCGCGCGTTCACCATCGGCGGTGAGCGTACAAAAAAATGGGCGATATAACGCGCTTTGACGTCATCGCGCGCGGTCGTCTGTGCGAGTTGTACGTCATGTGTAGTGTGTGACGTCATGTGTAGTGTGTTACGTCTTTGTAGTGTGTTACGTCATGTGTAGTGTGTGACGTCATGTGTAGTGTGTTACGTCATGTGTAGTGTGTTACGTCATGTGTAGTGTTACGTCATGTGTAGTGTGTTACGTCATGTGTAGTGTATTACGTCATGTGTAGTGTGTGACGTCATGTGTAGTGTTACGTCTTTGTAGTGGTTTACGTCATGTGTAGTGTTACGTCATGCGTAGTGTGTTACGTCATGTGTAGTTGTCAGCGCTCCTTTGCGTTACGAACCCGGCCACCCGAGTTCGATTCCCGCTCCACGGCCAACACCAGCAGTGACGATTACGTGAACCGGTCCCGGGCCTCTCCTAGGTCGACTCAGCCTCAAATGAGTACCTGGCGCGGTGTGTAAACATCGCCACGAGGGAGACAAAGGCGGCCGGGCGTGGTCCTGGTCACCCACCTCCTCGTGTGCCGTGCCGGCCTTCATAGGTGCTACTCGCTAACATGACTTGCCCCTACAGTCGGTTGATTCCATACGGGGTTTCTGTGTCTTTGTTATGGAGGAGGCTCGTGAAGGACGCTGCTGCTGCTGGACTGTTGGAGGCAGTCGCCATCCAACAACAACGGAGGGCGGATGAGCGACGCTCACAACAACGAGCGGAGCGCCGGGCGGATAAAATGCATCAAGTTGGCACAGTGGGGAGTACAGCTGGTGGTGCATCTACCGGTCATCTCAGTCGGCCAACCCATGGCGCCTGCTGGGTCCGTCCCAAGATCTCCTGCACCTAGCCTGGCACAGTAGGGTACAGCTGGTGGTGCATCTACCGGTCATCTCAGTCAACCCATGGCACCTGCTGGGTCTGTCCCAAGATCTCCTGCACCTAGCCTGGCACAGTAGGGGGTACAGCTGGTGGTGCATCTACCGGTCATCTCAGTCGGCCAACCCATGACACCTGCTTTGTCTGTCCCAAGATCTCCTGCACCTAGCCTGGCACAGTAGGGGGTACAGCTGGTGGTGCATCTACCGGTCATCTCAGTCGGCCAACCCATGACACCTGCTTTTGTCTGTCCCAAGATCTCCTGCACCTAGCCTGGCACAGTAGGGGTACAGCTGGTGGTGCATCTACCGGTCATCTCAGTCGACCAACCCATGGCACCTGCTGGGTCAGTCCCAAGATCTCCTGCACCTAGCCTGGCACAGTAGGGGGGTACAGCTGGTGATGCATCGACCGGTCATCTCAGTCAGCCGACCCATGGCACCTGCTGGGTCTGTCCCAAGATCTCCTGCACCTAGCCTGGCACAGTAGGGGGGTACAGCTGGTGGTGCATCTACCGGTCATCTGTCGGCCAACCCATGGCACCTGCTGGGTCTGTCCCAAGATCTCCTGCACCTAGCCTGGCACAGTAGGGGGTACAGCTGGTGGTGCATCTACCGGTCATCTCAGTCGGCCAACCCATGGCACCTGCTGGGTCTGTCCCAAGATCTCCTGCACCTAGCCTGGCACAATCGGGGGGTACAGCTGGTAGTGCATCTACCAGTGGTCATCTCATTCGGCCAACCCGTGGCACCTGCAGGGTCTGTCCCGAGACCTGTCAGCAGCGAGCCTTCGACACTTCACGTGGTAGCCTCAAGGTGCACCTGGCCTGGCACAGGCGGCGTGGTGATGTCACGCGAATCGCGTGGTATTACTTTTGGTGGTACGTCATCGCGTAATGAGAGACGGCGAAACGTTAAACTGTAAACGCGTCATCATATTTAGATTCACGGAAACCACGGGGCAACATCTTATTGGTTCTTTCGGTAAAGTCACGTAGAAGGGAAGTAATAAAACAATAAAAATAAAACATAATAAAACATTTCTCACGACGTTTCGGCCACAACGCAAGCAGCCGTCCTCAGGTGAAAACCACGTCTGTCGAGGCGACAGCGTCTGGAGTCTGGATGACGTATTGCGTCAAGGCTAAGGTGACGTCTTCACGTAAAAGCTTTCTGACGTCAAATTTCAACACGTGGCCTGAGATGTTTGGTGACGTCGCGTAACACGGTACGGAATTTACATTTCTGCCTCTGCATCGACAAAACCAATAAACCATTGGAACCTCATTTGGCAGTAGCAAAATATGATAATTGATTTTTTACCTTTTTATCTGGCAACAAAACTGACACATTTTTTTATGGTGCATTGTCTTTGAGTTGTGCGCCTTTTGGCGTCATCTGGTCCAACACCATGTGAGACGAAGCTTTAAGAAAAGCTGTCTCGGGTGTGGACCAATCAATTTCAAGGACAGTGCATACATTATCAGAGTTGTGTTTTTTTTGTTTGCATTCCGACCGCAGGTATTGTGGTCAATGCAAACATGGCTCCTTGTAAAAAAAGGTGTCAGTTTTATTGCCAGATAAAAGGGTAAAAAAAACAATTATCAAAACCAAACAGGACCCTGCGGGGTGGGCTGGTAGGAATAATACTTAGTACCGGTACAGGGATATCGACCGGGTATAGAGGCGTTAAAGAAAAAATTACTGTATTCTAGTGTAACGTTAATTAAAAGTGTTTGTTTTGACAAAATACGCTGTGAGATTTAAAGACTCGGTAGTCTTTCATTTCCAACACCACCCTCAACACCACCCCTCCCACCACCCCTCCCACCAGCCCTCACCACCCCCCCCCACCACCCCCCACCCAACCCCACCACCCCCCACCACCACCTCCCGCACTAGGCCTCGCGAAGCCTCCTGCAGTAGGCCTCGCGAAGCCTCCTGCACTAGGCCTCGCGAAGCCTTCCCTGCAGTAGGCCTCGCGAAGCCTCCTGCAGTAGGCCTCGCGAAGCCTGTCGCAGTAGGCCTCGCGAAGCCTCCTGCACTAGGCCTCGCGAAGCCTGTCGCAGTAGGCCTCGCGAAGCCTCCTGCACTAGGCCTCGCGAAGCCTCCTGCAGTAGGCCTCGCGAAGCCTCCTGCAGTAGGCCTCGCGAAGCCTGTCGCAGTAGGCCTCGCGAAGCCTCCTGCACTAGGCCTCGCGAAGCCTGTCGCAGTAGGCCTCGCGAAGCCTCCTGCAGTAGGCCTCGCGAAGCCTTCTGCACTAGGCCTCGCGAAGCCTCCTGCACTAGGCCTCGCGAAGCCTTCCCTGCAGTAGGCCTCGCGAAGCCTCCTGCACTAGGCCTCGCGAAGCCTGTCGCAGTAGGCCTCGCGAAGCCTGCCGCACTAGGCCTCGCGAAGCCTTCCGCACTAGGCCTCGCGAAGCCTGCCGCACTAGGCCTCGCGCCGTGCTTTTCGTGCACAAATAAGGCGATAAATGTATCTTGTCTCTGTGTTAATAAATGTATCTTGTGTCTGTGTTAAAAAAACGTGCTGCGTTTCAGTAAAGTAAATTTGAAGCGAAGTTTATTATTACACTTGTTAAGCCAGGAAAGCCCCACTGAGTCAAAATGTTTTTTAGGGTCCTGCCAAGTGTTTGCAGTAGGGGGCGATGTTGCTACACCTAATCGGACGATACGAAGGGAGAGATTGAGGCCTAGTTCTCGGCTTTAGGCCTAGCTGTAGGCTTTAGGGCGCTGTGAGTTAATTTTTAATTTAAATGTTTTAATGATTTATGTAAAAGCTTTAAATTTAAATGTTTCTATTTAAAAACATGAGGGAATGTAACATTGTTAAACATAACTCCCTTTCACACACGCGGGGGTACGATACGAAGGGAGAGTTTCAGGCCTAGTTCTAGGCTTTAGGCCTAGCTGTAGGCTTTAGGGCGCTGTGAGTTTTTTTATTTAATTTCAAAGTTTTAATTAAAATCTATCTCAGGGAATAAGGGAATGTTACACGTGTCATGCCAAGTGTTTGCAGTAGGGGGCGATGTTGCTACCAGGATAGCGTCACTGAGTCTAAAGGTTTTTGTAGGGTCATGCCAAGTGTTTGCAGTAGGGGGCGATGTTGATACACGGACGGACGGACGGACACATTAATCTATTGGTGGTCTGGTCCACTTCGTTCCTACCAGTATAATATTATTTTTTCACAATCCAGCAACCCACGTCCTCCCTGCTGTCTTTTATTACACCCTCTGCAAGGGCGCTCGTGGTTATTTTGTGTTGTGCATTCAACGGTGTCGCGTCGGCCTCGGACCCACATCTAACAGAGGGTCCTTGCCAAAAAATAAGTCATTAAAAAAACACTTTTTGTAAAAACACGCTTTAATGAAATGTACCGTACTAGTAATGGAAGAACTCCACGACTCCAGGAAGTGGCCCCAAAGCTTGCCATAACGTAAGGAACCGTGGTCAATTACAGCCAACGTGAGTTTACCGTGAACAATTAAAATGTTTTAAAATGTTTTTAATTTTCAATGATAGAATATAGTATTGTTATCAGTATGACATAAGTATACTCTTAGTTTTTTCGGTAAAGTCACGTAGGTAAAAAATGAAATTAAAATTAATAAAAATAAAACAATAAAATAACGACGTTTCGGAGGCAACACAAGTCGTGATTTTATTGTTTTATTTTTATTAATTTTAATTTCATTTTTTACCTACGTGACTTTACCGAAAGAACTAAGAGTATGAATCCTTGCAATCACGAAAGCTTCAAATCTAGAATGACATAAGTATACCAAGTTTGCAGTCGATACCACATTGGGAAGTGGGTTAAAATTGAATTACAATATTTGAGGATACAACAACAGCAACGACAACAGCAACAGACAGAGTGAGTTAAATAAAAGCATTTAATAATAAAAACATCTGGCAGTTCAAAATTGTGTCCAAGTCGCTTCTGATCTATTAAAAAGAGTTTTAGTAGTTTTTTGTCGTGATTTGCTTACCTTTGCTATGCTTTACACTCCTTTCGTGTTTTTTTATTGTTCGTTTGACCTTTCTGACGCACCCCGCCTTACTGGACATTTGTGGAAAAAGAGCTTTATAGCTCATCGGATTCCTCCACTAACACATTCCTGCGGAGGGAGCTGGTAGGAACGTTTGGTTGCTCGGTCAATGACCAGGGTCAACGGCGGCGTGGTGTATTCCGCAAATATGCCCGACTGTGAGGGCGGGCACAAGCCGGCGTGAGTAGGTTAAACGTTGAGTTTTATAAGGGCACCACGGGGTGACCAGCCCCACCCCACCCAGCCCCACCCCCCATCCAGCCCCACCCTCCCCACCCAGCCCCTCCCCACCCTCCCCTCTCCACCTAGCCCCACCCCTCCCATTTTTGGATTCACGACGGACGGACGGACACAATAATCCCCTGTGGGCTGGTGTAACCAGGAGGTTCCTACCAGTATAAATACATCTACTGCCATGGTTTGTGCAGTAGATGCGGTTTAAGGTGGAACCATGAGCAGTTTCGTAGAAAATCAAACTCCGGGGGGATCTTCTGCGTTGGGTCTTTCACAACCAGGTAGTTTGTGAGCTATTTTAAACTTCATTGCAGCTCTGGCGAACGTGTTTGACTTGTTTGTGTTATTCGTGCGCCACCCATACGGTTTACCCCGTATTCACGGACATGGAAATTGAGTTTTCAGGTCCATACGGCGTACAACCGTTTCAATACGGACAAATTAACAAAAAATATATACAGCAGAACGTCGGAGATTGAACGCCCCAGAACTCGAACAATTCGGTGATTGAACAATATTTTCGACCATTTTTTTGCCCCGGACATCGAACACAAATTCGGAGGTCGAACAATTGGAAAGAACCTGTTTGGGCCGAGACGCGTAGCCAGGGCGACCGAGAAAAAGGCGAATGACCCAGTTTACGCGTAGCTCTCGCCCAGTGCAGACCCGTAAAACATCGTTCCGTTAACTTTTTCATAAATTTATTTTAGTGTTTTAGTGCTAGAAAAAAGGCAAATAAAAGAAAAAACCCCAGAAGGGCAGTTACCCAACGTTTTTATGGAGGGGGACTCCCCTTCCAAGCAACACTGACACCTCCTCCTCCTCCCCTCCTCACCACTTTCCACTCAAGCCATCCACTCTCCTTACTACAGGTAAAGTGAAGTTCAATGTTCATTTATTCTATTAATTATAACTGTGTTTCTTGTTTTTTGTATGATTTTATGTACTGTACTGTATTTTAATATTGTAAACTTTGTGAAAAATGGCCCATAATGGGAGCATCCTTGGGTGGGGAACCAATTAATGCTATTTCCATTAATTCTTATGGGGAAAATTGATTCGGTGTTCGAACAATTCGGTGTTCGAACACGGTTTTGGAACGAATTCAGTTCGATCTCCGAGGTACCACTGTATTTGTTTGTGTTTCTCCCTTGTGATGGAGACTTTGTAGGATAAACATTGACATTTAAAAGGGGCACGGGGTGACCAATGGGGTCTGAATTGGTCTGTAATAAGGTAGGGCACTGATAATGGGTTGACTGATGCATATCCTATTATTTGGGTCTTTCGGTAAAGTCACGTAGATAGGTTAAAAATTATTGATCGCAACACAAGCAATCGTCAATTGTAATCGTCGATTGCTTGTGTCGCGATCAAAACGTGATATTTGTATTATTTTTATTCACTTTATTTTCATTTTTATTTGTATTATTTTTATTCACTTTAGTTTCATTTTTATTCGTATTATTTTATTGTTGTTATTATTTTAAATATCTACGTGACTTTATCGAAAGAACCAGCAAATCTGGCTGTGACGGTCCCACCTGATGACGGAGACTTGTGTTGTCTCCGAAACGTCGTGATTTTTATTGTTTTATTTTATTAATTTTTATTTCATTTTGTACCTACGTGACTTTACCGAAAGAACTAAGAGTATGAATCCTTGCAGTCACGAAAGCTTCAAATCTAGAATGAATATTAAAGCCTCAACCGCTTGCGTCAAAAAACCGAATGACGTCATTTGTGTGACGACGTTTCGCGTATGACGTCATACCCCCCCCACCACCTCCAACGTCTCCAACTGGCGCGGAAATCGCTTGCTGTAAGTTGCGTCAACTCGTCGCATGAAATTTCTAAATCGAATCAACCTTCGCAGGGGGCGAGCAGAGAGAAGGGCGACAACGAGCGAGAGGCAACACGGCTCGCGTAAAAGACGTGAGGAGTGAATGAGGGCGAACGTTTGTCGCCTATTGAGTGCGTGCAGCGGGCTATGGTGGGCGGATGAGTTAGGCGAGCCGCAGGCTGTGTTTGGGGGTGCTGAGGCCTACATCAATACAGTTTAACACGCAGTCGGCTATGAATATAACTTTAATACAATTTAACACTCAGTCGGCTATGAATATAACTTTAATACAGTTTAACACTCGGTAGGCTACGAATATAACTTTAATACAATTTAACACGCAGTATGCTATGAATATAACTTGAATACAATTTAACACTCGGTAGGCTACGAATATAACTTTAATACAATTTAACACGCAGTATGCTATGAATATAACTTGAATACAATTTAACACGCAGTCGGCTATGAATATAACTTTACAGTTTAACACGCAGTAGGCTATGAATATAACTTGAATACATAGGATTGAGGCTTTCGTGACTGCAAAAATGACTACTCATTGTTTTTTTCAGGTAAAGTCACGTATGTAAAAATAAAATGTAACTAAATTAAAATAAATCATGACGTTTCGAACGCAATACAAGCGATCATCATCAAGTGGAAATGGGGCAAAACACACAGCCAGTGAACACACAGAGGGACACCAAACACAGAACGGTAACTGCACGGAGGCAAACAACAACCAGATGGGAGACGAGAACTCAACAAACCTTCGAAACATAATGTGATGCAAAACCAATCGGCCAACAACACAGTCAGACACTAACCTGGTTGACCACGTATTTCAAAAGACTGCTTAATTTCGTGTTAAACTTGAATACAGTTCAACACGCAGTAGGCTACACGGTTTTTATTTTTTTTGGTTAGATCGCGTAAATATAAATGTGTCGTTAAAGCCGCCACGACACCGACATCGCCACGGGGTTTTTTTTGTCGCGTAAACATCGTGCCAAGTGTTGCCCCTTTCTGGCAATAAAACAGTTTGTGTGAAGATATTCAAACGCCTAACAGAAACATTTTGCAAGGAATCATGTCACTGCATTAACCACATTATTTGTGGTGAACATGCAAACAAAACATGCTCTGGTAATATATGACATTGTCTTTTAAACTGATTGGTCTACACCAGAGACAACCTTCTTTAGTGTTAGACCAGAGAACGACGCCAAAAGGCGAACCAGTCTTAGAATGTGCCAATACGTTGTTACTGGTACAGCACACCGGTGTGTTGGAGAGTAAATCCACAACATTTACAATCTTAGAATTAGCATCATCAGGCGACAGCCTAGGTGTTAAACGTTTCGAACAGTAATTACAACTAGTATGCGAGAAGCCTACATTTTGAACTAACTAACCTCTATGGGGAGGATATTTTTCTTCAAACGGGAACATTGGGGACAACTCCGAATAAATGTAAATACAGTATAATATTAACGCGATAATGATAACATTGTTTTATCATCGCCTTTTGTAAATTGATCGTCGTGTAATAGCTCACCATGTTACGGCGCTTTAAACATTGTGTGTATGTGTTGCAGTATATATGTAAGTGTTGCAGTATGTGTGTGTTGTTGGTGTTCTTTAAGAGCGATGGATGGGGTTTGTGAGACGTGTGTGGATCAGGGTTGTGGATGTGATGATGCGAATGCAGGTTTGCTTGTCATCGCCATCACCGTCGTCATCATTATTACTAACAGCATCGTTATTAACATCATTACAAACAGCATCACCACCATCATAAGCGTCCTCATCACTACCAACATCATTAACAGCATCATAACCAACATTGTATTTTCCATACTCTTTGGTTCTTTCGGTAAATGAAAACAACATTTTAGTTATTTTCATATTTTATTATTTTCACCTACGTGACTTTACCGAAAGAACCAAAGAGTATGGATCATTGCAGTCACGAAAACTTCAAATCTAAAATTGTATTTTCCATTGTCATAAGCGTCATAATTGTCACCGCATAACCAACATCATCAACACCTTGATTGCATCACGAACATCCGGCAGTATGACGCGTCTAACTTGGGCGTGTTGCCTAATCCACGTGTAACCTCTTTTCGTCGCTCAATGCAATTTCAAACAGCCATATTAGAGTACATTACATTATTTAATTGACTCATTAACGAAAGTGGGCTTTGGGCAGGACACGTCTCTAAAAACTGACATCCAAGAAACTTCGAGCCGCACTGACCATCGTGGCGAGTGTGGTCACACAACCTCACGACCCACATAGCGTGGGGAGACCCTGATCCAGCAGTGGATTGCAAAAGGGCTGAACGTGTACAAAACTATGCTCTGGTTAATGGTGCTTTTTTCTCATTGTAGTGCACCAATTGGTAACGGTTATCACACGGGCCTGTCAAGGCAGGTGTAGTGGCGAATGGCGGGTTGTTGTTGAGCACATTAAGTTTAATCCCCACACGTGTCCCAACGCATATATTTTTGTCTTGCAGAGCCTACGATATGGCATTCAAACCAGCCTTGGCTGTCTTGCTTCTCACCGTCGGCTACGTCAGCGGTTTTGGCAATGGTAAGGCCTCTTCCAGTGCGTCATCATGCTTTTACGTGGGGTTCCTATTTATCCGCAGTTTGACGTGGAAGTGGTTAATGTCACTGTTGATTTTTATACAATTATAAACCAGATCTTTGTCCAATCACAGACCGACCTCGGGTTTCAGTTGATGAAATATTAAGGAAGTCACTACTTTCGTTTATGTGTAGTGTGAAGGGGTTAGGGTTCATGGGTTAATGTTTAGAGTTTAGTGGTTATGGGTAGGGTTAGGCTTTAGCAATTTGGTGCAGTAGTACCCAACACAGCTTATTTAATTACATTACATCTTTGGGCCCTGTCGTCTTGGCCAGTACTTTTATCTGAGGGTTGCCATCCCACATGCTTGTGGATAAAAATCGTTCTTTTTAAACTTTTAATGCAGAGCTGTGGTCAATTAATTACAATTTTAAAATCTTTGCAAGCTAAAATTACACTTCATTGATGTCTGCATTACCGTGTGTGCCTTTGGTGACCCCATGTGCACTCATGCATGACTATGACTGTGGGAACGTGATTGTGCGTGCCTGTGTTGTGACTGCGTGTGCGTAACTGTGCTCGTGACTGCGCTCGTGACTGTGCAGACCGCTTGCTGTTGCGGGACGTCTCGGCGCTGACTCTGCACACCGGCAGGATGACAGCCGGCCGGCGCTCCGCCGCCGTGCCTCAACTGCGCTGCGTGGGTGGCTGCTCGTCGTTCACGCCAGACGTGGTGCAGTGCCTTAACCGCGGCCACGATGGCGTCGACGTGCAGGTTGTTGTCACATGGACTGGGGACGAGAGGGAAACATTTTAGGACTGGCAATACTGTCGTGGGATGCCACGGTGGCTAGGAGATTTTAACTTACCTCGCCTGCTATGCAGGAGGTCATGGGTTCGATCCTGACCCTGACGCCTGTTGTATATTTGGAGTTTGCGTGTCTCTCTCCCCATGGTCGCGTGTATTTTTCTCTGGCTCCTCTGGTTTTTCTCTCCACGTTTAGAATCAACATCACATGTTTAGAGTATTTAGCTGCTAAACATTTCCACACAAAGCCACTTTGTTGAGCTTTCATTTGTGGCCAGGTCACTTCTGAAAAAGAGCTATATAGGTCAGCAGACCTTACCTGGAAAAATAAAATAGTTTAGTTTCTAATATCATCTCGATCAGTTGCTTATTTCGGTGAGATTGTGGCGTGTGTTGTTAATGTGTGGTCTGCCAAACGTAAATCATTCAATTGTCAGGGAAAAGGTCCCTCCCCCCAACTCCTGCTTCTTACTCTCTCTTGCTTTAAATCAGAAGCATATTCATCATATCTCACAGTCCTGGCACCACTATACTTTAGTAATGTAGCTATTGATTATGCAAACCCCCAGGTTGGAGAGGCGCTGGCACCGGGAAATTGGGCCCCACACCAACCATGCTACGCCACTTGCCAACTTGTACACTCCTTGCCCCGCCTCACTCCTATCCCTTCCCCTGCCCCTTCTTACCCTGCTGTCTTCCGCCCTCCTGTCCCTCCCACCCTGTAGTGGGAGTGCAAGGCGGACATGGACAGCTCGTACCGTTTTGGCAGCATTTCCGTGAGCTGCGAGGGCTACGACTACCCGGACGACCCGTATGTGCTGCGGGGTTCATGCGGCCTCGAGTACTCGCTGGTGGGCGGTGGCGGCGGCGGCGGCGCAGGAACTGGAGGCTGGAGGTCCAACAACCCTTTGCCCGACGGCAAGGGCAACGGTTCGGGGGTGTTGATCATCCTGGTCCTGATAGGAGTCGCTTTTGGGGTCTACAAGTTATTCCTGAGCGGTGGTGGCACTGGAGGGCAAGGCGTTCCGTACCCGCCCGCCGATGATGTGCACCAGCAGCACGCGGCTGGGCTTGGTACCGGTCCTGCGTATCCACCACCACCGCCACCCTACTCCTTCAAGGACCAGAACCCCAATTCAGGTTAGTTTGGCTGCACTGTCTATGACCGGAGTACCCTGTTTCACCGGATCTCTGAATACTAGTTCAGAGTTGTGCCCGGTCATTTCTGAGATGGAAGTCAGTCTGAGAATCACCATGCCTGGGGCTACGAGGTGGTCACAAATTGGCACCTGCAACAGTAGATTCTTAAATCTGGATGGAATTTGTTACTAAAATGCTTGGATTGTATCCTGTTAATTGTGGATTCCTACTGCACCTAAAGCATGTTTCTTAACATCTAAATGTAGGAGCCCCCTTTAAATAATGTGTTGACATTCCATTAAGTTTTTTTCTGGTTAAATAAAGTGCATTATTCTATCATCGAGGTTAGTGTGAATTTCACCTGAAAAAACTTCACTTCAGGTGGCCTGGCTCGTTCAAGGAGGATAATACTGCGTGAGAGCGGTGAGCCGGCGACACCTGAAATCCTGGATTCAAGTCTGGACCGCCTCCACCAATGTGACCCTGTGTTTGGATTCTCTGTGACCCCAGGCTCCACGGCAGGGTCATCACCGCCACCGTCGTACGGCTGGGCCGCGCCGGGAGAGCCGCGCATGCGCCGCCCGCCAGGCGCGGAACAATCGGCCACGGGCCCCGGGTTCTGGTCGGGGATGGGCGCGGGAGGCCTCATGGGATACCTGCTGGGCAGCCGAAAGTGAGTGCCGCAAACGCATGCACGTACCGCACACGGTGACCATCGGCCATGGTCTGTATCTGGGTGGTTCGGGTGATAGGCGGTCCAAAAATCATGTGAAGGTGCGGAAGCAGTATACAGGGTGATCTATGGGTATAAGCAAATATAAGCAGAACTTTGTTCTGCGTCTTCACAAAAGTAGAACTATGTTTGGTTATCCCGACCAATATTATCCAGCAACATTTTAAAACAAAATTTCCCACAGGCTTTTTGGGACTTGGTGTGAAATGTCTTAAAAGAGTGATACATCTCTATACATAATGTTAATTCTTAAGCAGACGAGATGATGCGAAGACCACAACATAAAAAAAACCTGTCATGTCACCCCCCCCCACAACTAGTTTTAATAACACATTAACTCTGTCCAGGAAACCAACATGCTGTGACAAGAACGGACAGTGTTGAACGTGTTGATGCGGTTAATCAAATTTTTCGGTGCCGCTGTATAATGCGTGGAAAGCAAAACAAATCAAGTTAATGTAAAAAAACCCGTCACGTCACACACCGCGGCCTTTCACGTGTTTGTCGTAAGCACGCTCGTGGACATGCGATCCGTCAGTGACCCTGCCGAGTTTCTCCCGTGCCGCAGTTCGGGCCCGACGTACCACCATCAGCCGGCGCATAACCCGTCGTGGTTTGGGAGCAGTAGCAGCAGCAGCTCTCGCAGCGTACCCAACTTCAGTGGCGGAGGTGGCACGCGCCCCGCATCGGGTGAGTGCGACGACACGCAGCACACACCCTCCGATTAGCACGGTTGGCTACGAACTGTGCAGAAGAAGTAAAAAATTTCGGTCCCCCTCTGTAACCGCCTTCCCTTATTCTCTTGAAGCCTCATCTCTTCTCTTGCCTATTCTCTTCCCTCACTCCCCTCCACGTCCCTCCCCTACCCTTTTGTGATCCATAAGTACCCCCTCTATTGCTGTCACTTATTCCTCAACCCTTGGACTCCCCTTTCCATCTATATCATTCTATTGTCACCGTTTTTTTATACTATATTAAGCGCCTTGAGCGAAGCTCTATAAATATAAAGCAAGATAAGCAAACTGTTTTTGATCATTACGCCACCGCTCGACGGGCACTTCCATTAGCAGGGCGGTTTTCAACATGGCGTGACACATTTTGCGAAATGCCAGCGGCTATCTTGGTGCAAATTATTTCTGTGAATTTATCTTCAGCTTTTAACGGCGAGTTTTAATGTAAAACTGCTGTATGTTAGATGCAGAAGTACTGGCATCATGTATAATGTCGAGTATTATGCCTCTTTAAAACACCCCATTTAGACACGGTAATTTGTTAGGCGTGTAACTATTAATGGAATCGTTGGTTGAAACAGATTCTTACGCTCACAATATTTTACATTTATAGAGCTCATCTGCACTTGAAATAATTGTGATTTTGCAAATTGTGTGTGTACAGGCCGTTATTAATCCACTACCATATGAAGCCCTTTCTATGCTTTTGGTGTGCAGGGTTGTTGGGCCATACTTGACCACACTGGTCAATGAAAATGTCTCTATTCGGCTAAATCGATGAATGAAGTAGAGCAAACACGAGAGGACAAATGAGGCAAAAAAAATATATAATTTCTTGAATCGTGACAATTCATCACACTGGGGAACGGGGGGGGGGGGGAGAGGGGAATATGTGAATTGTTACATGCCTAGTGATTGTTATGTACAATGTGTGTGCGTAATTATCAAAGCAGAGCAATAAGCAAACCCGGGCATTGCCTTGACTGGCCGCTCTCACCACACCTTGCCAACTCCCAGCACCAATCATGAACCCCATCTATTCTTGAGCAACAGAATGGCGTTAGTTTATCTTTTATTAAATGCTTTGCAACGGTGGAAAGTTATGCATTTACTGTGCCCGTCTGTAACGAAGGGAAGGCATGATAACCGTCACGAAGATGATCCAATGTGCATGCATTTTTAGTATGACGTTTTTCTATTAGAGACTCGCCCTATAGGAAACCAACCGAATTTATAAAAGGGTCTTGCCCAAAACCTGGCGATAACGACCAGCGCAAAAAAGATTTGCATTGCCAGCCAAGGTGTACATGCCTGCCCTCTCAGTGACGTCGTCACGTGTGGCTTAACCCCATCTGGTAGTGCAGATTGGAACGTGCTTTATTATTGCTCATGAAATACTTTTGAGTACAAGCGTTCCACAAGCCATGCATGTGCACAATTTCTCTTGTTATTCTGTCGGCAGGTTTTGGAGGCACGACCCGTCGCTGACTCGGCCCTGCTCACCGCCGGACCTCTGATGCTGCGCACATGAGTGGGATGATAAGTCCCGACGTCTGACTGTGAAGAATGCTTTATGATTTTCTCTCTGTGGCGCACAGAGGCTTAGATAAACAGCAACCATCGCTTGGCAATTACGATACGCGCTACCATGGAAACCAGAATTGGCTCTCATTGTTCATCCTAGAATGCAGCTCTGGGTCCCAGAGAGATCTATCTTTGGTATCCATTTTACAGGTTCCTGCATAACCTCATAGAAAACATTTATCATCTTAATACATACAGGAACAGTAAGTCTTTTGTGGAAAATATACATTATTGCTTGTTAGGGTCTTCTCGACAAGACCAGGGGTTGCATCCTTAGGTGAAGGGATTTTGAAACAAATATAGATTTTATTAACTTGGTGTCATCCATGCTTTCTGTTGCACGTTTGTTTATTTTTTCGGAATTTAAAATGTTTGCTTTTTCTTCCCAATCACATTCCATCTGTTCTATTTAAAGTCGTAAGATTAAGATTTTTTTTTTGTAACTCGGCAGTGTAACATCACCCCATGATGAAGAGAATTAACCTCTGGAAGTTGATGTCACAGAACTACTTCTGAAGTTCACTATCTAGTGGACATGCTCTGCAAAAGATGTTTGTCACGTGACAATCCATTTGGGTTTTTGAGGCAGAGCTTCTGTAAGCCAAAGCAAATGTTTTTGTGGCCATTGGTTACTTTACACTTGAGAAACCAGCTTTCCCAGGATTTCTGTGGTGTCAACTCAGTGCCCTGACCACTCACCAAGCCAGAACCAAATACCAGATGGTGTGGTTTTGGCCGATTTCGAAAATCCCTTTGAGTCAACATATCTCTTGTGTTAACACATTTGCAAAATGACTATAAAATCCAGTTTAGAAATGTGATGAGAATGTCTTAAGCTACAAATGATTTGTTAGTTTTTAAAGTGATATTTGTAAATGATATATTTTCTGTAAATGTGATTTAAATATAACGCGTCATTGAAAACGTATCTACTGATGCACGGCAAACGTGTTGTCGGCGACTCTTTGTATGGCTATATGGGGTTGTGTTGTCATCTGTCCTGTCCATGTATTAAAAACAATGACTTGGTAACAACAGTGTGTCAACAGGGCCTTATTAAATACATGCACACACTTGGCAGGGCATGTTACATTATTTAATGTTACAGATTGGTGGCACATTTATTGCTAGTTTCAAAGGTTTGTGGTCAAGAGTCTAGCAGTTGCCATGGTTAAGAACGCAGTTGTGCGTTAACCAAAATGACCCACCCTCGGCTTCAGTGGCCGTTAAAATTTCCTGCAACAATCGAAAGAGTTGACCAAGGCCCACATTTTTCAAGTTACCTGCAAATTACTTAAATCTCGCACAGCAACGTTGTCGTCACTTAATCATTACACAGCACCTCCCATGCAGAGGTGTCCTGCTGTCCCTTAAAGTGCAGACTACTCCCATGTAACCTCCTTCACCCCGCACCTCCGATTAGCACTGTTGGCTTTGTACGGTGTGACAGCAGTATGTACGTAGATGCATTGCTCCTTTGAGATAGCCTTTGTGCTATGAGAATGGCAGGAACACAAATGTATTCATGATTGACTTGTATTTAAACATGTCGGTCTTGAAACAACAAAAGCATCGTGCTTGTCATTCGATGCCGCCGAATATTAGCTAATCAAAAAAAGGGCATTTCACATGACGCTATCCTCACCGATGGGATTACTCGATCCATGGATCACTTGCCAATGAATCAACTCGGTGATTAACCCTCAATAACTCGATACTCTAACTTGGCTCTCGGATCGACGATGAGCATCGATACAATATATCTCTATTAAGGTTTCACAACCATATACGGATAGTCTCCGAGTTACGATGGTCCGACTTAAGATATTTCGATCTTACGATGGCGATACGACAAAATTGTCAAATATTTTTAATTTCGCGCGGCAGGTAAACGCAGCAGCGTACGAGGTACGATACTGTACGTTGGGACGCTGCCGGGATGTCCGCATCTCCCGCCTTTCTATTAAATTTCAGTTCATATAGGTAGGCTAAGAATTTACCTTGTTTTTTTACTTTACATTTTACTGTGCAATGCAGTATTGTAATTAATAAATATAGTTTATACAGTACGGTACTGTAAATTGCTGTTTTGCTAAATTATCACCATTCTTTAAGACTCCTGGGTAGGCTAGGCCATCTTCGACTTACGATATTGTTGACTTACGATGGGGTCGTCGTAACTAGAGGACTACCTGTATGGGCTGATCGGTGACTTCGTTGTATTACAGCGCCCTGTGCCCATAACCCGACACCACCAGGTGACCATTTCTTCCGTGTCCTCCCAGCGCTGCACCGACGCCGGAGCCTTCCGCCGCTGCCGCCACAGCCCCCTGTTCCGGTGCCGCCACCACCACTTTGTGCATTGCCGAGAAGTGCACGCGCAGGTGCATGCGCTTGCTGAAGCGCCGGCCACACGCGCTGCACTCGAACGGCTTGTCGGCCGCGTGCATCTGCTTGTGCCGGTACAGGTTGCAGCGCAGCGTGAAGGCCTTGCCACACACCTCGCAGCTGAACGCGCGCCCGCCCGTGTGTGTGTGCGTGCGCGCGTGTGCCTGCACGCAGCGTTTTGTCCCAAAGCCGAGGCCACAGGTGGCGCACGTGAAGGGGCCGCCACCGAGGCCGACAGTGGCTGCGGCGGTGATGTGAGAGGCCGCTGCTGGTGGTGGTGGTGGCGGCGCTGGCGCTGGCAACGTCTGTCGCTGGTTGTACGGACGGCCGGTGGGTATGCACCGGCGCCCCGGCGGTGAGGGTTTGGCGGCGTAGTCGGGGTAGATGTAGGCGTCGGTGGGGGGCTGGGGAAGGATGGGTGCCGTGTCCTCTTGGTTGTGGCTCCATTCGGCATTGCCTGGTGGCGCATTAAGATAGCGTGAGTCGTTAATAGAAAGAACCATACAACTGCACTCTTTTTATTATTGCAGATGCACTCAGTAACAGATCTAATGATAGTACAGCAGATGATCTAGAATTGAGCAAGGTCGTAGGACCTTTGGAATAGACACGATGGCAGGGAGTTCCGATGAAGACTTAGGTACGAAATGGAAAACCAAGTTTCTTCAATTCATTCATAGCTCGATGTTAACATAGCCATAGGAACCGTGGTTTTAACAGTCGTATATCAATACATGAGCATTTCAAGAGCTGAAAGTGACCAAGGTGCTTGCCACCGCTGCTTGAGGAGGATTGCTTTCAAGGGCGGTTGTGATCCAGGACTACACAAGGACAGACACAAACACGTGTCATGTGACCTTGCGGTTGTGTCGGCCACGTGTCGTCTTCCCACTCCCCGGCCTCCGGAGGAGACTCAGAGTCTTCAAATGCCGTCACCTCCTCCACCTCCTCCTTCAGCCGAGGGGCGGCCAGGACCGCAGTGAACCGCTGGCCCAGACAGTCACTCACGAGGGTGCCAGCGTCTGGCACGAGATTCGCTTCTGCAGGTTTAGACAAATGCAAAGATTTAAATTTCGATTTAAAGCTTTCATGACCGCAGGGATTCGTCTTCTTGGTTCTTTCGGTAAAGTCACGTAGAAGGGAAATAACAAAATAATAAAAAATAAAGCATAATAAAATACAATTCTCAGAACGTTTCGGCCACAACACAAGCAGTCGTCCTCAGGTGAAGAACAGGACTGTCGGAAAGACAGCGTTGTGGCTGAAACATATTTTATTATGTTTTATTTTATTATTTCCCTTCTACGTGACTTTACCGAAAGAAACAAGAAGATGAAAGGCAAAGATCTCACGTTTTACCCTCAACAGACTGTTGGGGCAAGTGCTGTTAGCGTGTAGCACCTATGAAGGCCGGCACGGCACACGAGGGGGTGGGTGGCCAGCATCATGCCCGGCTGCCTTTGTGATGTTTACACATAGTACCATGTACTCATTGAGGCTGAGTTAATCTAGGGGAGACCCAAGAATGGTTCAGATAATTGTCTTTGGCATTGGCCGTGAGCGGGAATCGAACTCGAGTCGTCGGGTTCAGAGAGCAGAGTGCTAACTGTTATGCTACCGCAGGTGTATACACACACACACACGTACTGAATGTACAGAGGGAATTAGACACATTTTCAGAGCTTGTCCATCAGCCTATGGGCCTTCCGAGCCAATATTTCATACCAGCACTCGTTTAAGCAAACTCTGGACCATTTTCGACCTTCTGGGGCACATCAGCTGAGTCAGGCATTGGTACTGTTATATTGTGACCGCATCTCAAGGTGCGATAAAAGAGGAAGAGGCTGTCACATGTAAAGCAAATATTAAGGTCTCGACTCTGAAGGGCTGATGACGAGAGACATTTTCTGTCTGAAAATGTAGAAGTTACATATACGAATAAGGAAAATGTTCCCACTCGTGACAGACGGCCCGAGGCTGTTAATCTGTTAGCTCTGTCCGTCCATCTGTCTATGGCGGGGGGGGGGGGGGGGTCACAATAATTCTCACAAATAAGATCCCAATATGAACGTAATTTTCGATTTAAAGCTTTTGTGACTGCAGGGATTAATATTCTTGGATTCTTTCTGTAAAGTCACGTAATACATTTTTTCTAAAAAATGTAACAATAAAATTCTCACGACATTTCGATGGCAACACAAGCAATCATCATCAGGTTTTGTGAAAACCACACCTGATGATGATTGCTTGTGTTGCAATCGAAACGTCGTGAGAATATTATTGCTTAATTTTTATTAATTTATTATTTCCCTTCTACGTGACTTTTCCCGAAAGAACCAAGAATATGAACATAATTAATGTGTAAAATGTGTCGCTAGTAGCAACTTGCCCGACTGAAAATAGGCAAATTGATTTCAAACGATTGTTGTAAAGCGTTATGCAGAAACGATGTACTTGATATTCATGTTGTCTTGTTTATCGATTTAAATGCTGGATGGCACCTTCATATGGGTCTTTTTTAATGCGGGTGACATCGAAGCAATCTTCACGGAAGCCAGGGGACGCCTCCTCCACAGCCTGGGAGACCTCAGCTGCAGGGATAATGAAGACGAGAACAGCCATGAGGACAATCACCTTCCTCGCTGTCGGAAACTCCAGAGGAATCCTACAGCAGATGGCACCAAATAACCACTTCAATGCCAAGAGCTCATTCAATGAAACTGGCAGTTTTTGTTTACTTATCCAGGAAAACCTCGGCGAGTCTCACGCGAACTCCGGTCATTTTCACGCGAACTCCGTTCATCCTCACAGCGGATTTTAGCTCGCCATCGAACAAAGACGGTCACCGCATCACACACTTTCAGATGCGCTTTTGCGGCCATCTGAATTCCTCTACATATGGTGTGAAAGAAGTTCAACATACAGAAGAAGCGGGAAACGGGTGGATAAAGCACAGCAAGTTGGCACAGTAGGGGACACAGGTGGTGCATCAGCCAGTCATCTCAGTCGGCCCGTGGCACCTGGGTCTGCCCCGTGACTTCCTGCCAGCGGGCGTTCGACACAACACGTGGCCTCAAAGTGCACGTAGCCTGGCATAAGCGTGGTGGGCACGTCACCGCCACTTAATGGCGATTGTTGATGCTGTTGCGGTAGTGTAAGCGGTTGGCACGTTGCGCTACGAAGCCGGCTAACCCGGGGTTCGATTCCCGAAGAAGACCAAATGTAACATTCGATGACTGCACAAGTGCAGAAAATTCCATTATTCTCTACTTTTACACTCCCAGAGGCCAGATGCCTTCACCACCCTACACTCACCTGCATTAAGTGTGGTCAAACAACCTCCATGATCTGCCCAGTTGGGGAGGCGGGGGAGAGGGGTGAACCCACATTCAGCAGTGGACTGACAAAAAATGTTTTCCAGTTAATTCAGCGCCTGAAGTAGCCCACGTCAAGTGGAGTGGAACCTTGGATGTCGTGCAGAGCAACACGCGGTACAATCAAACAACACACCTATACAGCACAACCACCAAAACCTACGCAGGTCTAAAACATGGCTGTCACACACCTTCTCTTGAGATGGGAGTACTTTGGGAAGGCCTGATGCAATAACCGCCTGTCCTCCCATCGCTGGCACACATCCGTGGCGTTTGTGTCACCACCTCAGTCGGCAGCGCTGGCTCCAGGCAGCGGAATCTCTGCGCCGACTGCAGCAGCTCGCAGCTCAGGGAGCTCAGCGTGGCCACGATGGCGTCGAGGACAGCGCGACTCGCCAGGACTCCTTCACAACGGGAGGCGCACCCTCCCGGCTCCTCATCATCCTCCTCAACGCCGCCGCCGCTTTCATCATCCCTGGCTCGCTCCTCCTTCCCGTCGTCTTGGCCGTTGCCGGACAGCGGCTCCCGGCTGCGGCTTCGTCGGCGCTGGCGCCACCACCACCGCTGTCGCTGCCGCGGCGTCAGCGCGCGCACGAGGCGGCGCAGCACGGCGTAGAAGGCGAAGGGCAGGCGGTCGCGGGCGGCGCCCAGCAGCTCGGCCGTCACCTGCGCGTCCTCGGCGCACGCCAGCAGCTCCTCGTAGTCGCTGATGCCCAGCTCGCGCTCCATGGCGTCAGCGAACGTGGGCTTCATGCCGCGCGTCGCCAGCCACTGCCGGGAAGTCCCCACGCTGGGTCCGGCTCTGCCACGGCGCACGCCATCGCTGCAACGTCGCGGTTCGGTTCGCTGGCTCGTTAATTAGTGACGATGCCTGCGGAGAGAGTGACAGTGGACAAAACGTCTACATTCATTTATGTAAGTATGTCGAACTTTTTCGCACCGTACAGTAGCCAACCGTGCTAATTGGAGGTGCAGGGGAAGGACAACAATAGAAGGTGTGGGGGGCAGGACAACATGTGCCAAGCTTACGTCTGCCCTCCCACTATCTAAGTTTCCAGGGTTGTCCTGTAACCCTCTCCGACGTGTTTTAGGTTGTGTACAATGAGTTGCTCGGCACGATGTCCAACGTTCAGAAGTTCAATTCAGCTCCTGGAGAAGCTCCCAGCGCGTGGTGTGAAATGTCAGACCTCCCTGACAAAGCATGGTACAATCCGCAAACACCCCAAAGTCTGTCTTATTTAAACCACTGTCACGTTACAGCTATCATTTGTATAGATTGTATACCATCAGCTGTACGCAAATCCCTAGTTACGAGAACCTTGAAGGCATATGCCTAGCCGTGGCCAGCTCTCACGATCCTTCCAATGCAATACACTTGGCACCTGCACGCGACCTGATTTCAGTCGCTCCATCTCCAAGCCTGGCAAACCCTTATCAGTGCCTACCTTATTACAGACCAATTCAGACTTTATTGGTCACCCTGTGCCCTTATACATCTCAACGTTCATCCTACAAAGTCCCATCACAAGGGAAAACACAAAGAAATTAATATTTGTTTTATTTGCCCGTATTGAAACGGCTGTATGCTGTATGGACCTGAAAACTAAATTCCCCTGTACAAGAATACGGGGTACACCGTATGGGTTGTCACGGTTATATATCTCATCCATGGACATCGAACTCACAAGACTGCGTTCCCTTCCTTGGCTGCCACTCAGGAGTTATTCTCAACCACCGGTCGTCATCCGTTGCAGCCATGCTTTCATTTGAGTATGTTCTCCAACGCATGTAAAGTATGCAGAGCTTCTTTCGCACCATACGTAGCGCAACCCTGCTAATCGTAAGTGTCCTTTCAATTTAATTCCAAGTGTGCGGCTCTCCGTGCTTCTGAGCGCACGTTTGTGCACAGACCACTGGATGAGTTCCACAGGATTGGAAGGATGCCCTGGTGGTCCCCCTCTTTAAGAAGGGGGACCGCACAGACTGTAACAACTACGGGGGCATCTCACTCCTCAGTGGGCCAGGAAAGGTCCTGGCAAGGATTATTCAATATTGCTTTGCCAGGCACGCTGAGGAGAGGCTTGCGGAGCCCCAATGCGGTTTCAGGAAAGGGCGGTCCTGCACAGATGCCATATTTTCTATGTCTGCTAGAGCAGAGGTGTAGGAAATTCCAACAAAACCTACATCTCTGCTTTATTTACCTGGTCAAGGCCTATGATACCATCAGTAGGCCGAGGCTCTGGGTTGTTCTTCGTGCTTTCGGAGTCCCTGACTCTGCTCATGATCATAAAGGACCTTCATAATGGTGAGCGGGCCCGGGTAAAACTACGTAGGGAGTCGGAGCCATTCGCTGTTCACCTTTGGGATAGACAGTGGTGTCCTCTGGCTCCCACATTATTTAACATCTATTTAGACCACGTAGTTCGTGAAGTCTTCAATAGCTGTACCGGAGGAATTTCCATCTGGTACAGATACAATGGGAGGCTGATCGATGCCCGAGTGTGGTCAAGGGATGGCTCCCTATTGCTCAACCATGTTATGATCTGGTAATTGCTGCTCACTCAGAGGAAGAGTTGGAGGTGCTGCTGCTGAACCTGGAGCTTACCACTAAGAGGTGGGGCCTTACCATTAGCCCCACCAAAACTAAGCACCTGCCTGGGTATTTTGTACCATCGGACACTCCACTCCCACATCTCCCAATTGGTGATAGGGCAGTTGTGGAGAGAGTGGAGAGTTTCCCATACCTGGGCAGTGTGCTCATGACCAGCTCCGGTTTAATAGCAGAGGTCTCACCCCCAATCAGTCGAGCTGCATTATCTTTTCATCGGTTGAATAACGCTGTGTGGAAGCTACCTGGTCTGTCGCTCCGCACGAAGCTTCGGGTTTTCTCGTCCACGTAAATTCCCTCCCTTCTCTACGCTTGAGAAACGTGGACCCTCCTAATGGAACATCTTCACCGGTTAGAAATATTTAGGCTGGCATGCCTACGATCCATCCTGGGTTTAACCATGCTGGATTGTGTTTGGAGCTCACAAATCCTTGACAGATCTGGACAAAGTTCCATCGGCGAGCTCATCCGGCAGGCAAGGCTGCGTTGGCTGGGTCATGTAGCCCGCATGCCCAGCCACCGCATGCCTAAACAGCTTTTGTTCAGCCGGATCGAGGGGACTAAACGGACGCGGCACGGGCTAGAGAAGAGATGGAGTGATGGGTGAGTGCGTGGGTGAGTGAGTGGGTGAGTGAGTGGGTGGGTGAGTGAGTGGGTGAGTGTGTGAGTGAGTGGGTGAGTGAGTGAGTGACACGGGCTAGAGAAGAGATGGAGTGATGGGTGAGTGGGTGAGTGTGTGAGTGAGTGGGTGAGTGAGTGGGTGGGTGGGTGAGTGGGTGGGTGAGTGGGTGGGTGAGTGAGTGGGTGAGTGGGTGGGTGAGTGTGTGAGTAAGTGGGTGAGTGAGTGGGTGAGTGTGTGAGTGAGTGGGTGGGTGAGTGGGTGAGTGTGTGAGTGAGTGGGTGAGTGTGTGAGTGACACGGGCTAGAGAAGAGATGGAGTGATGGGTGAGTGGGTGAGTGTGTGAGTGAGTGAGTGAGTGAGTGGGTGAGTGAGTGAGTGGGTGAGTGGGTGAGTGAGTGGGTGGGTGAGTGGATGAGTGAGTGGGTTAGTGGGTGGGTGAGTATGTGAGTGGGTGGGTGAGTGTGTGAGTGAGTGGGTGAGTGGGTGGGTGAGTGTGTGAGTAAGTGGGTGAGTGAGTGGGTGAGTGTGTGAGTGAGTGGGTGGGTGAGTGAGTGGGTGAGTGGGTGGGTGAGTGGGTGGGTGAGTGAGTGTGTGAGTGTGTGAGTGAGTGGGTGAGTGTGAGTGACACGGGTTAGAGAAAAGATGGAGTGATGTGGTATAGGAGGACGTGGAGCTGAGTGGACTTGCCGATGACTGGTACCAGCGGTGTCAAGATCGGCCTCTGTGGAGGAGGCTCGTGAAGGACGCTACTGGGCAATTGGAGGCAGTCGCCCTCCAACAACAACGGAGGGCGGAGGAGCGACGCTCACAACAACGAGCGGAGCGCCGGGTGGCTAAAGCACAGCAAGTTGGTACAGTAGGGGGCACAGGTGGTGCATCAGCCAGTCATCTCAGTCAGTCGACCCGTGGCACCTGCTGGGTCTGCCCCGTGACCTCCTGCCAGCGGGCGTTCGACACTTCACGTGGCCTCAACGTGCACCTAGCCTGGCACAGCCACTTGATGGCGATTGTTGATGTTGCGGTCGTGTAAGTAGTGTAAGCACGTTGCGCTACGAACCCGGCTAACCCGGGGTTCGATTCTCGCTCATCGGTGACGATTATCTGAACCGGTACCTGGGTCTCCCCTAGGTCTACTCGGCCTCAAACGAGTACTCGGTGCGTTGTCGTAAAGATCCGCCACTCGCGGGAGATGAAGGCGGGCGCGGTGCGGACCACTCGAGCCCCTTCGTGTGCCGTCCCGGCCATTAATAGGTGCTCGCTAACAGCGCTATATGTACATATATATATGTGAAGATTAAACACTTTATTTACCGGGGAAAGGACCTCGCCGGTAGTGCTCGCCAAGGCCTCCTTTGCTCGCGAAGTTCCCTGCCCTGCGTTGCGCGGCGGCTGCGTCTTCGACGGCAGAAAAAGAAACAAACTTGGACCCGCCAACGGAGGGAGAAACAACAAAAACCTCCGCGCGGAACACGAAGAAGAGAGAGACGGGAGGAAGAGGAGAGGAAGGGGAGAGGAAGAGGAACTATCGGAGAGAGAGAGGCGCTCGACAGCTCTCGCGGGCGACCGGGTCGGTCGGCCAGCCCACACTGCCCTTGACCTTTAACAGCGCCGCAACGCGTGGTGCGCGGATCTCCGAGAGCGGCGCAAAGTGCGATGGATTAACTCCGACCGAGTCGCTCGCGGTGATTCTAGGAGGTGAAGAGAAAGGAGGGGGCTGGTGGTGGTGCGTGAGCGGTGGTGGTGGCGGCGGCCATCTTAGGTGAGGGTTCATTCCCAGCGGCGCGTGAGCTTCGGCGGCCATCTTGCGTGAGGGTTGAATCCCAGGGGTGGCGAGCGGCGGCCATCTTACGTGAGGGTTCAATCCCAGGGGTGGCGAGCGGCGGCCATCTTACGTGAGGGCTCAATCCCAGGGGTGGCCATCTTACGTGAGGGTTCAATCCCAAGGGTGGCGAGCGGCGGCCATCTTACGTGAGGGCTGAATCCCAGCGGCGGAGGGTGGGGTCAGCTTCGGCAGCCATCTTACAGGAGGGATGAATTCTAGATTTGAAGCTTTCGTGACTGCAAGGATTCCTATTCTTAGGTTTTTTCGGTAAAGTCACGTAGGTAAAACATCAAAATTAATAAAAATAAAATAATTATTTTATTTTTATTAATTTTGATGAAATTAATAAAATTAATATTAATTTTGATGCTTTACCTACGTGACTTTACCGAAAAAACCTAAGAATAGGAGGGATGAATCCCAGCGGCAGGGGGGGTGAAATTCGGCGGCCATCTTACGTGAGGGTTGGTTCTCAGTGTGGGGGGGGGGGCTACCGAAGCTGCCGCTTCGTTGCCGTTATCCGGTGACCCCCCCCCTTCTCTCTCCCTACGTAAGATGGCGGCGATGTTGTCTCGACTCTCTCGAGGACTTTCGACGGCGTTCCCACCTCACCAGCTCCAGACGTCGCCGCCGCCGTCGTCGGTTACTGGCCACCAACTTATTTGACTCCAAATCTGACAAAGCAAATGAGCTCACGACGTTTAGTTGTATTAATTTGTTGTAATCACGGGCACTCCATCGTTGACATCGTCATCGGCACACGGTAAGGGCTCGTTAAATCCGCCGTCAGGTCGTGGTCCATCCACTGCTGGATGAAGACCCCACTCCCCCCCCCTCTCTCTTCACAAGCCGTCACCTCTCGCTATTTGTAACGAGGCACCAATTTATACCGGGGAATTAGGATGCTACTTCACAAGTGATGATGTAATAATTACTCGTCATGAAAGCCGAAATGTTAAACTGATTGGGCTACACCACAGACACTGGACTAATTAGACCGGGACGTTCAACATTTAGTGTGGACATTGTCATACACTCTACGTGGACACGAGTTATTTGTTTGATAATCGAGGGCAAAGTTATACTGCCATCAGTCATGTTCCAGGCTAAGTCTATTTGCAGATGACACGATACTGATTACTGCTGATGACGTGATTGCTAAGCTCCAGGGTGATTTAAACAAACTACAACATCAGCAAGTTGCTCTTAAACTAGTCCTAAATCTCGATTTAAAGCTTTCGTAACTGCAGGGATTCATCTTCTTGGTTCTTTCGGTAAAGTCGCGTAGAATGGAAATAATAAAATAATAATAAAAACCATTAAAATAATTCTCACGACGTTTCGGCCACAACGCAAGCAGCCGTCCTCAGGTGAAGACCAGGTCCTAAATCCTGCCAAAACCAAGGTGCTATGCTTCTCACCAGGACTAAAGCGAGAAGTTATTTTCCCCCAATTACATTCCTTAAATAATGATCAAATAGAGCAAGTCAAGATCTATAAGTATCTTGGGGTCATTCTGGATTCAAAACTGAATTTTGAAGATCACATTGATTATATTGGTAAAAAGACAACATTTTAAATTGGTTTTCTGTATCGACACAAGCACTGCTTCCCTCCTATGTTCCATTTGGAATTGATAAAAGCTACCATACTGCCTCTACTTGATTACTGTGACATTGTGTATAAATCAGCCTCAAGTATTGTACTGAGAAGCTTGACTCAATGTATCACTCGGCCTTAAGATTTGCATTGAACTGCCCATATAGGACTCACCACTGCGATCTCTACATTGGGTCAAACTTAACATCTCTCAATGTTCGACGGCTTGTGCACCAGATCTTATTTATTCATGATGTACTTACAAAAATCCGCAGATTACCTGCTAGATCTCCTCTCTGTTTCAAAGAACAAATTTGACCTAAGGTCTACGCTCATTTACCAGCTTCATATTCCCTATTGCCGTGCATATACTGGAGGAAGGGCCTTTGTTATTGATGCCCCCAGGGTCTGGAATGCTGTTGCCAATAAATTGTAACTTGAGTCACTACCTGTGAGGTTTTCACTCAAAACTGCTCTAGAGGAGTTGTTACACCCCTAGCTGACACTGCTATTCAGTGGCCTAAAATACAATGTTTCGCTCCGGATGATCGCTGCAAAGTATGATCTGTGTTTTGATTTAGTGCGCTGATCTTAAAGGTGGATTGAAAAATGTTGATACTCCGACTGATGCTCCTATTGTTGTGGAGTGACTCATGCAGCCAGCTATGGCTGCAGAATTTGGTAGTACATGTTGTTTATGTCATTTATTGTGAAAATTCTGTCACAGTTCCTATGATCACTGTTACATTGCTTTCATGGCTATATTTTGGTGATTTCGAAAAGTTTTTTGGTTTGGCCATGTTTGTTGTAGTACGGAGTAAGACTGATGGCCTTAATCTAAGTTGCCTTGTGGTTGTTGTTGTTGTTTGACTTGCATCCCACTGGGATTTTTCCACACAGCGTTGGTTTACGGTGTTTTTTCTGCAATATTTTGCTGTCTTTTCTTGGATTTTCTGTTTGCACTCGGTCACATATTCACTTTAAGATGTTTTCTTGTTCATGTTTTTTGTTTGTTGCGGTTGCACTCGATTCAAGAGCCAAATGGCTCACAGGGCTATACCTAATAAATGAACTTGAACTTGTGAACATGGAATTTCCACCACTTGGTATAATTTACGAGGCGAAGCGGTGGTTAGAGCACTGAGCCCCCGGTCACCCGAGTTCGATTTCCAACCAAATGAGTGACATTTGAACCGGTCCTAGACATTTCATTTATTTAATTTCATTTATTTGGTAAAGCCCTGTGAGCCATTCAGCTCTTCCCCCCACCCCCATTGACCCGTGTGGTGAAGTATGGTCAAACAACTCCCATGCCCCATACGGCGCAAAGGATTCCTTCATCCATCAGTGGATTGACAAGGGGGGGGGCTTGCATTATTGAGGACATGCCGTGACTCGCCATGTGAACATGGAATGTCCAGATTTGAAGTATTCGTGACTGCAAGGATTCATATTCTTAGGTTTTTTCGGTAAAGTCACGTGGGTAAAACATTAAAATTAATAAAAATAAAATAAAAATCACGACGTTTCGAAGGCAACGGAAGACGGAAGCTTGTGTTGCCTCCGAAACGTCGTGATTTTTATTTTATTTTACTTTTATTAATTTTAATGTTTTACCTACGTGACTTTACCGAAAAAACCTAAGATTATGGAATGTCCACTTTATCCTTGGATTGGACGTACACAGGGGTTTAGGTTAAATATTCCCCCAGCGTACACTACACACGTACAGTAACCATGGAGAAGGGCCTTCGGCCGAAACGTCGCCTATTACATATTTTACCACGGTGTTTATAGACGAATATGTGGTGGTTTATTTTTACTAATCTACGCACAATTCACGACGGTAATTATATTTTTCATCGTATATGTAAATCACATTTACATTTCGATTTAAAGCTTTCGTGACTGCAGGAATTCATCTTCTTGGTTCTTTCGGTAAAGTCACGTAGAAGGGAAATAAAAAAATAAAAAATATATAGAAAAATAATAAAATAATTCTCACGACCACAACGCAAGCAGCTGTCCTCGGCTTGCGTTGTGGCCGAAACGTCGTGAGAATTGTATTTTATTATGATTTATTTTATTATTTCCCATCTACGTGACTTTGCCGAAAGAACCAAGAACACATTTACATTCTGAACAATAAGAATAGGTTTTACCCCTTTCTGGCAATAAAACAGTTAAGATGTTCAAACACCAAATAGAAACCTTTTGCAAGGGATCAAGTACTGGATTAACCACACACACACACGTACGTGTGGTGAACATTCAAACAAAAACAAGCTCTGGTAATATATGGCCTACACCAGAGGCACTGAGAGGCTTTGTCTCACAAGTGTCAGACCAGAGAACTCCAAAAGGCGAATAGCACAAAGGATGTATAGCTCGGGGTGAGCAGCTACATAATGTTGCCTTTTATATTATACGCTGTGTAACAAAAACATTTTGTCATCTTCTTGGTTTCTTTCGGTAAAGTCACGTAGAAGGGAAATAATAAAATAATTAAAAAATAAAACATAATAAACATATGTTTTATTTTTATTATTAATAAACATATTATGTTTTATTTTTATTATTTTATTACTTCCCTTCTACGTGACTTTACCGAAAGAACCAAGAAGATGAATCCCTGCAGTCACGAAAGCTTTAAATCGAAATTCCTGGGTAGTGTTGTTTTCCAATTGCTTATGCCTCAAAGGTACAGAAAGTGGCAATTATTCCCCACAAACTTTGCTTTTGTGACCAGGACTCAAAAGCAAATTTAATCCACTCCATTAATAACACTAACAAATAAAAAAATGTTCCTGGGTAGTAAGTGTTGTTTCCTAATTGCTTATGCCTCAAAAGTACAGAAAATGTTTTTTATTCCCCACAAACTTTGCTTTTGTGACCAGGACAGTGATATTTAGAAATGTACCTATTTTCAATGGGAAAACGCGGTGTGCATTTGTGTCTTTCCCTCACATAAAGTCCTGGTCACAAAAGTAAAGTTTGTGGGGAATAATATAGATTTTCTCTATTTTTGAAGCGTAAGCAATTAGAAAATAACACTTACTACCCAGGAACAAACATCGTGTTACATAGTGTTATCAGAGCATGTTTGTATGTTTACCACAAGTACGTGTGTGTGTGGTTAACGCAGTACTTGATTGCGTTCAAAAGGTTTATATTTGGTGTTCGAACATCTGAACACCTGCCGTTTTATTGCCAGAAAGGGGTAAACACCTACTCCGATTTAAAGCTTTCGTGACTGCAGGGATTCATATTCTTGGTTCTTTCGGTAAAGTCACGTAGAAGGGAAATAATAAAATAATATAAAATTTTAACAATAAAAATTATCACGACGATTCGACTGCAGCACAAGCAATCATCATCAGGTGTGAAATCCACAGCAATATTTTTTTTTTAAATTTCCCTTCTATGTGACTTAACCGAAAGAACCAAGAATACCTACTCTGATTGTTCATACTTTAAATTAACATTGCAAGGAATGGTGACATGACGTCATTGCATATTTCGCCGCCAATGACGTCATGGGATCTTTGACCACCAGTCTCGGTAACAAACAAAAAAATCTCGCGCCTGTTTGGCCGGCCAATGACGTCGCTCGCCATTGGTCGCCGAGCAAGCGGCGTTCTGATTGGTCCGTGTGGTGCTGGGGGGGGCGTGGGGTCACAGCATGCGGGAGCAGCTGCATAAAAGGTAGCGGAGCGGGCGGTCGAGTTTTTCATGTTACTCCCAAACTCTCTTGCACTAAACGTGAACGATTAGGGCCGAACGTTTGTAACGAAGTGTGTGCGACACGTGCCAGGGTTGGGATAGATGCGTGCGGTGTTGCTTGTTGCTGGGGGGGGGGGGGAGGCGTTGAAATACGTGGAGGTGGTTTATTGAGGGGGGCCTCTTTCGGGGCCTGGGTTGTCGGGCTCTGGAAATGAATTTTTAAAAGGGCTCCGCAAACGCCGATTTCTTTTTAAAAAGTGTTCCTCCCTTTGTGATTGTGTAATGTGACGCGGCACGAAGCGGTCGCATTGTCTCGGGCGTTGCAGTCCTTCTAACGAGAGAATCGCCGTCGTAATTGTGACCCAAAAGCCGCGACCATCATTGCACATCACCACCATCGTTAACACCGTTATATAATAATTATCGTTATTTCCGTTACTATTATGATCATTACATCACCTTCTTCGTGTTCGTCACCACCACCACCACCGTCGTCATCGGCATGATCAGTCGTAGTCACCACGATTGTTATCAGGTCATGTCCTTAACCACGTTCAGCACCATTACCATAATTACCAAGAACGCCACCATTATCATCATCGTCGTCAGTACTATTATCCTTAACGTCGTCACCGTTATCACAATTTTATTCCTCACGATTATCAACGAAACGCCTCTCAAAAGTCGTCCCCTGTACCTCCGATTAGTACGGTTGGCTGCGTACTGTGCAAAAGAAGTTCGCACCATCATCATATTCAAGTCGCCATCACCAGCATCATCAGACGCAGATATATCATTTATCACCGTCATATACAGCGTAATTGTCACTAGGGTCGGTAAATGAGAAGCTTGCAGTGTTCAAAGGGTTGTGTTTTTCTTTTACTTGAGCGTTCGTCGCCCAATGGAGTATGGAATTCACTCGGACGGATGCGTGAGAAATAAAAAGTTGCGTCTGATTAGGGAATGTATTGGGATGCCGACCTTACCAGAACTCAATGGAATATAAACAATGTATACATGTGATGTGTGACTTGGCCTCGCCCCGATAACACAATTGCTACGACATTATATTCTTTGTTCTTTCGGTAAAGTCACGTAGAAGGGAAACAATGAAATGAAAATAAACAATACGATTCTCACGACGTTTCGACTGCAACACAAGCAATCATCATCAGGATAATCATAATCAGGATGATGATGATTGCTGTGTTTTTCATAACCTGATGATGATTGCTTGTGTTGCAGTCGAAACGTCGTGAGAATTTTATTGTTTTATATTTTTTATTATTTATTGTTTCCCTTCTACGTGACTTTACCGAAAGAACCAAGAATATGAATCCCTGCAGTCACGAAAGCTTTAAATCAAAATGCTACTACGTTAGAATTTACATGAATCAGAATTTGTATATATACTCGGAGTAACCCGCTGATCTTTAGAGCTATTTTTCACTGATATACAGTCGTTTTCACAGATGTGAATAGTGCCTTAATGGTCAGTCTCCATACCTAAAACAGTTGTTTTAGGCTGCTGTGGCGCTCAGGAGTGAAAAGTGCAGATACAATCAAATGGCTGCAGTGATTTACTTTTCCATATCTATGCTGACCGCCTTTATCCCACACTGACCAGCGTGGTGAATTAATTGGTCAAGTAACCCTCAGCCAACATGGCACCGGGAGGATCGCATTCAGCAGTGGAACGACAAGAGGCCTGTAATGTACATGTATATGAGAAACATTTATATTTGTTGTGTTTAATGACGGACGTAACCTGCGATAAATTCGGGTTCTCAAGTTTAATAAGTTGAATGACAAGTTTAATAAGTCCTCAAGTTGGGTGGCAGGGAGGCGCAGCATCAACACATGTGCCTCAGCAAGAAGGACCTGGGTTCGATTTCTAACTCGGGAACCTTTCTGTGGGAAGAGTGTATGATCTCAAGAGTGTGCGTTCAAGTGATTGTGTGCGTTTGTTTTCACCCCACCCCTTGTGTGCTGTGCCGGCCTTCATAGGTGCTCGCTAACAGCACTTGCTCCAAAAGTCTGTTAAGGCTATTTGTCAGTGAGTGGAGTTTGTATGTCCTCCTCCTGTTCTGCATCAATTTCCGCAGGGTTCTCTGGTTTCCACCCATTGCTAAACATATACGGTGTAATCGGTGTGTTGGCTTTATACCCTTGGTAAATAAGTAATTTTTTTATAAGTTGAAAATGCTTGCACAAGCATTGGTGACTCTTCCTTGTGGCTCTGAGGATGTAATAATTGTTTGTGTCATTGCCACGTGATGATCAGGGCATGGGAGGTGTGCCATGCAGTATGGATGAGGCAATTGAAAATAACTTCAGAAGTAGTTCTGTGACATTGTCTTCCTCGGGTCATTATTTAATGCTCTCTGTGAGAGTTTCAATTGGTAGTGTAATCCTCTCGTGATCATGTGACGCTTTATGAGAAGGTTTAGCATTTACATGATATGGAAGAGCAAACATTTATTTGCCTTCAGAGAAATGAGACATTCAACAACACAGCCAGTGGTGAGGCTATATATATTATGTCTAAGGTCATGGGACCTTAGCTATGATGGGTAATTCACATTGCCATAACAACACGCTATGGCAGCAGTTGCTAAGGAACATGCCCTCAGAGATCACCGACTTATTGTTCGTATTGTTACAGCACATCACAGATGGCGCAGTTGGAATGTATTTGTTATTTCACTTATTTGATGTCACGATATTTGTTATTTTATTTAACCCCAGGTCATACTTGTAAACAAGACCACGGTTCATACTTATCTTAATGGGTTTTACCAAGTAGGTTTTCGATGTGTTTGCAGTTTCTACTACGTATTGTTCAGCACGACGTCCAGCATTAAGCTGCTTGTGCTGGGAGCATCTTTGGGAACCGAATTCGGTTCAGACCTCACTATGTTTGGTCTTTGAGATAACTCAGGTAAGCCTTGCCGAACTGAAGGCAGTTACTAAAGAAGTTAACAGCATGTGCAGTGGATCGTCGGATATTACACCAAGCAACACACGGTGCAACCCGAAAACATATCAGAGAGCTATGCATTGTTTCTCCCTCCTGGTGAAATAAAATCTGGTTGGACGGTCAGATTTATGAAAAAAATTTTAAATGGACAGACTCACTGTTGCCGTACAAAGGAAGAAATTCTGCCCCAGTTGTGTGGCGACATTGACTGGGGACCACCCACTGTCACTCTCTTTGCAGGCATCGTCGTTAATTAACGAGCCAGCGAACCGAACCGCGACGTTGCAGCGATGGCGTGCGCCGTGGCAGAGCCGGACCCGCGCGGGGACTTCCCGGCGTGGCTGGCGACGCGCGGCATGAAGCCCACGTTCGCCGACGCCATGGAGCGCGAGCTGGGCATCAGCGACTACGAGGAGCTGCTGGCGTGCGCCGAGGATGCGCAGGTGACGGCCGAGCTGCTGGGCGCCGCCCGCGACCGCCTGCCCTTCGCCTTCTACGCCGTGCTGCGCCGTCTCGTGCGCGCGTTGGCGCCGCGGCAGCGACAGCGGTGGTGGTGGCGCCAGCGCCGACGAGGCCGCCGCCGCAGCCGGGGACCGCTGTCCGGAGACGGCGAAGACGATGGCGACGGGAAGGAGGAGCGAGCGAGGGACGATGACGGTGGTGATGAGGAGGAGGAGGATGATGAGGAGCTGGGAGGGTGCGCCCCCCGTTGCGAAGGAGTCCTGGCGAGTCGCGCCGTCCTCGACGCCATCGTGGCCACGCTGAGCTCCCTGAGCCGCGAGCTGCTGCAGTCGGCGCAGAGATTCCGCTGCCTGGACTCGCTGGTGCACGGAGACAGTGCCGTGGGGCCGAGCGAGGGGGGAGGCAGCCCCTACCTCAACACCACCACCATGTCGGAGGAAGGTGGGATGCTTTACACGACAGACTGATAGAGCGACACACTGCTCTCTGCTCATGGTACCGTAGGCGCCACGGTGGCGAGATGTTAACTGCCTTTCCTGGTATGGAGGAGGTCGTGGGTTCAATCCTGACCGTTGTATGTTTTGAGTTTGCATGTTTCTTTCCCCTTGGTCGTGGGAATTTTTCTCCAGATTTTTCCATCCACATTTAGAATCAACATACGTTTGGAGTATTTGTCTGCTATAAATACATACGTGATAACCCACTTCGTTGAGCTATCATTTGTGGCCAGGTCGCTTCTGAAAAAGAGCTCAGTGGGCCTTACCTGGTAAAATAAAGAAAATAGTTTAAAGTAGTTACAGTATAATTGCACATTGGTCTCTGGGTGGGTCTCTCAGCAACAGACTGACACACTGGTCTGATGCAATTATTAGACAACAGTGGCAGACTTCATAACACTGGATTGGCAGACTAGTGTTAGTTGGGTCTCCAGCCACTAATATACTGACAAACCAGATTCCATTAACAGTAGCCTTATAGTCCGGTGTCTTGGGTGGGCTCTTTATCCAATAATAGACCGATAGCACCGATCTCTAACTTGTGAAATTTCCCAGGCAAGGTTAACGTTTGCTTCTCTCGGTGTCTGTTTTGAACGCGCCCGTAGTGGAGGTGGCCGAGTCGTTTGAGGCGGAGGCGTTCCACCACGAGGAGTCGGTGAAGATGTCGGAGAATGAGGCCGGTGGACGGCACATGGGGCAGGAGTGGGGTGAGGGGATGGCGCCAGCCGTGGAGGAGTGTGGGGAAGGTGAGTGAGGTGGGGTGACTGCGGTACCGACCCACGTGATGTACGTGTGGGTCGGTACAACCGAGCCGCACCAGGGCCGTGCCCGAGTAAAGCCCGGCACGGGTTGAGAGGCGCCAGTGTTGTTTTTCAACCGCGGAAGCCGTGCTTTCTGGTGTCGCACAATGAACGAGTCGAGACGCGCGTAGATGACGCGGTGACGCAGCGTACTCGTCACGTGCCGACCGACGTCGGTGCCCATTGAACGCACCGTTAACTCCACCCCTGGCCCTGCTTGGCCCTAAGCGTCCATTACGCTGACCGCGCGCCGTCGTCGCTCCGCTCGCGTTGCCGCAGACTTGGCGGACGACGCTCGGGAGGGCGTGGTCGCCATGGAGACGCATGGCGTGCCGGGCACAGGCGGGCGATGTTGCAGCAGCAGCAGCGGCGGTGGCAGCAGCCACTGGGAAAAGGCAACGACTGTGAAGACGGAGAAATTCTACAACGGTGAGCCCCTGGAGGAAGACGCAATGTAAAACGACACCAACGGCTCTCGCCTTGTAGATTAGTGTCCAGGCACCGTTGAGACCTTGGGTTTGAATCCAGGTTGCAGCCCCTGTGATAAAACTGGCTTCTCAAGAGTCGTGATTTCATAGCCTTGGCACGGCCACCGCTTAATTTGCCTACGTGCCAATCGTGAGAAACTTGTATCAGTTCGACGATCGTGTGTTGAACTTACTCTTACCTGCATCCTGTGTGGACCCGATATCGCTTGAAGGGATCTCGGAGGTAGCTCTGTAATATCCGCTTCCGTGGGCTGTTCTCCAACGCAGTGGGCTGCGCTGCTCTTTCAGGAGATCCGAACGGATTCTTCATCTCGTGTTGAGATGCCGATGGTACAATCTGGATATATTTTGGGAAAGAGACAAATATACAAAAGTTTATACTTCTCAAACGAAACTTGTAACTCAATTTGGACAGTCCGGAACACAGCCCAGGTGCTTAACTACAGGATTGGAGATGCTTGTTCTTTGGGGTTATATAAATATGCGACATTTTAAATGCATGAACATGTGCTGGCCAATGTTGAATCTTTAAAGCACAGATGTAAGACTCAAAATGCTAGTAGCTATTATATTGTGCGTACATATCTGCACTGTGTGTCCTGGGATGTCTGTTGTGAGTTTGAATATTCGTCTAAGCAGAAAGTTACTTTCAATTAACTTTCAAGAGCATGACCAGACCTTGTTGTTAGAACATCTGAGGGTTTTCTCTGGGTGCTTTCCTGTCTTGTGAGTTAGCAAAACGTGGCAATGCAGGTCCCTGCTTTATTATACTCTTTGGGTCTTTCGGTAAAGCCACGTAGATAGAAAAATAATGAAGAAATCACAGCTTATTTTGTCACCTGAAGACGATTGCTCGTGTTGCGATCGAAACGTCGTTATTTTTTATTACTTTTCTACCTACGTGACTTTACCGAAAGACCCAAAGGGTATGAATTCCTGCAGTCCAGAAAGCTTTAAGTCAAGATTTGACTCTTCTTTAATAAGATATATTTTAGACTTCGTGACACTTTTTCCTGGGTAGATGAGTGACATTGTTGTGAATATCAAATTAAAATCACTTAAATATGCTCATCAACATTGACCATTGTTAAAGCACCGGTTGGTGAAATGCACTTTGAACCGAGCGATCTGAGGTCAATTGAAATCTGTGCGTGGTGGTCACCCAACCATGCTCTATCCAGGTTAAAAGCCTGCTTAGCTTCGGTGATGTGACGAGATTGAGCGCATTACGGCTCATTTGTTCTTGGGCTTAAAAACATCAACTCCACTCTTGGTTCTGGTGTTGTCGCGCTGCAAGGGCATTACGTGTGTTCATCCCTTAATTCCCAAATCCTTTCGCTTTCCGCCCGAAGAAAGCGACCGGCAGCGTCGCAACTCCCTCCGCGGCAGCCCCAGACCGAGCCGCCACTCCTCTCACGGCCCCACGCCACCTCCGCCGCCGCAGCCTCCGCAGCAGCAGCCACCGCAGCAGCCTCCGCAGCAGCAGCCACCGCAGCAGACACCGCCACCGCCAGTACCGCCGCTCACCGCCGACTGGCACCACCACCACCACCACCCGGCCTCGGCCGAGCCATCCCGACTGCTCGCGAGGAGCGGCGAGGGCCCGTACGGGCACGTGCATCACCACCACCATCACGAGCACGCGGCGGCGACGGCGGCAGCGGCGTCGTACCACCCCCTCGGCCCGGGCGAGGACACGGGGGCGATCCACGGCGCCGGCGATGCCCCGCCGCCCGGCACGGAGCTGGTGCAGACAGGTGACGGGCGGTTTATCCGCGCCGCACAGGGGGTCGGAGGCCACCGCCACCGCCCCCCCCTCCTCCACGCTTGCGCCGACTGCGGCAGGGGCTTTGCGCAGACGTCGGACCTGCGGCGTCACGCGCGCACGCATACGGGAGAGAGGCCCTTCGCTTGCGCGCCCTGCGGCGTGCGCTTCTCGCAGTCGGGCAGCCTGGCGCGGCATCGGCGCTCGCTGGCACACGCGCTGGGTCGGGTCACCGCCACCGCTCCCGTGCAGCCATGGGTGGCGCTGTTCTGACCGTGGCGGAGCGGTTGCAGCTTGGTTGTTGTGGACGCGCCGGTCGGTGGTGTTCCTGTCACGGTGATGATGATGATGATACTAATGACGATAATTGGTACATTTGGTTTTGGGGCCATTCTTAGAGCACCAGGCTGTCGTGAAGACGCCGCGATTCCCCCGGCCGCGTGCCTGCGTGCACGTTCGATCAGGAAGTGATGCTGTGTGAAGTCACGTCGCAGGAAACGATGTCACAGGCAGTGGTCTTTCTTACCTCTCTTCTGATGTGTTACTGACCAAGGCCATGTTAAGCCGAGCCAGGTCCCAAATGTTTGAGTATTACAGTGATGCAAAGAGACACAATGTGAATTTGTGCAAAGTGTCGCCTGTTTGTGCCGACGACCCACTCATTATTACCCGAAGCCTCGCACCATCGCACCTACTGAAACGATGGATGATGACAAGCAGGTGCCACTTCCCGTGATGTCACTTCGAGTGATAATGCACTTCCAGATGGAGTGAGCCCAGTGTCAGGCCGGGGTGGCGGCATAATCTCTAAGTGTGTGACATGGTACCCATCTCCGATCGGCACGTGGACAAGCGCCACGTCGTTCTCTCCTTGTTGTGAAGACGCGGCGTGCGAGCCCCGCTCCGGCTCCCGGTTTTGGCGATGTTTTGCGCGAGGTTTCGATTTTCTGGTGCTTGTCGCGTTAGTTACAGAAAGAGGATGCATTCTAAATGTAACCGTGGACACGGGGTCTCGATAGCACCGCCGTTGGAAATGCCGCGAACAGCCAACATGCGAACCATGCGACGGGCGGTGTTACGCGCACTGTTGACTGGGTATTCACTTGTTAAGAAAAAAAGGCTCTCTCCTCCCCCTCTCTCTGCCCCCCCCCTTCCCGACCACCGCAGGTGACAAACGCGGTAATGTCGGTGGCATCGGCGGCGTCAGCAGCGTCTTCACGAGGAACTGTTTCCCGGACGAGGCGTACGCCTTCCACCCCATAAACGTGGTCGGCTTCTGCACCGAGGCGACGCTCCTGCCACCCAAGCCGTCCATCTACAGCCTCGGCTGCGGCCAGATGGACGGTGCCGCCCCGCCCCCGTCGTCGTCGGGGCTGAACGGCGGCGCTTGCCAGCCGTTGCCAAAAGCGCCGCCGCGCCGGCAGGACGGGCTGGGCGGCGCTCAGGATCCGGGATCGGTGACGCAGCCCCCGCCGGTGGCGGGAGGTCCGGCGTCGGCACGCACGTCGTTCGTGTGCGTGGAGTGCGGGCGGTGCTTCGCGAGCGCCACGCTGCGTCGCGTGCACCAGCGGCGCGAGCACAGCGCCGAGCGACCTTTCCACTGCGACATGTGCGGCAAGCGCTACACGCAGGCGTGGCTGCTGGCGCGTCACGCGCGCTCCCACACGGGCGAGCGGCCCTTCGCCTGCGCCGACTGCGGGCGACGCTTCTCGCAGGCGTGGATCCTAGAGCGGCACAAGCGTACGGTGCGGCACCACCGGCACAGCGGCGGCGGTGGTGGCGGCGTTGGCGGCGGCAGCGGAGTGACGGTGGAGCCAGTGCCGCCGGGGCTGCAGCTCACGTGACGGTGACGCCGGCGCCCGATCGAGCCGGCCGCTTTAAACGGAGAGAAGTTCGGGAATCGTCTCCGTGCTTGAGGGGAGGAGGGATGGAGTGGGGGAGGGTTGAGTGGAGAAGCGACAAGAGATGGGTGGGCGGACTGACGGACCGACAGACAGACTGATGGAGGAGCAGATGAGCACATAGGCAGAATGATGAACAGCCAAATGGATGGGTAGGTGAATGAATGGCAGGACAAATACATGGGTAGAAAGATGAACAGGCAGATGGTGGAATGGAGGGACAGACACCGCTGACGAACAGATGGACATATGCATGGGCAGACAAATAGACTGACGGACAGACTACAAAGTGGATAGACAGGTACAGAGATGGACAGGAGAAATATAAGCAAACAGATGGATATACAGATTGTGCAAAGGAAAGATAAAGACGCCTGGTTGCATGTGGACCGACGCGGATAAATAAGTTAATGGGCAGACAGGCAGATGGGCAGGCGGGTGGGTAGGTGAAGAGATGATTGCACAGATACACGGGCGGATGGAACTATGGACAGACGAACAGACAGCGCGTAGGAGAACTAAACGGGACGGACGGCGAGCCTCGCACCGTTGACCTCGTGGTCAATGCGGCGGGCTTGACACCAGTGTGTGGAGATGAGAAGGGTAGAAGCGACACGATGGGATGGGGTGGTAAGGAGTGCTGCTCTGCTTGGTAACACGTGTCCATGTGTATTTCAGTCTTCACATGTGTTGGGGGGGAGCGGTGGGGTAGTGGTTAGCATGCCACGCTATGAACCCAGGCCACCTAAGTTCGATTCCCGGCCTTGGCTAACATCAGTAGGGAGTGACATCTGAACCGGTTCTGAGCCTCTCGTAGGCTGACTCGGCCTTGAGTGCGTACCTGGTACAGTGGGTAAACATCAGCATGGGGGAGACATCGGCGGCTAGGCAAAGAACTGGCCACACCCACTGAATTTCGTGTTTGGCCTTAATAGGTGCTTGCTAATAACACTTGCCCTAACAGTCTATGTACAGTCTATGGAGGTGTTGATTGTCTGTTTTATGGGTGTGCATAATTGTTTGTGTAACTATTTGTCTGCATTGCGCGTTTGTATGTATGCTTGTCAATGTATGTATGTACGGGTGTGTGTGTGTATGTGCGGAGCGGTAGTGTAGTAGTTTGCGCACTGCGCTATGAACCCGTTAAATTCCCACTCAACCAATAACAAGTGGAAAATATTTGAACTAGTCGTGGGCCTCCCCTAGGTCGACTCAGCGTTGCAATGAGTAACGAGCATGACCTCGAGTTAACATCAAAGTCGTACGGTCGCGGTTGGAAAGTGATGGTCCCAAAAACATTTACAAGGCTGTTATCGGAGCTTAAACATCGACGTTTGTTAAGATAGGTTTTTTTTGTTCGTTCGTTTCTCAATCCTCTTGTCCTGGTAAGGGTTGTGGCAGCATGATGAGTAGGGCGGTCCAGACCTCCCTTTCCCTGGCGACAGAGAAAGATGAGGTCTGGTGATAGGGAAAACCTTCAACTTGACAGCTTCCCTCAGGTGTCCACCAGCGACTCCTAGGGTTGCCGCAATGGCAGGCCACAGCTTTTCGCAGCTACATCCACAATCGAGGTCCTGAACATCGTCCACTCGGACTCACTGTCAACGACTACCCCTGGAGTGCAGGAGAAGTTAATACTTGGCGAGAGATTTAACGAAGCGCATCTCACTTTGCCGGTGACCCCGTGACATCGCAGCTGGGTCAGGGGTCGTAGAACGCAGATATTTTTATTTAACCCCTTTTGTGTTCCGAGACGACGGCAAGTTGCAGGGTGGGTCCCGTTCACCACTGAATCTCGGCACGCATAAGCTATCCGAGTGAAATGTATTTTGAGAGGTGTAGTGCCACTGTTTTTAAATACCACAGCAGAGAACTGTAGTGACACGACCACACTCTGCGATAGCTGGTGCCAAACTGTGGCACGCCTTCTGGCAGTCAAGTTACCAGTCAAGTTACTTTTACTTCTGGTTCCGTTCCGATGACGTACATCATCGGAACGTTATCGGAATAAAAACCGATGATGTACACGTACATCAGCGGAACGGGAGAGAGCTAAGGTATCAGGAACACCTTGCTGTTGGACCTCGATGGGATTGGTTGCAGCTGACTCCAGGTTGCTACGGGGTGTGTGGTGGCCCATCCCGGTGCGAGCTCAGAGCCAGCACGGTTCCAAATGTGCCATGGAAGCGCATCGACTGTCTCGCCCCGAGCCGCGCCTGTCGTGGTACGTAATCGTTTTTCAAGCGCATGGAGCTCATCGTGAGAAAGTCCTCAATCTCTGGAGCTATGGGACAGACACGGGGTGAGAGTTTAGTGCAAGTTGGTAGCGGTTAAGTTTATACGTATGGGCTTTTGAGCGCTATATTATCCCCCCCCCTCCTTTGTGTGCGTGGGTTTACTAGGAGCACTCCATGTTTTTTTTAGTTTTCCTCATCGCGATGCAAATTGCACGCAAAGCAGTTTGCCGAGCATCCAAATGCAAGACACTCCTGCTAAATAAATCGCAAAGACTTAGGCTGCTGGTTTAATCAATTAAATGTGTTTATGTTCTTTGGGTTTTTCGGTAAAGTCACGTAGATAGGTTCAAATTAATAAAAATAAAATGAACAAAAACCACGACGTTTCGATATCACCACAAGCGATCGTCATCAGGAGGAAAAAAAAGGGGGAAAGCTGCTGAGGCAGACTCGGCAGCTTTCCTCCTGATGACGATCGATCTACGTGATTTTACCAAAAGACTCAAAAGAATATGAATTCCTGCAGTCACGAAAGATTTCAGTCAACATTTAAATGTGTTTATTAGCGAGGGTTTGTCTAATCAACGGCGTGACTGCTGTGGCATGTGTTCGAAGTGGGCAGGTTCCGCCTATTGGGATTTGTGTTACTGATGGTCGTGGTCATTGCTGTCGACGTATACAGATCTCGTAAGAAATTCATGAGGAATGCGATACCGGTAAGCGTTGCAGTGTTTAACAAGCAAATATGTTATGATGCCAGCGTGGGAGCAGTGTTGATTTTAGGATACAATGAACATGGAACACCATGAGGGTGGGGGGCAGGCACCTTATATGTCCACTCCTCCACTCGGTGAAAAAAATATATGAATTGGATGATACTAAGAGCAGTCCTTGGAGGTCAAATGCAAACTGCTGTGGGATCTGGCAGAAGGAACAGAAGTGATGGTGGCATCAACGGCATTGGCTGAGTGCCTTCCAAGCCATCCTGAGGAGTTGCCTCTGAATGGGGGGCACACAGGCGGGGCACAGCCCCCCCCCCCCTCCCTCGCATCCCAGGAGAATCACCGAGGCGTTGGAAGGGGTTGGGAGATTGGTGGCGGCGGCAACGGCAATCCGGACGGGTTTTGTCCGAGTACTACTGCATCGTTTTTTAGGCTTTTACTCTTTCCAATTGTAAGCGCTAAAATTCATAAAGAAGAATTTTATGATTGTTTCTTGTGTAATTTATTACCTGTTGCGTTGCCGTTTGGGGATTCGCGAGCTAAATTCTCGCGAGCGGGGCGCGGCACACGCGAGTGTGCGCCGTGATTTGTATGGGAGCGTTTCTCCCTCCGCCGGTTCGCGTCTCGCGTGTTCCAAGGTCGTGGGGCAATATCTGCGGCGGTTGTGGGCGTTCCCGTGATCCAAGCGTTCAGCCCACAGTTGTAAAGGTCGCGAGTTCAAATGACGATGGAGAGGTGAAATTGACACGTCATTATCGCCATCACTACTTCGATATTGATAAAAAAAAACATTGAGCAGCGGTGGCTTTTACGTGAGGAATGGAGAGTAACTTTCAGACTGGGTTACCCACGATAGAAATGTGGAATTTCAGCCACCGACTCCTGACTGCTGATGCAGATGAGAACCATCCTACGTTGAGTTTTGGAGGATCTTGGTTTGTCGTATGCGAAATGAAATTGTCGCATACATTTAAATTCTTACAAAAAAATGTCAAACAAGCATTGATAAAAAAAAACTGAAGACAGCAAAAACACAAGCAACGGCGTTGCCATTGGTGCACAAACGCACATTTTTTTTAATAAAAAAAGCTGTCCCGCGTTTGCCATGGTTACTGACTCAACTAAAAAACGTTTCAACCACCCACCCACATTAAAAAGAAGAGGCACTGCCCGACATGTCCGACTTATGTTTTTTAAACTTTTAAGGCAGCGTTAAATGATGAACATAGTGAGTTTATTTTTTAAATAGATTGCGGCAAGGGTTAACGGGCAGTGGTGGGTTCATGACTCATTGCGAGGAGGAATTAAATTGAACGTGTGGTGCATTGGATAGACAAGAAAAAAACGTTTGACCCAGAACTATTTCTTGTGCTCAAGTCTCATGGCCCTGGCATGTGACTTGATGACGCCCCTACTGAATCACAAGATTTCTCGAGTATAGAAAGTTGAGAGGTGCCTGGGTTCAAATGAAAGAGACGCTTACATTTAGAGTGCATCCTACTGCTTTGTTGTTTGGCGTGTGGACTTACAATGACTGCGATGCCACGGGTGCGTTTGTTTTATAGTAAACACATCGCCATGCGTTTGGTTAATGTGCGTTTTCCATTGGTTGATAACTGTTCCTCATCAGTATCTATAGAGTTACGTGTAAAATGCCGCAGGTTGCGTTTTGGCTTAAGTCATTTTAAGATAAGTAATCAAAAAGTTTTCCGCATTATCGCTAGAAGCAAAATGTTTTATTATAATGTCTGGATAAGTTACTCCTGTTTGTAAGCGAGCGCATTTTAGAACTCGGTCATGTGATTATCATTTTATTTTATTTTTCTCTTTCAAAGCAAGCGGACGACGCGTGCTCTCGCAGTCATGCAAGCCGCCTTCTTGGTGGCTGTTCTGTCTTCAAGTTATTTCTAATCGGCCTGCTTTATAAGTTATAATAAATATGTTACAAACACGCTTCCTCGTCGCCGCGCCCTCCTGTTTTTCCGCAGTGTGGATTTTGGACATTTATTTTTGTTGACCGAAAAAACAGCAACATGGGCGATGGCTTCCTCCCGGCATTTATCTTATGCAGACTTGTATGTGCCGCCTTAGTCAAAAGACACTTTACAACAATTGTAAAATCGTACATAAGATGATAGCGGTTCAGTTAAATGAGTGGGGTTATTAAAATGGGTGGTGGAGTGGTTAAGGAAGGGTTGGGGCAGTGATAACTTCAACCGTGACGATGGGTACAAACTGAGTAATCATTGGAAAGATGTCATTAACCATGTAAAAAAGATTTAACTACATATTTGTACCATCTTATCTGACAGGTACTATTCTACTTTACCGAGTGTTGACATCCCCAGCGTTTACCAGTATTGCTTACTTTTATGCTTATTATCAGCTAACACCGGCCACAACCATGAGCCGATGTGCACCATTGTTCTCTTTGAGCCCCGCTCCCCAGGACCATCAGGCCATCCCCCTGGCTACCCCATTCAGACAAGCCCCTTCCCCTCCCCTCCTCAACTTGTATTTAAAAGCATGCCTCTTGAATTTTTTTCCCCTCACTTAATACAGTAAATTCAGCTGTGACGGTCCCACCTGATGACAGAGACTTGTGTTGCCTCCGAAACGTCGTGATTTATTATTTTATTTCTATTATTTATTTTATTTTTTACCTACGTGACTTTACCGAAAAAACCTAAGAGTAGTGATAGGGGTTGCGGTAGGGGTATTGATAAGGGTAGTGATAAAAGTAGGGGTAGTGATAAGGGGTTGGCCTGGTCGTAGCTCGGTGCCAGGAGTAGAAAGTAGCAGGACTGGCTCGGGAGAAGAGATGGGGGGGGGGGGGGGTGTTTCAAGTGAAAAACACAAGCTGAAGGTTGCTTTCGCGAAGACGATTCGCTCTTGTGTGCCGCAGGGGGGATGGAGTTGGCTCCAGTGAAGGGGAGCGAGAAGGAACGAGAGGGGCGCTAGAGAGCGGGAGCGTTGGGCCTAGGCCTCGGCAAGGCAAGGTCATTTACCATTTTTACCGGGTAAAAGGGTAAAGGTGTCGACCATGCCAAGGGGTAAGGTGAAAGGTGGGTAAAGGTAGCGTGGAATAATTACCCGGTAGTATTACCCGGTAAATACCCTGGTTACCGCTCGCTAATAGCTCCGTGGCGCAGTCCGTGGCCTCCATTTGAAATTTGAATCATTGATGTCGGACCAGGTGGAGACGGACCACGTTCTTGAGGTAGAGGTTGAGGTCGAGGATGCCTGCAACGGCATTTCAGGGGTCGCTGTGAACAGCAATCGAAAGAGGCAGCGGCATGCGTTCCCGTGGGCAGCAAGGAAAGCGGCAGTGCGTGCACTGCCGCAAGTGGTTTTCCTCCCACACGAACGCGTCAGGGTGGAAAGCCCACCTCAAGAAGCACAATGTGCTCGCCCCAGGCAGCGAGGTCGGGACGTCGGCGAGCCGCCTAATCCAGCAAACGCTGAGCCGGCCAGCAATCCCGGATCGCCTCCTGGTAAAGTTTGAGAACGCGGTGGTTGATTTTGTTGTCCAAAGTGCGATCTCTTTGCGAGCTGCCGGTAGTGACAAGTTCAAGACCTTGGTCAACACATTGACACAGGGATACAAGGGCCCGTCGACCCGCACCGTCATTCGCAGGCTTGTCGAGCTTCACACTATCATGCTGCCCATCGTCGGGGCGTTCTTCTCCAACCTGGACGTCGCCATCTCGCTCACCATCGACGGATAGTCGAACCGCTACCTGACGGCATTTTGGATGGTCACGGTGCACTGCATCGACACCAAATCTGGTGCGTCGAAATCCATGCTGCTGACGATCCTCGATGTGCAGTCCGGAAGGGCTGTCGGCAAGCGCATTGGGGCCGCTCTGTTTGAGCACCTCCAAAGCCTCGACCAAGCTGCTCGCTGTCACCAGCGACAATGGTTCCGATGCGATCGGTGCTGTCGAGACGTTCGCCCTGGTCAACGTGGACGCCGGAAATGAGCAGTTGCGGGCTTGCCACCATATTCGCTGCGCGGAACATACGGTCCAGATCGGCATCGTCCAAGTTCTCAAACTGATCAAGTCGACCAACGCCAAACTGCGCGAGGCGCTCGTCAATATCAGGCGCAGGAAGGTCGTCTGGCAGTCGTACCGCCACAAGGCCGAGGTCGCCAAGCTCGCCAGCAAGGAGCCGACGCACCAGGAATTCGACGTTTGACATGGGCGAACGGCGCCATCAAGAAGCGTGTACCATTGGACATTATCATGGCGCGCTTTCAGGATGTGATCGGCGTTGGTGCTTTCTCTGAACTGCAGTGGGTGTGACAGCATTCTGGCAAATGCCGCGCCAGGTCACGACTTCGTTGTCGGCGGACCGCAAGTCAACATTGGATCTCGTGCCGGTGACGATGGAGCACCTCGATCCGTCATTGCGATCGCAGTGAAGCCGCTCTGAGAGCGATCGAGGAGTCCTTCATCAGCGACGGGGATGAAGGCTGAGCTGGTGCGGTACCGTGACGTCCTGGTTCAGGAACCTGCCATTGTGGCATCCTACTTGAATCCACAGCTGCCGAAAACGACAGACCAAGACGAGCCGGCTACACTGAAGGCCGACGATCCGCTCTGTCCTGCAGCATCGTTACTCGGACGTGCTCGCGATCCCGCCGACGGCAGTCGCTGCCCATATGGAAAAGGGGTCGCTGCTCAGCAACGTCGGCAGCTCCATCGACGACGGCGATGAAGTCGATAGTTTTCTGAGCACGGGCGTCACGACCGCCAGCGCCTTCATTGACGTAATGCAGTGGTGGTCTCCCGCAAAGAGCTGCTCCCTGCCCACTACAAGATGGCCTGCGACTGCTTGGGAGTGCCAGCGACATCAACTCTCTGCAAACGCGCGAATAGCGGAGCCGGGCGGGAGTTCACGTGCGTTCGCCAGTCGCTGTTGTCGACGGTCTTCATCCAGTCCATGTGCTTGCACTCGTGGATCGCGGCCGGCTGCCTGAAGGTCCCCGTCTCACCGGGCCGGAGCGGCGCAGGATCTTATTGCCCGTCGTTCGTCCGAGGACGACGGCAATGACGACCTTGATCAGGTTGTTGATGAGATCGTCATCGACCAGGACGACTGGCACGAGGAGGTTAAGGAGGACGGTGTCGTCGACCGCCACAACGCCCGATTCGAGAATATTCTATACGAATAAAGCGCTCTACCTCGCATTTACCTGTTATAAACCTTTTTCATGCGTTGTACCCCGGTAATTACCCTGTAATCGGGTAATTTGTATGGGGCAAGGGTAAAGGTAGGTTCGTTTTTACCTGACCTTGCCGTGGACTAATTGGGCCCAGCGGTAGCGCATTCGCCGCTTCGTTGTGGTTCGAGCCCAGCAGCCACCCTGGTTAACGCTACGTTTGTGCATTCGCCAATCATACACGGCCGTCTGCTTCAATGGTCGTTAAAGATGACATTCAAAGAAGAGGGTCCCTTCCTACATTTGGATATTTGGCCAACACCCATGAAATTGTATGTATTTTAGCTATTGGGAGGTTACCAGAGAACCCAGCGTAGACCCATTCAGAACAAGGGGAGAACATACAAACTCGACCCAGGCACCCGAGTCGGGAATCGAACTGCAGGTTTGTTTTGCTGTGGGGCGAGTGTTACCACCGTACCACCCTGATACGAAGGGCGTCGTCATTGTTACATTCTGAATGATACTGGTAGGAACCTCCTGGTTCCACCAGCCCACAGGGGATTATTGTGTCTGTCCGTCCGTCGTGCATCCAAAAATGGGAGGGGTGGGGCTGGGTGGAGAGGGGAGGGGCTGGGTGGGGGGTGGGAGGGGTGGGGCTGGGTGGGGAGGTGCTGGTCACCCCGTGGTGCCCTTATAAAACCCAACGTTTAACCTACTCACGCCGGCTTGTGCCCGCCCTCACAGTCGGGCATATTTGCGGAATACACCACGCCGCCGTTGACCCTGGCCATTGACCGAGCAATCCAACGTTCCTACCAGCTCCCTCCGCAGGAATGTGTTATTCGCATATTTAGTTGACTGACCCGTGCCTTTCCAGATGAGCGTATCCCAGGAGGACGCCTTAGATGGGGCACGGCTCTGCGCAGTTACCACTGGATCAGAAACACGGATACAGAGGAGACGCATTGAGAGATTAAAACACCTTCCTGCGGAGGGAGCGGATAGGAACTTTGGGTTGCTCGGTCAATGGCCAGGGTCAACGGCGACGTGGAGTATTCCGCAAATATGCCCGACTGTGAGGGCGGGCACAAGCCGGCGTGAGTAGGTTAAACGTTGAGTTTTATAAGGGCACCACGGGGTGACCAGCCCCTCCCCACCCAGCCCCACCCTCCCCACCCAGCCCCTCCCTCCCCACCCAGCCCCTCCCTCCCCACCCAGCCCCTCCCCACCCTCCCCTCTCCACCCAGCCCCACCCCTCCCATTTTTGGATGCACGACAGACGGACGGACACAATAATCCCCTGTGGGCTGGTGGAACCAGGAGGTTCCTACCAGTATAAGTGAGCCCACCTTTCTTTCGTACGGCCGATGTAGATGCAGAGAAACGACTACAATTTCACATCAGCAGGAGCAGCGGAGTGCATCATCATCATCGCTGTGATGTCTCCTTCGCATTTGTGGAATCGGGGCTTTGGTCACAGTCACTACACCACTACTACTGGAGAGTTTTACATTTGTGCATCATCAGATATCCCGGCATCTACTGCCATGGTTTGTGCGGTGGATGCGGTTTAGGGTGGAACCACGAGCAGTTTCGTGGAAGATCAACCCCGGGGGGGAATCTGCGTTGGGTCTTTCACAACAAGGTGGTTTGTGAGTTATTTTGAACTCCATTCAGCTCTGGCGAATTTGTTTGGCTTGTTTGTGTTAGTCGTGTGCCACCCATACGGTTTTTTTTTCGGTTTGCACAAATGTTTTGTTGTTCATGATTTTTGTTTGTTGCGGTTGCACCCGATTCAAGAGCCGAATGGCTCACAGGGCTCTACCTAATAAATGAAACTGAAATGAAAAATTAAACTGGAACGGTTTACCCCGTATTCTTGTACAGGGAAATTGCGTTTTCAGTTCCATACGGCGTTACAGCCGTTTCAATACAGGCCAAAACAAGTTTGTCTATTCGTTTGTGTTCTTGGTTCTTTCGGTAAAGTCACGTAGAAGGGAAATAATAAAATAATAAAAATAAAACAATAAAATACAATTCTCACGACTGTTTCGGCCACAACGCAAGCAGCCGTCCTCAGGTGAAGAACAAGTTTGAATGACGCTGTCTCCCCTGACAGACCTGGTCTTCACCTGAGGACGGCTGCTTGCGTTGTGGCCGAAACGTCGTGAGAATAATTTTATTATGTTTTATTTTTATTATTTTATTATTTCCCTTCTACGTGACTTTACCGAAAGATCCAAGAAGATGAATCCCTGCAGTCACGAAAGCTTTAAATCGAAATGTATTTGTTTGTGTTTCTCCCTTATGATGGAACTTTGTAGGATACAATGCACGTTGAGATTCATACGGGGGGTCACGGTGTGACCTCTCGGGCTCTTAATTGTTCTGTAAAATGTCGGTACTGATGGGGGTTGACAGCTATGCGCCACTGTCAACGCAACAGCGGCGACAAATAAATTGCTTAATCAAGAGACGTGAATGGGCTTTGGGCAGTCATTGGCGGATCGGGACGCGGTGATGGTCGTTGTGGTCGAGAGTGGCGGCAAGAGTGGCAGTCAAAGGAGGGAAGAGGGGACATCACCTCGTGTTCGAGTTGGATTTCTACACCGCGAGACCGGTGAGAGATGGTGAGAAAGAGAGAGGCATTCATCCGGCAGTGGCAATATCGTAGAGAGGAGAAAACAAGAGGTCGGCATTTTTGTTGATTAATTCAGAGGGTCTTCTTGGTTCTTTCGGTAAAGTCACGTAGAAGGGAAGTAATAAAATAATAAAAATAAAACATAATAAAATAAAATAATTCTCACGACGTTTCGGCTACAACGCAAGCAGCCGTCTTCAGGTGAAGAATGAGACACTGCCAGCTAGGAGCTTATATATAAGCTGAGTTGGAGGTGGAAGAAGAAGAGCGCCTTAACAATAGAATGTGCATATCAAGAGGAATTTAGCATATTCATGGGAAATGCGTAGGAGGTGGGCAGGGGGGTTTCAAAGTCATATTATGCCCGTGCATGATGCAGGATCAGCAGCACCAAAGGGAGGGGGCAGGGGGTAGCATTAACAAAAGGAGGGCATATTTCGATTTAAAGCTTTCGTGACTGCAGGGATCCATCTTCTTGGTTCTTTCGGTAAAGTCACGTAGAAGGGAAGTAATAAAATAAGGGAAGTAATAAAATAATTATTTTATTACTTCCCTTCTACGTGACTTTACCGAAAGAACCAAGAAAAAAGGGAGGGCATGTTAATAATATGTAGAAGCAATGAAACATGTGAATGGGAGAACGGTGGCAGGAGACCCGCAGCGGAGCAAATAATGCATTCCCTGTGTAGAACACAAGATACACAGTCAATGCCAGTGAGTGGAGGGGGGCCCAGCATGGAAACCACGAATCACTGTGCGGTGAGTTTTTTTTTGCGCACCGCCGAGTTGGTGTTCTTGGGTTTTTTCGGTAAAGTCACGTAGGTAAAACATCAAATTTTATTTTTATTTTTTATTAATTTTGATGTTTTACCTACGTGACTTTACCGAAAAAACCCAAGAATATGAATCCTTGCAGTCACGAAAGCTTCAAATCGCCGAGTTGGTGTTCACGCACGCGGCCCCTCCCGCTGTCGACCAATCAGAGAGGGCGATGCTGGCGGACGAGTCTATTGTCGAACGCAGCGGGGGGGGGGGGGGGGTTATTCCAACGTGGATTTTAGCGCGACGGCGACGACGACGACGCGTTTGGTAACACTCGCGTCTTCTTTCGTTTGCAGCGAAAGGTAAAGTCACGTACGTACGTACGTTCATTCGCTTGGGCTTTGTGGAAATTTCGTCGACGTTTCTCTCGCGTGGCGGTTGAAATTTTTTTTAAATTCCTCCTCTATCACCCCCCCCAATGCGTTGCTTTTGAACGTGGGGCCCAACGTGAGGCCTACCTCAGGCCTGGCCCTCCGCCGCCCTTCGGCGTTCCCAGACCGCGCCCGCCGCAGTCGTAATCCACCCCCCTGCCACCCCGGCTCCTAGCCCCGGCTCCTAGCCCCGAGCTCCTAGCCCCGCTCTGCGTGTCGCTCCATCGCCTTCACCGCCGGCTGATTGCGACTCGCGCCGCGTCTCTCGGCTTGAAACTCTCCGCTCGGCCCGGCGGTGAGAACTCGACGAGTTGGTTGGGTTACGCGCAAAGGGACCAGTGTAGGTTTTTTTTACACCGCCACCACCATCTCCACCACGGCAACAATCGTTGTATGCTTAAACCACTAATTGGTGCTCGTTTTAACGACCTTGGAAGGATGATGATGGTGATGATAATAGGATGGGCGCTGCTGACTGATGGAAGCTCCACATTTTACTCTGATGGGAGGTGTAGGATCAGTCTGTGCGTAGGACAGCCATTATGGACAATCACAAATTGGTACCTGGTTTATTGATGGGAGGATGATGATGGTGATGATGATAGGATGGGCGCTGCTGACTGATGGAAGCTCCACATTTCACTCTGATGGGAGGTGTAGGATCAGTCTGTGCGTAGGACAGCCATTATGGACAATCACAAATTGGTACCTGGTTTATTGATGGGCGGGTGATGATGGTGATGATGATAGGATGGTCGCAGCTGACAATGGTGGCAAGCACCACATTTTACTCTGATGGGTGGTGTAGGATCAGTCTGTGCGTAGGACAGCCATTATGGACAATCACAAATTGGTACCTGGTTTATTGATGGGAGGGTGATGATGGTGATGATGATAGGATGGTCGCAGCTGACAATGGGAGCAGCTCCACATTTCACTCTGGGGGGTGCAGGGATCAGTCTCTCCACAAGACAACCATTGACGGTCAAATTAGTACCTAGTTTATAGAGGGAAGGATGATGATGATATAGGATGGTCGCATCTGACAATGGTGGCAACGCCACATTTCACTTTTCGTAGTGGGGGGATCAGTTTCTGCATAAGACAACCATTATTGACAACCACAAATTAGTACTTAATTTATAGATGGAAGGATGATGATGATAGGAAGTCAGTCTCCATATTCACTGTCAGTGGTGGAAATGGCATCTTTGCACGGCGGCTATCCGGAATGGGACGCCCACTGGCTTAACCACAAACGAATCCGTATTTTATTGACCTTGGAAATGTGAAGTTAACGACGATGGGCTGTGTATATTTCGTGAAGAGATTTTTTGTGGAAGTGGGATGGTTAATGGGAACGACGCGCCGAGTCTCAGCTCAGACACCGCAATTGCCATTTCACTCTGACTTTTGAAAAAGATCGAAATAGCCCAGTGGGTCTTTTAACCTGGCAAAATGAAACATTTATATTTCGATTTAAAGCTTTCGTGACTGCAGGGATTCATCTTCTTGGTTTTTTCGGTAAAGTCACGTAGAAGGGAAGTAATAAAATAATAAAAAAATATTTTATTATGTTTTATTTTTATTATTTTATTACTTCCCTTCTACGTGACTTTACCGAAAAAACCAAGAAGATGAAACGTTTATAGTTGACTTATTTTGTTGTCGCGCACACTTGCGAGTGCAGACCACCACGAACTCGAGGCGATCACACGTAGCAAGCTATTTAGGAACAACCCTCTTATGAGGCATCCCTTAGGATCGGGGATGCTGACCATCTGCAGGCCAGTAACTGGGTTCCAGGTCTTCTGGTTGGAGGGCCCCCCGGTCAATCTCCACTGGCCGTATCCGCTGCAAGAGCTTTGTGCACGGGTCCAGCAGCAGATAGCCGTGGGCTAAAACTAAAAAAACTTTTTTTTATTTGGCCAGGTAAGGCCCACTGAGCTATGTAGCTCTTTTTCAGAAGCAACCTGGTGACAAATGATAGCTCAACGAAGCGGCTTATCTTGAGGACATTTATAGCAGAGGTCGCAACCGAGTACCCAATACCCGTACCCTAACCGATACCCGGCTACCCGTACCCAGCCGGGTACGGGTACCCGTTTGCGACCCTGGTGCGGCCGGGTACGGGTAGGCCGTGAGTCACTGGTGAGTCACCGTTTGTCACTCATTTTGGGTAGGGTACGGGTACGGGTAGGGAACGGGTACCCATACCCGCCCGGGTACGGGTACCGGCCGGGTACGGGTACCCATTTGCGACCCTGGTGTGGCCGGGTACAGGTATGGGTAAGGAATCAAAACCCGTTTGCGACCTCTAATTTATAGCAGCCGAATACTCTAAACGCGTGTTTCTAAATGCGGAGGGAAAAACCGGAGGACCCGGAGATAAATCCATGCGACCACGGGGAGAGAGCGACACGGAAACTCCAAATATACAGGTGTCAGAGTCGGGATCGAACCCACAACCTCCTGCATACCAGGGGAGTTAACATCTCGCTACCGTGGTGCCAACTACCTAGGTTCAGGCCCAGTCAGCACTGCTTCGCTTCTGAGATCCGACGAGACTGGGAAGATTCATCTCGGTTTGGTCCCTTTGACAAACGTTTCTCGAGATGGCCATGTGACTCAGAGGTTCGAACACTGAACCAGGACTGCAAATAGTCTGGGTTCTCAAGTGTAGCGAGGTGATGATCTCAGCCTGGTCACTAGTGATTGCAGAAACGCGATCAAATTAATTGTGGTTCTCACACAATTTGCCGAAATTCCAGGCTTGGAAAATAAAAATCGTAGTTTGACTCTTACACGACAAACATTACTCTCAGTGGCAGTGCGGATGGCAAAGTCCCGTGTGACACGGAGGTAATTTGAAGGGATATCAGAAGTAGTTTTGTGATGTCCGCTTCTGTGGACCCATTCTCTAACAGAGGACTGCACTGCTCCATGAGAGTTCTGATTGTGTACTTCATTTCACGGCGAAAGCACAGTCGGGATAAAACATGTGGAAAAAAAATATTTAAAAGATAATTTCTCGGCATCGGCAGAATAATATGGCGTGCGCGGCGGTGCTGCCCGCGGATCCGGACCCGCGCGGGGACTTCCCGGCGTGGCTGGCGACGCGCGGCATGAAGCCCACGTTCACCGACGCCATGGAGCGCGAGCTGGGCATCAGCGACTACGAGGAGCTGCTGGCGTGCGCCGAGGACGCGCAGGTGACGGCCGAGCTGCTGGGCGCCGCCCGCGACCGCCTGCCCTTCGCCTTCTACGCCGTGCTGCGCCGTCTCGTCAGGGCCGTGAGCCCCCCTGGCGGCGCCGAGGGCCACGGCACGCCGGCGACGGCGGCGGCGCGGCAGCAGCAGCCGGAGTTGGCGCCGCTGCTCGACGCAATCGTGGCGACGCTCGACCGGCTCGGCAAGGAGCTGCTCCGCTCGGCGGAGAAGTTTGTCTCCCTCGAGTCGGTGCTGTGCCCGCGCTCGCCCGCCAACATGTGCCACTCGGACGGCGGCGACGGTGAGCGGTGTTGGCGAACGAGGCGACCGGATGGCGCCTGAAATTTCTCCTGGAAGTTTTGACAGAAGGGGGCAGTGGCGTGGGACCGATGTGGCGCTTCTCTGCGAGCTTGACAATTGCAACACATTTATCAATTTCTCAAAAACACTTATATTTTAATAAATGCTTTGCTGATTACAGTAACAGAAGCGAATTGTTACGTCTGCGTGTTCTGGCCCCTCGTGGCTCGGTCATCCTGCTGGCGGTTTAGTTTATATGCTCTAAACCGATGTAGCCGTGCCCTCTCTTTCTCGTTTTGTTTTCCGTCAACTAGAGCCGGCGCGCTACGCGGGAGACTCGGCGCCGCCGGGCGAAGGTCGCGACTTGGCGGAGGGCGACTTGGCGGAGGGCGTCGCCGCTGGACGACCGCTCAAGGTGGAGCCTGCCGAGGACGGTGGGTCCCTGCCCGCCGTGACACCTTCCCCTCGGTGGCCCATCTTCAATCGGCGCCGTTCCACCACAGCCAACTCGATCGCCCCGGGGCAGATTATCCTGCTCGCCGATGAAGTGCGCTCCGTGCACGCAAAAAATGTTAACGAAGCGTGTTCACGTGGGCCGGGTTGGTTTGATTATTTAAAGCTGCTCCTCACTCGTTGGGGACCTGTGGCTCGGAGCCCATGTGACCACAAACACTTAATCAAATAAAGTGATTTAAGAAGTCTTCATCCCAATTCTGTGTAGGAAATCTATACAAATGCGTTTCCGAAGTGTAGTTTTTGTACGGGTTGGCGTTATCCGTCCGTTCATACTGTTGGAACAGCAGCAGCCTGACCCTCGTCTTGTCTCGCCCTCCACTCCCAGAGGAGCTCTATGACGAGCAGGTGGACACCGCCATCCCCTCGGAGAACAACTGTGACGTGGCACGCGAGGAGGAGGAGCATGCGACCACCCTTCAGCAGCACGAGCACACCGGCGCTGTCGGCCGTGCCGGTGAGGCAGAAACGTTTCTTTTGTACCGTCAGTCGAAAGCTGCCTCATATTAGGAAGCCACTGGAGCTATGCACTTTTAAATAATCTAGATTGAAAAGGAATTTCTTTAGAACTGCTCTTTTGGCTAACCATTAAACAAAGACGGTCACTTCGTCGCACGCTTTCAGATGCTCTCCTGCGGCTGTCTAGGACGCTCTTCCGATATTAGGAAGCCACGGGAGCTATGCACTTTAAAATAATCTGGATTGAAAACTCTTTTCTTTTAGAACTGCTTTTTATGTTTAGTTTGTTGTCCTTCCCCTGTTGGCTACGTATGGTGTGAAAGAAGTACGAGAAACATACTCGGCCGTCGTGGTGTCATTGTGAGCACAATGGGTTTGCAATACAGAGTTCGCCGGGTTCAGTCTTCCCGCGCAGAAGTTTTAAAAATGGACAAGCTTGGTTTAGCACGTAGGCTTTCGCGACCAATATTATTCATAATAAAGATCGCGTTATTTATAAATGTGTCGCAACCCTCCACCACCCATAAAGGCCAGTCGGTAAAAAATGTGTCACGTTGACAAAAGACAAATTGTTCACTACTTTAGCCCACCGGTGTGTTGAAGAGTCAATCTACAGCATCATCGGGCGATTTGCCAGAATAGTGAAGTCCTCCACCAGCTCCCGGTCTTAAATAGAGCAGCAGCAGGGTGACGTCATCATTTAACCCAATCAGCTGCAGAGATCAGAGGCGGAGTGGGGGGTATTGTAATTATATAATACGTTTGTAATCAGTTAATTGTTATGATTAATAATCAGTTGTAGATTAGTAATCAGTTGTAACGTGTATTATTTAATAACTGAACTACCCAATCAGGTGCAGAGATAAGAGGCGGAGGGGAGGTGTTGTAATTATATAATAGATTAGTAATCAGTTAATTGTTATGATTAGTAATCAGTTGTGGATTAGTAATCAGTTGTAATGTGTATCATTTAATAACTGAACCATCCAATCACTATACCCAATCAGGTGCAGAAATCAGAGGTGAAGGTGGGGGGGGGTTATTGTAATTATATACTACGTTTGTAATCAGTTAATTAGTATGTGTTTCCCCTATAAGGAATTGTAACGTGTATTATTTAATAATACGCTTCCAGGCCGCACTAAGCCTGTAGCTGTCAGAGCGATTAAAGTTATTTGTATTTCTCTCAATTTCAATGGATTCTCCAATTAGTCTTGGCCAGTAATAATTAGTTTTACACAACACTTCAATGTTATCAAGGTGGTTTAAATGTCCACTCTCTCCCCGGTTTGCCGATCGACAAACCTTGGTGAATCCATTTCCACTGCTGGATGGACAGAGGCGGAGGGTGGGCGGTGAGATTTAAGAAACTTGCCCTGTTGTTTCAGCTGCCGCGCCAGCAGATGCTGCCATGGTATCATGGTTAGCATACTGGCCATGCAATCCAGAGGTCGCCGGTCACAGAGTACAACTTTTCCACTGACATGTCAAAGTTGCGGCAGCACGGGTGGTTTTCCGCTGGGTATTTTCCGTTCTAAGCCGGAACCAGATCGTGAAATGATGCCAGAGGCAGGGTTAGTGATGCAGTCGTCGCGTGTGACGTTAGTCAGCACAGATCAACGAGTTCCCACGTCGCCTGCACGCACCTCGGCTCGTTTGTTGCGTTGGCGGCACGGCCCTGGTTCTGCGGCGGGCTGGCTCGGCACGGGTTGTGCAGCGGGAATAAGAGGGTTGCACCTCTCCGTCTTTTTCAGAAGCGTACTCCTCCGAGGACGCCGACCTCCACCCGCACCCCATGCACACGTGGGACGAGCAGGAGGCACGGCTGCAGCGTCTCGCCGACTGGACCCGCTCGGACAAAATCTTCTACAGCATCGGCGGCGTGCGAGCCTTCCACGGCCGCCCCTTCGCACCGGCGCCACCGCCGCCGCCACCGCCGCCGCCTCCGCCGACGATGGCTATGGCCAACACCACCAACAGCCCGCGACGGCGGCCATTGCACTCGCCGGGGGAAGTCGGCGGAGCGGCGTCGGACGCGGCGGCGGTGGCGGCGGTGATGGCCGGCTCGTCGTCCCGGCTGCACCGGTGCGACTTCTGCGGACGCGACTTCAAGACGCGGCAGTACCTGTGCAAGCACCGGCGCACGCACACGGGCGAGAAGCCGCACAACTGCGAGGTGTGCGGCAAGGCCTTCTCGGACCTCAGCAACCTGGTGCGGCACCGCAGCATGCACACGGGGCAGAAGCCCTTCGAGTGCGAGCTGTGCGGCCTCGCCTTTCGCCTCAAGCACCACCTCACCGACCACCGGCGCACGCACTGGCGCAAGGTGGCGGCCACGCTCGGGTTCACGCCCGGCGCGAGGGGCCGCGGCCGCGGCGGCCGCGGGGGCGGCGGCGGCGGCGACTGACAGTGAGAAGATTGGCGGCGGGGCGGAGACGTGCGGGAAGTGTGGGGACGTAGGGACGTACGTGGAGATACGAGGGAGATGTGGAAACACGGGCCGTGTGGAATCTTGGGCCGTGTAACCCAGTTCCAGAATCCAGGCTGCACCCGGGGCCAAGGCTCCACGGGGGCATCGCCCGTCTCGTTTGCTACTGCATGGCGTATCCGTGAACGATTGGAGTCGCATGCACAGTGTTGCAGTGGGAATGTACACTTGCTTATGTATGCGCGTGTGTTCTGAGTGCGCGTGGGGAGCGGTAGTGTAGCGGGTAGTGCACATCGCTACTAACCTGGCAGCCTCGAGTTAAATTCGCGGCCGCGGTCAAACGCCACGTTCTTGGGACCGTGCTCGGCATGGCGACGCCATCTGGACAGGGGCGCCTGGCGACGTCTCGTGGGGACCGCTACTCTCCGGCCAGGGGCAAGCGACTGGTGATGATGATCATGAGTTAACACTGGTGGAAAGTGATACCTGCACTGGTTCTTGGCTTCCCATAGATCAACTCTGCATTCAGTGAGCACTTAGGAGACAAAGGCGGCCAGGCGTTGGTTCTGGGCACACATCGCCGCACCTTGCGCCATGATAGAGCTTATTCGGTGCTTGCATTACCGCACTTCCTCCAACAGTCGACAGGGCTCTTTGTGAGTGTGTGGGTTTGTGGGTGTTACACTGGCACGTGTTTGCTACTTGGCCAAAACAAGCCGTGTGAAAATATCTTGAAAGCAAGAGGCATTTGTCCCCATTAAAAGAAGGTGTGACATCTTCTTGGTTCTTTAGGTAAAGTCACGTAGAATGGAAATAATAAAATAATAAAAATAAAACTCTTAAATAATTCTCACGACGTTTCGGCCACAACGCAAGCAGCTACGTGACTTTACCGAAAGAACCAAGAAGATGAATCCCTGCAGTCACGAAAGCTTTAAATCGAAATTTAAGGTGTGACATTTCTAGGTAAATATTTAAATAACTTGTCATTATTTCAATGATTGTTATTATTTGGAGAAATAGTGATTTAATTTGTTTTATCCAGGAAGGTGTCACAAAGTCTTAATAATTATGTATTTGATATCTTGCATGGGATGTTTGCCCAGTTAGTGTTTTGAGTGTTTTCATGTTTGCATGTGGAAGGAATATACAGGGCTCAGAGAAAACTCACTGCGCATACGAATGGAGATATGCTCACCAAACTCCCCCAACACGGTCAGCTTTGTCACACTGCCATTTGCTCTACTACCTCTTTTTGCTGTTGTCATTTTCACGAAAACGTTATCCCAATTGTGCTATCGTTATCTTAAAGGCTACTGACAGATCGTTCGCAGAGCGCGAAGTGGAGTATGTTCCACACATTCTTATCTCCAGTGGTAGCCAATGTTTTCATGGAAAAATTTGAGACAGATGCCATCCAGACATCCATCCTACGTCCTTCCTTGTGGAAGAGATACGTGGATGACACGTTCGTCATCTGGCCACATGGCCTACCAGCTCTGATTCTTCAACCACATTAATTCCAAAGACCCAGCCATCAAAATCACCATGGAGGTGGAAAAGGATGGCAAGTTGCCATTTTTGGATGTTTTCATCGAAAAGAGACCAGATGGCTCGTTGGGACACACTGTCTACAGGAAAGCCACCCACACGGATGCATATCTAAAACCTGACTCCCACCACCATCCAGCCCAGAAGAATCATCTCATCAAAACTCTACACCACAGGGCTCGTTGCATATCCGACCATCACCACCTAGCCAGTGAACTGGAGCACGTACACCAAGCCCTCAAGAAGAATGTATATTCAGACTACACAATCCGTAAAACTGCACACCCCAACCGTTGGGAGAGAACCACCTGAGGACCAAATCAAAACCATCACCTTGCCATACATAGCAGGGGTCACCAAAAAGATTTCCAAAATCATGAGCAAACACAAGATCCAGGTTCGATTCAACACAGTATATAAAATTCGTGATCTGATCCCATCTGTGAAGGATGCGATCCCTGACATGCAATACCCCGGCATCTACAAACTAAACTGTGTCTGCGGCAGTCGTTACATTGGGGAAACTACGCGACATGTCTCAGACCGTGTTTGCGAACACAAGGCTGATCTGAAACACGGTAGGACCAACACCTCTGCCGTGGCTGATCATTGTTTTAACGCTGTGAGCACACATGAAATAGATTTCTCCACGACGAAGGTACTCTGCAAACCCACTGGCTATCAGCAAAGATTTGTTCATGAAGCCATCCAGATATATAAACACAGACACAATTTCAACCAAGAAGATGGGTAGAAACTGAGCAATCATTGGAAGGACATTATTATCCAGGTAAAGTCATAACTGGCTGTGATGCTTCCATCCTACCTGCCTATGTTAGCAGTTATTTCCGACAGTTACATTACCTTGTTAAATGTCTTTACATTAACAGGCTAAATGTCTCGCTAGCATAGCTGCTGCTCCCTTTTCCTAGATGCCGCTGTGGTGCTCGTTTAAAAATTCCATCTCTAGCCCCACCCACTTACCCTTGGGTTGTACCCATCTAAAACCTTTATAACCTTTGGCTGCAGTAGCTCTCTCGCTATATGTATTCCTGCCTCAGCAGTCCGCCTGCTGTATTTTTTCACCTGTAGACGGATTTCGTGTGTTGCGATCGAAACGTCGTGATTTTATTTTTCTATCTACGTGACTTTACAGAAAGACCCAAAGAGTATACATTCTAGATCGCAGCACTTGCCCACCTGCTTTGCGTATGAGTGTGAAGTTCGTTGCATGACAGTCAAACCGATATTTAAATTCCCAGAGGTGGAATTTAGCTAAACTAGCGCAGGCAATAGTGACCTGGGCTGAGACCATCAACGCAATTGTTGTGCCTGGATTCGAACCAAGGGCCTCAGCGTTGCCAGCTCAATGCTCCGACCTCTGATCCTGCGTGAGTGCCGCTTATAGGCATCGCTTCACTGGCCCCGACGGTCGGTGTTAATGTGAGGTACAGGAGCTCACTACCGCGGTGTGTGTGTGCGCGCGCGTGCAAATGGTATTGCAAATGCGCACGTCCGGCGTATTAGTACAAGCATCTTGTGTGTCACCGTGTCCTCGATCTAACGTGAGTCGATATTGCACGCTCTGCACATAATCGTTTTATATGCGTGCCCCTAAACATTTTCGAGAATCGGCAAAAAAATGTTAAATCTCGCTCGCCCAAACTCTGTGAAGAGCGGGCAATCTGATCATGACATTGCCGTTGGCACTTTGCACGGTGGCCCAACAGTTAGCATACGCATAACCTGTTATCGGTAATTACTATCTTGACACATTACTTCTGGGCCACCGTCTATATTAGTGCTCAGTCGATGATCAATAAAGTATCCTTTGTATGCTGGAAGCTCGTGGCAGGACGAATGATGGCATTGTTGTTACCGTTGGTTGTCGATGACGTTGTAAACTCCGTTGTCCCAGCGCTGAGAACACTGCTTGAGCCTCACGCAAATTACTTGGGAATTGTGTAAAAAAAACTCTTTTATTGATCGATTAATCTAAACGGTAGTTAAGATTATTTTAACGGCTGATAGTTGTTGGTTTCATATGCGTACGCTCGTAACACGCATTACACACTTGTTCGAATCATCCCCACGAGTGGACGCACTTAATCTGCTGTTCCGTGAGTGACCGTTCGCTCGTTCCTAACCACGTCGCCGCGGGGTGTTTTAGACGTGATCGTTTTCGTGCGAGCGAGACCTATGGCTGGTTGCGTAAAAGCACCTTCAAGGGAGACCCACCGACAGCACAACTACGTCTTGTAGCTCTTGTAGCTATAACTCGACGCTGCTCGTCGTGGGCTGTCCAACAAAAGAAAAAACTATATATTCTTAGGTTTTTTCGGTAAAGTCACGTAGGTAAAAAAATTAAAATTAATAAAATAAAAATACAATAAAAATCACGACGTTTCGGAGGCAACACAAGCTTCCGTCTTCAGGTGGAACCGTCACAGCACGATAGCTGTATCAAGTGAGAGAAATTCCAAGAACACAGTATTTGTATACAATATTCAGGGCCTACCTTGGCTCCTCCCACCCTCAACCAGTATATATACAAATATACTGTGTTCTTGGAATTTCTCTTACTTGATACAGCTATCGTGCTGTGACGGTTCCACCTGAAGACGGAAGCTTGTGTTGCCTCCGAAACGTCGTGATTTTTATTGTATTTTTATTTTATAAATTTAAATTTTTTACCTACGTGACTTTACCGAAAAAACCTAAGAATATGAATCCTTGCAGTCACGAAAGCTTCAAATCTGGAGTTAATATTCTTTGGTTATTTCGGTAAAGTCGCGTAGGTATATGTGTTGCGATCGAAACATGGTGAGTTATTTTATTTTCTACCTACGTGACTTTACGGAAAGAACCAAAGACTATGGATTCCTGCAGTCACGAAAGCTTCAAATCAAGATGAAAAACGCAGTTATCCACACAACATCCATCAATCCGTTACGCAGACAAATATCTGCAACCTTTTATTCGTAATAAAGTTCTGCAGTGCGTTGAATAGTGTCTCGTATTTAAGCTGCCTCGGGGCTTATAGTTCTTCATGTGCCACAACCAGGGCCGGATTAAGGTTGTTGTCGGCGCTTGGCACTTCTGTTTCGTAGGCCTGCAGCGATAATTCTCTGCAGTGGGTGTACTGCTCCTCGTGTTACGACTACCGCTGCTGTCACTCGCTTGTTTCACGCGTGTTTCGTCCAGTCGCTCGACAGATATTGTGACCGATACGTTCGTCATTGAGTCTGTGCCCTATTTCGATGGGACCGCGCTCTGTGTGTGTCGCAGATAAACAGATTGAATTTGAAATTATTGAAAGAAAAAGTAAGCCTAAAACTATTATAAGCGAACATTTATTTAACTGTGATTATCATATCGGATGACGCAGCTTTAAAAAGGTGCCGATAACAATTTCAATGTTCTGATGGGATGACCGCATAGCAAGGACCATATTGCTTTACTTTCATTTCGGCTTAAAGATTTGTGACTTATTTTAGGTGTAATACACTTCACTTATTAGTGAACAGCTTGTTACTAACCGTGCCGGATTAAGCTAATGCAGGGCCTGTAGCATATGTTATAAAGGGGGCATAAATAAAAAAACACGAAAATATAAAAAAAAAAAATTTACTTGCATAGTAAAGGAATTGTATTTTTTCATTTGCTATACAGCCACAGATAATCCCGACAAATTGCTAACCTTAAACACCCAGTCGTTCATAAAAGTTTTGAAGGCAGTATAGTACTATAGTAATAGAGCAAGTGCAGATTCACTTAACCGGAATTGGTAGCTTGAAAGCATTTGGCGCGGAGCCCGTAGCATCTACTACTACTACTGCTACTCGGATAATCCGGCACTGGTTACCACTGCAAAGAAATTGTAACTGAGTAGCCATTTCAATATATTTATTGAAGAAGATATCTTGGTTACATTTTTTTATCATACATACAAAATTAAAAAGCACAGTCAAAATGTGTTTCATAGGCCTTTTAGTTTTCGTAGGCCCTAGGCACGGTGCCTACTGTGGTCTATTTGATAACATAACCCTGGTGGCAACCACACAGGGATGAAGGGGCAAGCGGCAAGAGGACATCTACTCTTAAGATTTCTCGTAACTTTAGCAATACCCGTAATCAGAACTCGGTTACTTAACTTTACAGGAAAATTATATCCTAAACCGAACATGACATACTCTTAGGTTTTTTTTCGGTAAAGTCACGTAGGTAAAAATAAATAAAATTAATAAACGTAAAATAATTAAATTAATAAAAGTAAAATTATTTTACTTAATTAAAATTATTTTACTTTTATTAATTTTAATTGTATTTTTTACCTACGTGACTTTACCGAAAAACCTAAGAGTACGTCATGTTCGGTTTAGGATAAGATTTTCCTGTAAAGTGAAGTAATAAAAGTAAAATTATTTTACTTTTCATTTTAATTATTTTTACTTTTATTCATTTTACTACGTGACTTTACCGAAAAAAAAACCTAAGAGTATGAATCCTTGCAGTCACGAAAGCTTCAAATCTAGAATTAACAAACATGACGTTGCTTCGATGCCGTAATACATTCTGTACACTGGTACCAGAGTCCCATCTTGACGTAATGACCGAAAATGCGTCGCATCGACGACTTTCCCCGTTGTTTTGTGGCGACGGATGAAATTCGGCGCATTACCTCCAAATGTCAGGTGAAAAGCAACATTCGTCAACAGCGCTTGGATCTGGCTGACAGCTATTTAGCTGTGCAAGGCAAGGCGCTGGCGGTTAGCGCGTGCGTGTGTGTAATGTCCGAGTTGTATCAATGTGCACGATGCAGTATTTGTTGCCAGGCAGATTTTGAGTTGGAAATTAGTTAGGAAAATTCGTGCATTCCGCATGCGTTAAGTTACACTTTTCAATGTCTTTGTCCTAGGAAGTATTTAAGTAGAACAGACGTCAGCGGTTAACTGTCAGGGGCAAAAACACATTTGAATATTTGCAAATATTGTAATTAGTTTCGCTTTGGTTTGCATTTCCGAAGCTTTGGACAACGGTTTCAATTATTTGGCCGCTTCTCAATCGGGCGAGTCCCTAGCAGAAACACACTTTATACTGCTGTTTGGTTCATATTGGATCATGGATACGAGAAGGTGGATCATCTTTATGAGGCTCCGATTAATGTGCGGCATGTGGGTGTCAATGCCCGGTGTGTGGCTGTAAAAGTCTATAGTTTATGACTTTTCGTAGCATATTTGACATTTTATGCGAATGTCTAGAACGGAGTGCATGCGAGGAAGCCAAGTCATCTCCTGCAGTCAGTAACAGTGTGCCAAATTGCCAAAACACGAGCGGTGTGATTTTATTAAACACAAAACTGGTTTTTTTTTACAGCTGAATTAGTATTACCCATCAGTGTTAAGTTGCAGCAGCAGTGAAAATAAATACTGTTTATACCGTGGTAAATTGTGATCCATGGTGGGTTTTTTTACCCCTTTAATTGTTTGTACGTGATATGTCCCTTTCCCCGTTGGCCTCACAGCTCAAGTGAGGGGGGCGGGGGGGGGTCATTGTGGTTGTGTCACAGATGCCGAACCAGCACCGCTAAGAGCCTCGGTTCGAGTCGGGGTCTAAGCTCCCGCCACATCGTGATTAAAGATCAACGTTGATGATAATTGGTTTTTTACCCTTTTATCTGGCAACAAAACTGATACCTTTTTTACGAGGAGTCATGTTTGCATAGACCACAATACCTGCAGTCATAATGCAAACAAAAAACATAACTCTGATAATGTATGCACTGTCCTTGAAGTTGATTGGTCCACACCCGAGACAGCTTTCCTTAGAGCCTAGTCTCACATGGGTTGGACCAGATGACGCCAAAAGGCGCACAACTCAAAGACAATGCACCATCAAGAGTATGAGAGCTCGGGGTAAGCATTTACACCATCAAGGACAGTGCATACATTATCAGAGTTATGTGTTTTTTTTGTTTGCATTATGACTGCAGGTATTGTGGTCTATGCAAACATGACTCCTCGTAAAAAAGGTGTCAGTTTTGTTGCCAGATAAAAGGGTAAAAAAACAATTATATTTTTTACTGGCAAATGAGGTATCAATGGTGTAAACAACGTTGATGTTCAGCCAGGCTTTTATTTAGTCGGGTCAGTGTGCAGTGGCGTGGTGAAAGACTATGGTGGTTGGAGTGTAAGAGTGGACCGGGGTTAATTCCGCGGGCATGTTTAGCGCAGAGGTCAGAACACCTAATTTACACCACTGAGAACCAGGATGTGAATCCACACAGCTGTGATTCAAGCAGTTCCTCGGGTAGTGACACATGAATGGTGGCGCAAAAATTCATTGGGCGCAGTTGTCGAGGTGACGGCTTGATTTGCTTGGTGGTGGAGGGATGCGTAGCTCTATTTGACATATGCACGATCTAACTCCCAACAACAAAACGCATCACGAATCATGACCTGATATTCTCAGTCACCAACGACCGCACCACAAAACCCATCGCATTAAATTTGGATGAAAGTAACCAACTAGAACATGTGTTATTGCGCACTCTGAGTCCAGTCCATCACAAACGCGAATTGATCACACATCGAATGCGGCTCTCTGAAACAACCCACGCCGTTTTGAGTCTGTTGCGGAACTGGCTCAGACTCGGGGATGGATCCTGATCGTGAGCTGGGAGCGGTGTTCCAGCTTTTTGTGCCGGAGTCGATTTGGGTCTGTTAAAAGCCGGTACGCACCAATCTGCGAGATAGGATGCAGCAGATTGATGATCGCTAAGGAGATGGAGCGGTCAGAGTGCGTAAAGGAGTGAGATGGATCGTTGAGCTGTGAGTGATAGCGTCCCTTTAGAGTGGGGGAGGAGGGGTGCCTTCATCCAGCAGTGGATGAACCATGGCTGAAAATGACCACGCATTGTGTTTGTACGAGCACGTGTATGCAGACAGAGACAACTATTATAGAAGCTAATGTTTTAAATGACGCCCCCATTAGATGTCAAGTTTTCGTGACTGCAGGGATCCATACTCTTTGGTTCTTTTGGTAAAGTCACGTCGGGCTACTGTCAAAGGTTTGTTCATGAAGCCATCCAGATATATAAACATAGAGGACTTCAACCGAGAATATGGGTACAAATTGAGCAATCATTGGAAGGATGTTATTAATCAGGTAAAACATTAACTGCTTTATGGCGTTGCCTTCGAATCCGCATCTCCAGTTTCTTCAGCCTCCTACTCCCCCCCCCCCCCACGGCGTTTTGTCTGCTCGTCCCCTAAACGCTCTTGCAGCCCCTTGTCACAGCAGCCCTTTTGCCCACTTCAGAAATTGTTTTTTTCAAGTTTTCAAGTTTCATTAATAGGGTGTAGCCCTGTGAGCCATGCAGAGAACATCTTAAAGCGACGACGCGCAACATAAACATCCTGGATAAACCAGCAAATCTTCCACAAAAAAACCCACCGTATTACAACGCTGTGTGCAAAAATCCCAGTGTGATGCAAGTCACGTAGAAGGGAAGTAATAAAATAATAAAAATAAAGCAATAAAATAATAAAATGTTTTATTTTTAAAATAATAAAAATAAAACAATAAAATGTTATATTTTTCTTATTTTATTACTTCCCTTCTACGTGCCTTTACCGAAAGAACCAAGACGATGAATCCCTGCAGTCACGAAAGCTTTAAATCTAAACCATAAGACAATTTAGATTATAGTTATCAGGCCAACTCCTCACTTCCGCAAGAAACATGGCTTAACCATGTTTTCGAAATCACCAAAATGACGGACGCTTGTGTTGCGCCCGAAACGTCGTGATTTAATTTTGTTTCACCTACGTGACTTTACCGAAAAAACCAAAGAGCATGGATCCCTGCAGTCACGAAAACTTCAAATCTAGATTTCTCCGCTCGTTGTTGTGAGCTCCGCTGGTCTTGCCCTCTGTTGTTGTTGCTGGAGAGGCGACTGCCCCCAAATGCCCAGCAGCAGGAGCAGCAGCAGCAGCAGCAAGAGCAGCAGCAGCAGGAGCAGCAGGAGCAGCAGCAGGAGCAGGAGCAGCAGGAGCAGCAGCAGGAACAGCAGCAGGAGCAGCAGCAGCAGGAGCAGCAGCAGGAGCAGCAGGAGCAGCAGCAGCAGCAGCAGACAGGAGCAGCAGGAGCAGGAGCAGCAGGAACAGGAGCAGCAGGAGCGCAGCAGGAACAGGAGCAGCAGGAGCAGCAGCAGCAGGAGCAGCAGGAGCAGCAGCAGCAGGAGCAGCAGCAGGAAGCAGCAGGCAGCAGCAGCAAGCAGGAGCAGGCAGCAGCAGGAGCAGCAGCAGCAGGAGCAGCAGGAGCAGCAGGAGCAGCAGGAGCGCGTCCTCCACACAGAGGCCGATCTTGACACCGCTCGGGTGACCAGTGGGCAGGTGCCACTCAGCTCCACGTTGTCCTCCCGTGCGCCCACACAGACACACGCGGGGGGGGGGGGGGGCGGGGGGGTGGAGGGCGACCAATGAGCGAAGCGCTTCCTTGGCGTACGCAGGAGGGGGGGGAGTAGAAGGGGGGGCGGACGGAGGAGGAAGGGGCGGGGTGTAGGAGGGGGGTTAGGAGGGGCGGGGGAGGAGGAGGGTCGGGGGAGGAGGAGAGGGGGGTAGGAAGGGGGAGTAGGGGGGGTTAGGAAGGGGCGGGGGGGGGTAGGAGGGGCGGGGGGTAGGAGGGGCGGGGGGGTAGGAAGGGGAGTAGTAGGGGGGGTAGAAGGGGAAGTAGGGGGGGTAGGAAGGGGAGTAGGGGGGGTAGGAAGGGGAGTAGGGGGGGGTAGGAAGGGGAGTAGGGGGGGGTAGGAAGGGGAGTAGGGGGGGTAGGAAGGGGATGTAGGGGGGGTAGAAGGGATAGGGGGGGTAGGAAGGGAGTAGGGGGGTCTGAAGGGGAAGTAGGGGGGTAGGAAGGGAGTAGGGGGTAGGAAGGGGAGTAGGGGGGGTAGGAAGGGGAGTAGGGGGGGTAGGAAGGGGAGTAGGGGGGGTAGGAAGGGGAGTAGGGGGGGTAGGAAGGGGAGTAGGGGGGTTAGGAAGGGGAGTAGGGGGGGTAGGAAGGGGAGTTAGGGGGGTAGGAAGGGGAGTAGGGGGGGTAGGAAGGGGCGGGGGGGTAGGAGGGGCGGGGGGGTCGCCGACCAATCAAGAGGCTCCTTGTTGCGCGCGGGGTGAAAGGTCAGGCTCGAGACTGTGGCTCCGCGCCTTCGACCCCGAGTCGATTTGCGGCCCTGTCGCTCGCCCCTGGCCATCGATCAACTAGAACACAACAACAACAACACAACAACAACAACACAACAACTGCGGAACAACAACAAGGGGGTTGCTTGCTGGTGTTCGCCCAGCAGCAGCAGCAGCGGCGGCTTAATCGGCGCGTGCGGCGGTGAAGGAGACTGCGAGCGAGGTGAGGAGGGTGGTGGTGGTTGTGGTGTTTCTCGGCTCGGCCCCCATTGTTTCATCACGGCAAGCTGCTGTCGCGATCTCGCCAAGCCCGTGAGGGTTGATGGTGGTGGTGGTGATGATGGTGGTGGTGATGATGGTGGTGATGGTGGTGATGATGGTGATGGTGGTGATGATGGTGGTGGTGGTGGTGGTGATGGTGGTGGTGAGGGTGGTGGTGAGGGTGGTGGTGAGGGTGGTGGTGGTGATGATGGTGGTGGTGATGGTGGTGATGATGGTGGTGGTGAGGGTGGTGATGATGATGATGATGGTGGTGATGATGGTGGTGGTGGTGGTGATGGTGGTGGTGGTGATGATGGTGGTGGTGGTGATGATGGTGGTGGTGATGGTGGTGGTGATGGTGGTGGTGGTGATGGTGGTGGTGGTGATGGTGGTGGTGGTGATGGTGGTGGGGTGATGGTGGTGGTGATGATGGTGGTGGTGGTGGTGGTGATGATGATGGTGATGGTGGTGATGGTGGTGGTGATGATGGTGGTGGTGATGATGGTGGTGGTGGTGATGATGATGGTGGTGATGATGGTGGTGGTGGTGATGGTGGTGGTGGTGGTGATGGTGGTGGTGGTGATGATGGTGGTGGTGGTGATGATGGTGGTGGTGATGGTGGTGGTGATGATGGTGGTGGTGATGATGGTGGTGGTGATGATGGTGGTGGTGGTGATGATGGTGATGATGATGGTGGTGATGATGGTGGTGATGGTGATGATGATGGTGGTGATGATGGTGGTGATGGTGATGATGGTGGTGATGGTGGTCGTCGTCGAGAACGTTGGGCCCTGACTCCCCGCGGTAAAACGCTCGGGAGTGGAAAAATCGGTGTCGATGTCGTCGTCACGATAACGACGGGCGCGTGTCGACTTGGCAGAGGAGGATTCTCCCCGCAGCGCCGCCGGTCGCTTCGATTTAACAAAACATATTTGTATTTACTGCGAGAGAGAGAGAGACGGCCACGTGGGGTGGGTGTCAACAGTTCGCCCAAGCTCTGCGGGTCCCATACTCTTAGTTCTTTAGGTAAAGTCACGTAGATAAAAAATGAAATAAAAATTAATAAAAATAAAAACTATAATTTTAATTTCATTTTTTTACCTCCGTGACTTTACCGAAAGAACTAAGAGTATGAATCGTTGCAGTCACGAAAGCTTCAAATCTAGAATCTCTGCGGGTCCCCTCTGTATACCCGGGGGGTGTTGTCGGGCAATAATTGCCGAGTGGTTCGAGCCCTTCGTGAAGGCTGCTTCGCAGGGCGAAGGCCGCCCCCATCGTGTCGGTCACGGGGGTTGTTCGACCAGACAGAACTTGTCTGCCAGTGATACAGTACAATCCGTGCACAGCACACCCGCGTAAAGCCAAAACTAACCCCCGAGATAGCCAACTTGGTATACAAAGCGGTTGCCCGCGATTGGTCGAAACCGCGAACAATAAACCCGCGGTATTCAAGGGACTCCCGTCCACGTGACTCAAAAACTTGAAAGCATAATCTGTGTGCCCCCCCTCCACCTCTCCACCTCCCCCCCTCCACCTCCACCCCCCCTTCACCTCCACTCCACCTCCACTCCACCCCCCCTCCACCTCCACTCCACCCCCCCCACCTCCACCCCCCCCCCCCTCCACTCCACCCCCCCTCCACTCCACCCCCCCTCCACCTCCACCCCACCTCCACCTCCACCCCACCTCCACCCCCCCTCCACCTCCACCCCACCTCCACCTCCACCCCCCCCACCTCCACCCCTCCTCCTCCACCCCACCTCCACCCCCCCTCCACCTCCCCCCCCACCTCCCCAGGAGCCCAGCGTGTGGCGATGGCGTGCGCGGCGGTGCTGGCCGCGGATCCGGACCCGCGCGGGGACTTCCCGGCGTGGCTGGCGACGCGCGGCATGAAGCCCACGTTCGCCGACGCCATGGAGCGCGAGCTGGGCATCAGCGACTACGAGGAGCTGCTGGCGTGCGCCGAGGACGCGCAGGTGACGGCCGAGCTGCTGGGCGCCGCCCGCGACCGCCTGCCCTTCGCCTTCTACGCCGTGCTGCGCCGCCTCGTGCGCGCGCTGACGCCGCGGCAGCGACAGCGGTGGTGGTGGCGCCAGCGGCGAAGAAGCCGCAGCCGGGAGCCGCTCTCCGGCAACGGGAAGGAGGAGGAGCGAGCGAGGGACGATGACGGCGGCGGCGATGAGGAGGAGGAGGATGATGAGGAGCCGGGAGGGTGCGCCTCCGGCTGCGAGGGAGTCTTGGCGAGTCGCGCCGTCCTCGACGCCATCGTGGCCACGCTGAGCTCCCTCAGCCGCGAGTTGCTGCGGTCGGCGCAGAGATTCCGCTGCCTGGAGCCGGCGCCGGCATCGCCGTGTGGCGGCAGGAGGAGCCCACGCAGCCCGGGTTCCCCGGACGGGCCCTCGGGTATGTGGAGAGACGGGGCCTCGGCTCGTGCTTACGGCAGCACAGTGGTAATTTATTGGGTTGTAAAGATTCATCAATCCTTTGATTATGAAGAACGTTCTTACGGTCACGGGTTGTCCGAACTAATGGAGCGATCAAAGCTGTACAAATGAGTCGGACAAATTAGATAAAGGGAATCGATTCCTTACTCGAATTGTAACGCCAAATCCTCAGTTGAATCAGACAATTGGTGAACTTGACACGGGCAAGACGCAACACAAAAGATAGAGAACTTTTGTCGCTACACGCTTTGGGTGTGTCCCGGTCGGTCTCTGCGCAAGTTTGAAGCTTCAGTTATTTGCACAGATACTTGAAAATCATCAACCGATACTTTAGTGATGTCATTGCTTTGGATTTTTAAAACACGAAAGTTGCTTAAACGGTGACATTTAACAAAGCTTCAATCTCATGTCAGAGAGCCTGAAAGATAAACCCTCGGTGTGCAGCTATTACAAAAGATAATGTGTGTCGTGGCTGAATAATTTAAGTAGACAATGAATGAGAGGACAACAATATATTGATGTTCTGAGAAAATAGAGATTTAGAGCACACAAACAATTCGTCTTCTTACTGAAATTAATTATAAGTGGTGCTCATCTCTATAAGCCATCATCGGACATGGTGGAATTTCCACATTCGTATGGCAGGCTTGTAAACATTTCAGATATCACTCTTGGCCAATGTTAGCCATGGCCGTGACTTAGCACCTCCGCACCTCCGATAAGCACGGTTGGCTACGTACAGTGAAAACGAAGTTCAACATACGTACTTACATTAGCGCAGCGCGCAAATCACTTCGCCAGTACTCTACACACAAAGACAAAGATCCCCGTGTAGCCTGAACAGACTGTAGGGGCAAGTGTTGTTAGCGAGCACCTATGAAGGCCGGAACGGCACACGAGGGGGTGGGTGGCCAGCACCACGCCCGACCGCCTTTGTCTCCCCAGTGGCGATGTTTACACACAGCACCAGGTACTCATTTGAGGCTGAGTCGACCTAGGGGAGGCCCAGGACCGGTTCAGATAATCGTCACTGGGTGTTGGCCGTGAGCGGGAATGGAACCTGGGTCGCCAGGTTCATAGCGCAGCGCGCTAACCATTACACTACCGCTCCCCACTCTACACACACACACACACAGACACCTGTTGCCAACCACAGCAAGATCCCCTTGCCCAATGGAATGTATGTGCGTGACCGTGCCCCCATAGGTGCACTGGGCTCCTACGAGGCCGACGTGCGGAACTTGGAGGAGGCTTTCCCGATATCCGACTCCATTACGACCATGATGAACGGCGCTCATGATCAGTGCTCGCAGCGGATAGAGCTTGACGAATCTCTGACAGGTGAGGATATAGGAAACTACGCATGATGCCACTTCTTTCATAATTTTAAACTTGTGTTTATCGAGGTGGCTAAGCCATTCGGTAGCCTCTGTTAGGGTTGGCGAATGTCAGTGATATTGCCCACAAATTGGCAGTGCCCCTTCACCTGGTGTTCGTTCATTAATTTCTTTACAACACACCTTTTACAGAAAAACCGTCAACAAGGCACGTGCTAAAGCCCACGGAAGCTTCAGTGGCCGCGTCGTTCTAACGTTTCGCACCTTCTTCTTGGTTCTTTCGGTAAAGTCACGTAGAAGGGAAATAATAAAATAATAAAAATAAAATACAATTCTCACGACGTTTCGGCCACAACGCAAGCAGCCGTCCTCAGGTGAAGAACAGGGCTGTCGGAAAGACAGCGAAAGACAGCATTCGGGGACGCTGTCTTTCCGACAGCCCTGTTCTTCACCTGAGGACGGCTGCTTGCGTTGTGGCCAAAATGTCGTGAGAATTGTATTTTATTTTTATTATTTTATTATTTCCCTTCTACGTGACTTTACCGAAAGAACCAAGAAGATGAATCCCTGCAGTCACGAAAGCTTTAAATCGAAAAGTGTTGCACCTTTTACCCCCGCTGTCCCAGCGCCGGAGCTGTCCCCACCACCACCACCTCCTCCTCGCACCTCGTCTCGTACGGCGGGTGTCGAGTACAAGGGGCGGCAGTTCGACTCCCACAACTGCTTCGGGCAGGCGGAACCATGCGTCGCGTGGCGCGAGATCAAGCTGGAACGGGACGACGATGGCCGCGGCGGTGGTGATGGCGGTGATGGTGAGGAATGACGATCGGCGTACAGGTGTCCCGTTTGGCTAGGGGAGCTGATATCCCACGTGTGCTCGAAATAACCTGGGTCGGATATACCGCATCCCACGTGAAACGGGGTGTTAAATAATTTTACAATTGGACTCCCAAAGCTAAAAAGCTGATTGGCGTTCAAAAGCATCTGGATATTACACAAATAATATCACGCTGCAGGCGGTATTGGTGTTGTACTGCACATCAATTAATCTAGCATTGCATTGTGTGCCCAGGAATTATCTTTAGTTTTGTAGTTTCAGTGGTATGTTTACATTTTGCATTTTTTTAATACATGAGCTGTGTGGCTCTTTTCAGAAGTGACCTGGCCACAAATGAAAGCTCAACGAAGTGGCTTATCACGTGGAAATTTATAGCAGCCAAATACCCTAAACGCACATTGATTCTAAATGTGGAGGGAAAAACCGGAGGACCCGGAGAAAAATCCACGCGACCACAGGGAGAGAGACACGCAAACTCCAAATATACAACCGTCAGGGTTTAAGCCACGACTTGCATATCAGGCGAGAAGATTAACATCTTGTCACCGTGGTGCTAAGTAGGCCTCGGCATGGCAAGGTAATTGTACCCTTTTTGCCAAGGGGTAGGGGTAAGGGGTAGGGTAAAAGGTAGGCTCGTTGCTTTTTACCTTTTACCTTACCTGCTAAAGGGTAAAAGGTAGGGTAGAGTGATTGTATTGTGGTAAGGTAAAAGGTAGGGGGGTAAAGGTAGGCTCGTTGTTTTTACACTTTTACCTTACCTTGCCGAGGCCTAGTGCTAAGGGAGGATTGTGCCGCGGTGTAATGGCGAACACGGCGGAGTTGTAATCCCAGAGGTCGCCGATTCCATTTGATCTCCCGCCGTGGGCGTGTAGGGTTCTCTCCTCGCTGCGACGGCGAGGCCGAGGTGGCGATGGTGGCGGAGCGCGCGGCGAGCGGGGCCTGGCTCGGCAAGACCGAGCACGAGGAGGACGTGATGGCGCACTGGCAGGCGGCAATTCACTCGCACGGCACCAGCTACGAAGGTCTGTCGTGGTGGTGCGGGTTGTAGGGGATGGTAGTGTGTATTCTTAGGTTTTTTTTTCTTTTTTCGGTAAAGTCACGTAGGTAAAAAAAATTTAAAATTAATAATCGTGCTGTGACGGTTCCACCTGAAGACGGAAGCTTGTGTTGCCTCTGAAACGTCGTGATTTATTTTATTTTACTTTTGTTTATAAAAAAAAATGTTTACGTGACTTTACCGAAAAAAAAACTAAGAATATGAATCCTTGCAGTCACGAAAGCTTCAAATCTAGAATTAATGGTAGTGTAGTGGTTATCGTGCTGCACTACGAACCCGGCATACCCGAGTTCAAATTCCTGCTCAAAGCTCACATCGGTTACGAATATCTGAACCGGTTCATTGCCTCCCCTAGGTCAACCCAACCTTAAACTGCAGCACTGGGGAGACAAAGCAGCTTGGCGTGGTGTTGGCCACCCACCCCTCATCATTCTCGACCTCGAGGGATCCCAGATGATGGAGTTTGCCATGCCAGCCTTTAATAGGTGTTCACGAACAGCCCTTGCCCCAACAGTGTGTTGAAGGATATCTTTGTCTCATGGTGATGTTGGTGGTAGCGTTTATGGCCGTGATGGTGGTGTTGCTGTTGGTAGTAGCGGTGATGGTGGCGGCAGTTGTATGTATGTTAAACTTCTTTTGCACCGTACACAACCAACCGTGCTAATCGGAAGTGCCAAGTTTAACGCATAGGCTTTTGCGACCAATATCATCCATAATACAGGTTGTTTGGGTTAGATTGCGTAAATATAAATCTGTCGTTAAACACGCCACCACCCTATACAGCCAATTAGTAAGGTTTGTCACGTAAAGAGAACATGCCAATTCGTTACTAGTACAGCACACCGGTGTGTTGGAGAGCAAATCTACAACATTTACAATCGTAAATGTTGATTGTAAATGTTGTGGATTTGCTCTCCAACACACCGGTATGCTGTACTAGTAACGAATTGGCTGTGTTGGGTGGTGGCGGGTTTAACGACGTATTCATATTTATGTGATCTAACTAAAAAAAAACTATTTTATGGAAGTGCGAAAGTTACTGTTGGAGCAGCTGGTGTTGCCGATGGTGGCAGTGTAAATGCATACGCACGTAAATAATGGATTCCTGCACGCACCATCTGATGCGTGCGTCACGCGCGTAGGAGTTGACAGGAAATGGCGATCGGCTCGTCACCGCACGCCTTGCCCTGTTCAACTCTCTCGTTTCTCCGCCCGCCGCCACCACCGCAGAACCGGCCGACGTCGTCCCGCAACACGCCCCGCAAGGCGACCAGAGCATCCCGAGTGGCATCCCCGACGACGAGCTCACCGGCAACTGGACGGGCCCCGACACGGCTTCGCTCGATGCGCCGGCGGCCGCTTCGGGCGACAATTCCGACATTGCCGGCATCCGGCGCGGCGCGGCTCCCTGCTCTTTCCAGTGCCGCGACTGCGGGGCGACGTTCGCCCAGCGGCAGCAGCTGCGCGCGCACCGCATCACGCACACCACGAGCCGGCCCTACTGCTGCCGGCTGTGCGGCAAGGGCTTCACGAAGGCATACAACCTGACGGTGCACATGCGCACGCACACGGGCGAGAAGCCCTTCCTGTGCAGCCAATGCAACGCCACCTTCCGTCTCAAGCATCACCTGCAGGCGCACCAGAAGACGCACGCGTCCGAGGGGGCCGCTCACCACGCCCAGCAGGCGGGGTTCCACCACCACCGTCCGCAGGGGCATTTGAAGACGCACCCGTCCGTGGGTCAGCGAACTCAAGTTGTGGCACAGTACCACGTTCAGGGACATTTGAAAACGCAAGCTTCTGCGAATCAGCAGCCTCGAGCTGTGTTACGCCAACACCCACATCCGCAGGGGTATTTAAAGACTCAAGCTTCTGCAGGTCAACGAGCTCAGGCTGTGGCCCAGCACCACCTCGTTCAGGTGCAACTGAAAACACAAGCTTCCGCGGCCGCTCTTTCAGGCGGTGGCGGGCCAGCATCGTGCTCTGCAGGGGCATTTGAAAACACAGCCTTTTGAAGCGCACACTCGTGTTTTGGTCCACCACCAACACCCGCAGGGGCACCTGGCAACACAGGCCTCTTGGAGGTCAGCCAACGCATGCCGTGAGCGGGCAGCACCACCACCTGCAGCGGCATCTGAACACGGACTTCTGAAGATGCACACACTCGGTGCAGCGGTGAGCCGCTCCCATTGCTTGACCTGGCTCAGTGTGAGACACGGTTTTTCAAATTGAGATTTTTTAAAATATATATCTGGCAAGCCTCAATAAATTGTGTGCTTGGTGAACTACGCGATGTCATGCATCGCATGTACAGTTGTCTGGCATCATGTGGTGTCCTGACATCGTACATGTGACTACTGATCTATATATCTTGTGTTCATCTCTATCTCTTGTACATGTCTCTGGCATCTTACTGTCATCTTTATTTCTCTACAGCTCCCCTCATCTGTATCTCGTTTATCTATTTGATCTAATCTTCACCTGTCACTTCTTCATGTCTCGGCTTGCCCAACCTCCATTGATTAAAGAGCCCTGGTTTCACTGGTGATAAACCAGGTTGTGAAGGCCACAGAAATACAAATGCTGAACGATGCGCTTAAAATGTTTTTATTAATCCTTCAAAAGCGGTTTTCTCTACAACCATTGTGAACTTTGGCAGTCGGAACAAGTGTTTTTTGACGCAGTGAGTGGCTCGGCGTGGAAACAGATGACATCCAGAGGCTGTGTTTAGTGTTATATGCACAAGACGGTTTTATGGAATAGCGCGTGATGGAATGCACTGTTAGTGGTGTACAAGGTAAAGCTGAAAACATCTCCCCACCTTTGCCATTCTAACTCTGCCTAATAATAAAACATCTTGTTGGCTGTCGCCTCGGATTGGCGATGACTGCCCCAGAGGTTAGTTCTCACCTCTGTGCGTCTTCATATGGCTCGCTAGACTGATGGGAGCAGTGACCTCTGAGCTCCCGCATGAACACTTGAAGAAGCTAACCCCGATTGCCGCTTGAAGGACGCCTTCCATGGCGCTATGTACTTCCCAGCAGCTTTCAAATAGTTCCAATGCCACCATGAATATAATAGGTTTTACCCTGTCTGGCAATAAAAGCGTTTGTGTTAAGATGTTAAAACACCAAACTGAAACCTTTAGCAAGGAATCATGTCTGTATTAACCACACGTACATGTGGTGAACATGCAAACAAAAAAAATGCATTTGTGTTAAGATGTTAAAACACCAAACTGAAACCTTTGGCTAGGAATCCTGTCCGTATTAACCACACGTACATGTGGTGAACATGCAAACAAAAAACATGCTCTGGTAGTATATGCATTGTCTTTGAAACTGATTGGTCCACACCAGAGACAGCTTTCTTTAGAGCCAAGTATCAAACAGTGTTAGACCAGAGGACGCCAAAATGCGAACCGCACAAAGACAATGCACTATCATGAAGCACGGAGGAACGCCACGGGGACCTGTCTTGCGCTGTCTTTCCCCAGTTTCCGCGCTGTCGATATGTTGCACGCGGCCAGCTGCTGCTCTTGACGCGGCATCTCGCGACATCTCCGTTGTCCCCCAGCGGAGTGCTCGCCACTTTCAGAAGTGGTGTTGCAGTGGATTGGTGCAAGAACCCGGTGAATGGAGTTTTGATTCTCGGCCACAGATAACATCGGTGACGACTTGTATATGACCGGCCTAGACCCCTTGTTCTTTGCTGACTGATCCAATGTGAACTATGGTCAACCCCACAGCTGGCACGGGAGCATGGATAGGTCTTCATCCGGCAGTTAGTTGACAGGAGGCTGTGCATTGTAACGTCGTTCTTGCTCTCGGCGAAGGGCCATTGACAAAAACTTTTGCCGACAGTACATTTTGACACGAGGCAGCGTTCATGATAAAGGTGGTTAGGTTTTTAAAAAATGCATAACCATTGAATTAACAATTTTGAAAAGACGATGAATATGAATGTATTGACAGTGTCGTTGAATGTCCCATTGTCAAGTTTAGCATTCGAAAATTAATGCCCATCAAAAACCGATAAGTTTACACTACGAATAGCTGATAATGCTGCACTACTCTATAGCAATATGCTGTTTAAATCGGCATTGGGGATTACCTCTAAGCTGCAAGCTTCTGTCACATATCGATGTACTGTCAAGTTACCATGTGATTATGAAAATTTTAAATGTTGACATTGTTCACTGTGCGGGCAATAGAAGTCTGTATTACACCTGCGACAAACACAACTTCAAAATAGTTTTAGTATGTTTATTACACAAAATAAATAATTTGACCAATCTTGAGATTTTCTTTGTACTCATTTAAGACATTACCATTTGTCAAGTGCTTCATCGGCTGAATGTAAAAAAAAAGCAGCAGGGAGTTGAAAAAAAATTCAAAGCGAGACTGAATGTGTCCAAAGTGTGGATGGCGCTGTGCAGCCATGAGTAGACTCGATTTAAAGCTTTCGTGATTGCAGGGATTCATCTTCTTGGTTCTTTCGGTAAAGTCACGTAGAAGGGAAGTAATAAAATAATAAAAATAAAACATCATAAAATAATTCTCACGACGTTTCGGCCACAACGCAAGCAGCCGTCTACGTGACTTTACCGAAAGAACCAAGAAGATGAGTAGACGCAGTTAGGCGTACGCAAACCCAGCAGGTTCCACCCTTGATTCTTTTCCCCGGACTCGCCCAGCCGTGATCATGATCGCCATATTTATAGACATTGTAAGCAGCACAATGATTAAGCGATAAACCAGTTGGGGGTCAGTTTTAACTGATCGACAATCTGCAAAGGGGTTTGTGGTTTCGGCAGTCGCTGGCAATCTTGGCCAACCTCTAAAACTTTTGACGTAAAAAAAAACCCACTATGGACGCGCGTTCCCAAGGGCTCTGTGGCAATTTCCTTTCAAGATTGTTATCCCCCCCCCCTCCCCAGTTTAATCGCGATTGTGCTATCAGTGCGTCACATCATAAGACAAAGTATCCATTTGGATCGTCTGCAGTAGTGCTACCCTTCATGTTCGTGAATGGCCCATGGATGCGGATATCGCAAGAGCTGCATCTGATACGCACATTAGCGGGGCAGCACTTTGCCACCCACCCTGCCACTTGGTGTAATTTTCGTTGCATGACCGTCAAACCAATATGGAATTTTGCCAAATGAAGTGCAGAACCAAATGAATGTGATCGTTTTTTTTTCGTGCAATTATTGTATTTTGAACTTCTTAACGTGGCCAACCGTGCTAATCGGAGGTGCGGGGTCGGACAACAAACTTGGTGACCAACTTTAGACCACCATTGGTACCTCATTTGCCAGTAAAAAATACATTATCATATTTTTTACTGGCAAATGAGGTACCAATGGTGTAAATGCTTACCGCTGAGCTCTCATACTCTGATGGTGCATTGTCTTTGAGTTGTGCGCCTTTTTGGCGTCATCTGATCCAACCCATGTGAGACTAGGCTCTAAGGAAAGCTATCTCGGGTGTGGACCAATCAACTTCAAGGACAGTGCATACATTATCAGAGTTATGTTTTTTGTTTGCATTATGACTGCAGGTATTGTGGTCAATGCAAACGTGACTTCTCGTAAAAAAGGTGTCAGTTTCGTTGCCAGATAAAAGGGTAAAAAAACAATTATCAAGTTTAGACCATTATCTTGCTAAACCAGGAAATCCGCAGTGCCAAGCTCAGTGCTCTGACCTCTGAGCCACCCATTTCAACGGAGTGTTTTTGAGTATGGGAGGAAACTGGCGCACCCGGAGAAAACCCACTTCACTCGTAAGAGTATCACGGAAAAGTCCACGAGGTCGACGAACCGAACTTGCTGTACTACCATCTCCTGGTCACCTCGCAACCCCGTGGTTGTGGAGAGTTTTACAAATCTCTTGATCCACCGACCCTTTTCCAAGGGGTGTGCGCCTTCACGTGCATAGTCAACGCAGAAACGTGGACCGAGGTCCAAATATTATGAACCACCGGTCCCGTCTGGCAGTATGATTGAGGACTCGAGCATTCTCGCTTAGTGCATTGAACCAAGCTTCTTTGCTCCTGTATGCATGTCATCAACCCGGTTAAGCAGTATCAGTTGCGTGAGATTTCATACCACTGTGCACCTTTCCACTGATATTGTGGAAAAACGTTAACGTGATCAGAAATAATGACCTTTTTCCCCTTAATGCCAGCGGAAACTTATTTTTGATACGTGGAACCGTACAATTGTGCACTATTCCATCGAACCAATTTGGATCTACGCATCATGTCTACTGCATCGCAAGCAAAAAAAACTATAATTGAGCCACCAAAAGTGAATCTTTAAGAACTATAAACTCGGTCAAGAAACTCAACAAGATTGTTGTTCCTGAATCTGACCACAGATAAGTAAAACATCGGATGCCTCCCGATTCCTCTCCGACTGTTCTCAGTGCTGTAGGCTCTGTGTTCCCCCACAGGCACCGTCTGTTGGCTGGCGTCCCGAAGTCTCGCACGTAGCTACGTGTGTAGCAGCAGGTGCTGCTGCAGGCTCTCCTCGCAGCGGAACTCCTTGGCACAGCGGCCGCAACGGTAGCGCTTTGCGCCGGCGTGCCCACGCCGGTGCCGGTACAGGCTGGCGTGGTGCACGAAAGCCTTGCCACACTCGGCGCAAGCGTAGCGCTTCTCTCCGGTGTGCGTGCCACGGTGCTGGCGCAGGTGCGCCGGTGAACCGAAGCCCTTTCCGCAGTCCTCGCACACGTACGGCCTCTCCGCGCCATCCACCCCCACCTGCTGCACCTGCTGCAGCTGCTGCTGCTGCCGCCGTCGCTGCTGCTGCTGCTGCCGCCACAGGAAGCGGTAGCGGAAGACCATGGAGGGCGGGTTGAGGCCGCCGCCGCCACCGCCGCCACCGTCGTAGAGGAATGTGCGGTCGGCAGAAGAGTCTGTGTACGGCCACCGGCTGTCGTCGCGCCAGTTGGCGCCGTCGTAGGCGAGCGGCGGCCCCAGCAGGGCCCCGTCAGGCCTGGGCGCCAGCGGGAAGCCGTCTTCGACGCAGGGGCCGGCTTCCGGTTGTGGCCTCCAGGCGCCGGCGACAGCAGTACGGGGAGAGAAGCCCCCCTCGCTGAGCCTGCTCCATGGCTCATTTTCATTCTGCGGCTCCTGGTCGTCCATGGCCGAGACGTCCTCCTGCTGCTGCTGGCCATCGAATTCGCTCTTCACTACGTCTGCTCGGAAGGTGAGAGAGGAGATTTGGGCTTGCTAACAAATTAATTCGTTTAAATTGACTCCTCCACTTATGAATACAAGCATCGACTTACTCAGCAAAGTACTTGCTAATGGTGTGAATAGGAACGTACCAGACTGAACAAAGAAATATACGTACTCGAATCCTGACCTTAAACTGTTGACAATTCATCGAATTGTATGGGGAGAGGAAATAAATAAGGTTGTCAATCGCACAATCATGAACGGCAAATCTGGTGAAACTAAAAAAAAAGTTACTCTCTTTTATTTTACCAGGTAAGGCCCACTGAGTTATGTGGCTCTTTTTCAGAAGCGACCTTGCTATCACAAATGATTGCTCAACAAAGTGTCTTTATCATGTGGAAATGTATAGCAGCCGAATACTCAAAAAAATTGATGTTGAATCTAAAAGTGGAGGGAAAAACTAGAGACCCGGAGAAAAATTCATGCGACCACGTGGAGAAATTGTTGACATGGTCAAGTACAAGGTAAAGGGAATAAAGGCAGACTGACAAAGTTTGACAGTACAGGTAGTCCCCGACTTACGATGGAGATGCGTTACGACGACCCCATCGTAAGTCGAAAATATCGTAAGTCGAAAATGGCCTAGCCTACCCAGGAGTCTTAAAGAATGGTGATAATTTAGCAAAACAGCAATTTACAGTACCAGTATTGTATAAAATATATGCGCGCAGTACATCCCGGCAGCGTCCCAACGTACAGTATCGTACCTCGTACGCTGCTGCATTTGCCTGCCGCGCAAAATTTAAAATATCTTACAATTTTGTCATTGCTATTGCCATCGTAAGATCGAAATATCGTAAGTCGGACCATCGTAAGTCGGGGACTACCCGTATTGTAAATTTAACTCTGATGTTATAGCAAAGACCATAATCGAGGAAATAAGTACCCAGTAGTGAGTAGTGCAAAAGAGGGAGAAAGACTGGGGGGGGGGTCTCTTGTGTAAACACACCGCTTTACATACGGGTCAATGTGACCTTGGCAATTAAGTGAAACTGGCAACGTTACGCGACTTTAACCGGGCTCCAAAAGACCCCACAGGTTACCCGGTAGCTGGAGCTGTTGCCGTACCCCAATGTGCGCTGTTCCGTGGGACGCAGCCCAGGTGCTCCGATACAGAATCCTCGAGGACACCGCAATCCTCGCCCGGGTGTAGGGGACTGCTGGGCTCCCCCGTTGCTGCCGCCGCCACCGTCGCCGTGATCTCACTCTTTACACTCTCTGAACACGTGGTGTGCGCATGGAACAATGATGAATGAACATCCGATGCTATAAAACTACTGCCTTTTGCTGTTGTTATTTTTTTCTTCTTCTGCTACGCTGCTGTCAACGAGTTATCTCTGTATCTATTAGAGACGTACTCTGTAGATAGAGTTGTCCAATGAAACCAGCACTGGAAGGATTTGCCTTGGCGTTCCCAATGTCATGATATTTTCATTTGCAATTCTGCAGCCGGCAGTGCATCAGTCTGTGCCATAGAGCAGCCTGGAAGATGCCATCACACAACTATTTCTTCTCAAGTTACTTCAACAGACCGCTCAAATATTCATCAAATCGAGGGACTAACAACCTTTATGGGCCCTGAAAGGAATGTGAATCGTACGTTAACCAAACCAAAATGTTTCGGTCTCTTTGTGAGACTCTAAAAAAGATAAAACTGCTCAGATTTTGCTTGCATGTACGAATGCTGCAAGAAAACATTAGGGGTCCAAAGGCCCACATGCTAATGGGGAAGAAAACTATCATTGTATCGTAAAAAAAGAAGTAGTTCTAGTCTGTTTGATATTAATGGTGTGCCTTTATGGTAGATGGTGACCAATACAATGACACAGACGGAAATATTTTTGACCACCCATACAAAAATGAAAGTTTTGCTATAAGCTTATGGGACTTCTGCAGAAATGTTTTCTAGAAAAACCACCACCCACCGGATTGGGACAGCTCCTCTCCAGCCGCTATCCCAGGCTCCAGCGAGATGAACCTCTGTGCGGCGTGATGCAGTGCGTCGCTCAGCGCGCTCAGCATCGCCACGATCGTCTCCACCGAGCCCGCCCAGCGCCACCGATCCCCCTTCCCCGGTGCCCCCCTCCTCGTGGACCAGCGAATCTGCGATGCGGCGCAGCACAGCGTAGAAGGCGAAGGGCAGGCGCTCTTTGGCGGCGGCGAACAGCTCGACGCGGACCTGCGGTGCCAGCGCGCACGCCAGCAGCTCCTCGTAGTCGCTGATTCCCAGCTCGCGCTCCATGGCCTCGGCGAACGTGAGCTTCATGCCGCGGGAGGCAAGCCACGCCGGGAAGTCCCCATGCGGGTCCACGCTGCTGCTGCGTCTGCGTTGTGCCACAGAGGCCATGCTGTTGCCGTGGCCACCCCCACTGTGAGGGTGAGGTTGCAGGTGGAGACGGCCTGTTGAGTGAAACGATGAGGTTGGGGGTAATGAGTATCGTGTGAGTTGTATTGGATATGCAGTTCACTTTGTTGTTGGAATGAGTGCAGTCAGAGTAAATATTGCTTGAACAACTGATACGGTGAATTTTTAACACCCTTTCAAATCCTTCATGCACTCAACTGCCTACCTCTACGATCTCGTCTCACTACTCCCCTCCACGTACTCCCATGCTTAGTTTTGGTGGGGCTGATGGTAAGGCCCCACCCACCTCTTAGTGGCACGCTCCAGTCTCAGCAGCAGCGTCTCCAACTCCTCCTCCGAATGAGCAGCTATTACCAAATCGGCATACATAACGTGGTTGACCAATAGGGAGCCATCCCTTGATCGCACCCGGGCGTCGATCAGCCTCCCATTATATCTGTACCAAATGGAAATTCCCCCGGTACAGCTATTGAAGGCTTCACGAACTACGAAGTCAAAATAGATGTTAAATAATGTGGGAGCCAGAGGACATCCCTGTCGCACCCCAAGGTGTACAGGGAAAGGCTCTGACTCCTGGCCACGTAATTTTACCCGGGCCCGCTCACCATCATGAAGGTACTTAATGATCGTGAGCAGAGGGTCAGGGACTCCTGAAAGCACGAAGAACAACCCAGAGCCCAGGCCTACTGATGGTATCATAGGCCTTGACCAGGTCAATAAAGCAGAGATGTAGGTCTTGTTGGAATTCCCTCCACCTCTGCTGTAGGCAGACGGACAGAAAATATGGCATCTGTGCAGGACCGTCCTTTCCTGAAACCGCATTGGGGCTCCGCAAGCCTCTCCTCAGTGTGCCTGGCAAAGCGATGTTGAATAATCCTTGCCAGGACCTTTCCTGGCCCACTGAGGAGTGAGATGCCCCTGTAGTTGTTACAGTCGGTACGGTCCCCCTTCTTAAAGAGGAGGAACAACAGGGCATCCTTCCAATCCTGCGGAATCCGTCCAGTGGTCTAGACTGTTGTTATGATGTCATGTAGGGCAGTCTGTGCACAAACGCCACCCTCCCTCAGCATTTCGCTTGGGAGATCATCTCTGCCCAGTGCCTTTCCTGGTCTCAGACTCCGGATCGCCTTCAGTACTTCCTCAATAGATGGCACCTCAGCCAGCCACTCACAGGGGGAGACCTCTTCCAATATTTGAGGCGCCGCAGCCTCAGCAGGGTTATCCCCAATGTGTGCCATGATGTTTTCCTGGCTGAGGGATTTCCCCTCCCCAGGACGCACACACAGACACACAACAACAACAACCGCCATTCGCCACTAAGTGGCGGTGACGTCACCACGACGCTTGTGCCAGGCCAAGTGCACCTTGAGGCTACCACGTGAAGTGTCGAACGCCCGCTGGCAGGAGGTCACGGGGCAGACCCTGCAGGTGCCACAGGTCGACTGACCGAGATGACCGAGATGATGACTGGCTGATGCACACACACAAACACACGCACACAGACACACGCACACACAGAGACACACACAGACAGACACACAGAGACACACACAAACACACGCACATAGAGACACACACACACAGACGCACACACAGGCGCACACCAACACACGCACACAGGCACACACGCACACACAGACACACACAAACACACAGACACACACAAACACACACAGACACACACACACTTACACACACACTTACACACACACACGCACGCGTCTTTACCGACAGAGAGGGCACGGCAGAGGCCTTGTGCCGCAGGCTTCACTCCAGGCGAGGCGGCGATGACTTTTCCGCGAGAGAGAGAGATGTAGCTCTTTTTATTTCGCTTCGAGTTGAAGCCTCAAAGTGGCGTGTCTCGTTCCGCCCGTGGCCCCGATCGAACACCAAAGTCTCGCTCAACAAAGCGTCGCGTCGTCCGTGGCGACTTTAAAACGCCGTTTTAGTCGAACGATTAATAACTTGAAGCCGTGCCCGGGGTCGCACTTACAGCACTGCCCTCACGAAGTGGTGACGTTTCTTCAGAGAATTAAAACAAATAAACGCACACACTCTAGAGTTTTATGTTGTGCAAGTGAATAGCAGTCGTTTACAACAGCAACACTAACATCGATTGTTAATATCTAATAATTATTGCAATGACTGGCGCTGTCGTGTAGGAGGGTCACGTGTATTACAAAACGCGTTTGGTGGTCATGACCTTGCGGCCACCGTATGCGTTGGTTATCACGGAGGACAGCCGATGAAGAATGCGGTATTTAGATTTTTTTAAATAAAATTAATTTTCTTGGTTCTTTCGGTAAAGTCACGTAGAAGGGAAATAAAAAAATAATAAAAATAAAACATAATAAATAATTCTCACGACGTTTCGGCCACAACGCAAGCAGCCGTCCTCAGGTGAAGAACAGGTCTGTCGAGAAGACAGCGTCTGAATGAAACACCACCAAGCTTGGCAGCGTATATTTAAGCTGCTGGGTTAGGGAAGGAAGGGCGCCTTGACAAAGGAATTTGCATATCAACAGATGAATTTAGCATATTTATGGCAAATGCAGATATGGGATTAGTCACTACTTGTGGAATACGTAGGAGGTGGGGGGTCTCAAAGTCATATTATGCCCGTGCATTATGTAGGATTAGCAGCATCAAAGGGAAGAAGTAGGTTTAGCAGTAATAAAGGGAAAGAATTTTAATAGTAAGGAGCTGCAGCAGCCAAACCACTACGTAAAAACTAAAATATAAACTACATCAATATCATCAATATACTAAATATACTCTCCAATAAACGTTTAGCTGGAGGCATACTCTCCAATAAGCTCAGCTCAGCTTATTGGAGAGTATATTTAGTATATTGATGATATAGATGTAGTTTATATTTTAGTTTTTATGTAGTGGTTTGGCTGCTGCAGCTCCTTACTATTAAAAATCCTTCCCTTTGTTGCTGCTAATCCTACATAATGCACGGGCATAAGTAGTGACTAATCCCATATCTGCTTTTCCCATAAATATGCTAAATTCCTCTGCTGATATGCAAATTCCTTTGTCAAGGCGCTCTTCCTCCCCTAACCCAGCTTAAATATACGCTGCCAAGCTTGGTGGTGTTCATTCAGACGCTGTCTTTCCGACAGACCTGTTCTTCACCTGAGGACGGCTGTTTGCGTTGTGGCCGAAACGTCGTGAGAATTGTATTTTATTATGTTTTATTTTTTTTATTATTTCCCTTCTACGTGACTTTACCGAAAGAACCAAGAAGATAAAATAAATTTCTTTTAAATTCCACATCCTACCTCAACATCATTACATTGCAACATTCTGGACGGCATTACCGGTTGCATCGACGGTGGCTCAATAGTCAGTGTCTCATCAGCAGTCAGGCTCAAACCATTGTTGATTCAATAGAAGATACATATGGACCGGTTTTGGAATTCATTGTCTAATCAGCAGTCAGGCTCAAACCATTGTTGATTCAATAGAAGATAAATATGGACCGGTTTTGGAATTTAGTGTCTAATCAGCAGTCAGGCTCAAACCATTGTTGATTCAATAGAAGATAAATCTGGAAAGGTTTTGGAATTTAGAGTCTCATCAGAAGTCAGGCTTAAACCATTGTTGGTTCAATACAGGATAACTCTGGATAGGTTTCGACATTCAGTGGCTCATCAGTAAGTCTTGCTTGAAGCAATGCTCAACTGCGAAGATACGCATGGGCTAGATACGTCCCTAGCTAGACGCAAAACTAAATAATACACAACACAAACTAATCAATAGCGTAATTGTGGAGAACATACAAAACATAAGGAAATGGCAATGTATTTTTGTCATTATTGCAAATCCTCTTTATTATGATTATGCGATTACATATCTATTACATATCTACCACAAATTGAAATTGTTGAGCTTTTGCTGGTGGCGCGGATTAGGAAAAGTTCCCGGAGCGGCCTCCTAGCGTCTTGCAGGGTTCACGCGAACTCAATACTTGTAATGACATTTTAGTTTTTTCAGTTATTTTCAAAATGTGCACTTTTTCCGACTTTTATTCATCATTTAGGATAACACGTGTTGTCATTTTAACCAATATTTTTTTGTAGCAGCCCGTACGTTTATTGGACGAAACTGTCCATCCCTCCAGCCAACGCGCTAAACATTACACCACCGCTCCCCACACACATACACGCGCTTGCTGCAGACACACGCAACTTTCAGGGTGCGTACGGCAGTAAACGACTGAAACAATGAAGCAGCAATGCTGCGCGAAGAACGCCTTGGACCTGCAACACATTTGTATGGCACTTTACCCGCGGAGAGTTGGGGGGGTGCGTGACGTCAGCAGGCACACTGCGCGACGCTTCCGCACACGGGTCACTTGACAGCTGTGACGTCACAGCTCACTTGCCGTGCAAAATATATGCAATATTGTGCCCCCCCCACCAAAATACAAAAGTCTCTGTTAAAAATTGTTGCATGGTGTAGTCTGGAAAGTACCCACATGGCAAATGTCAAGTTTGTTGCATGTTGGGAAGTACGCTAAACATTTTGAACAGACACACATTCACAAATTTCCCTTTTATATATTAGATGTATGTTCGTTTTAATCAGAAATCAGTGGTGGTATCTATGAATGTGTCGTGCTGAACTTTACGCGGACAACTTCTTCCTTTTCTGTCGTCACTTTATTTTCAAACTCAGCACATTTCGCCACCACTCTCCAGCACGTTCTCCGCTCGCCGGCCTCGCTCGCTCCGTTCCTCCCCCCCTCTCTCTCTCCCGACTCTCCTCTCTGCTTCTCCGTCCCACTCCAGCCGTCGCTCTCTCGGCTTCTCCGTCTCTCACCAACTGTCTCTCGTTCCCGTTCCACTGCGAGCCTATCCGTCCTCTCGTCTCCTCTTCTTCCCCTGCTCCACCGCTAACCTATTCCACCTCTCATATCTTCGTCTCAGTCTCTACTGCTACCCTATACTTCTACTCCACTACTACCCTACACTTCTTATATCTTCTTCTTCTCCGACGTCTCCATCCAGCTCCCAGCACAACTCCCCGTCTTACTCTGACGCTCCCGTATTTATCCCCGTCCCTAGTAATTTCCAATTAACTGGCATCCCCCCAACGCCCCGCGCCCACCTGTTCCCATTCCCAGACATACAGGCGCCACCTCGTCCCTGACAACAACAACCGGCCAATCACTGCCCTGCATCCCATAATTGCCTAACGGGCCATCTCCGTCCAGCCGTTGTCCCCCAGCAACACCAGCATGTCCCGATACGACTCCACTGTCCCCAACCCGCACGTGTTTACAATTACCCCCCTTGGCGCGCGTTAAACCACTACAAATGGATTACCAAGTTACTATGTTCACTTAGAATAGTTCACCCGGAATATCCCCTTAAATGTAACAAAAAACCTTGTTTGCAGGATTTCATATTAAATGTATTAAGATTTGAGTTAATATACAACAAAAATATTCTGCACACAAAAACGAACGTCCATAAGTGTTTTTTTTGTTAGATCGCGTAAATATATAAAAGTGTCGTTAAAACCCGCCACTACGCGACACAGCCAACTCGTAAGGGCTGTCACGTAAACAGAACATGCTAATTCGTCACTAATACAGCACACCGGTGTGTTGGAGAGCCAAGCCACAACATTTACAATCTTTGTACGACGTTTTGCCAGTAATTACAACTAGCTTCATCAGGCGACAGCCAGATTTGTGTGCAAAAACGAACGTGTCAGCGTGATGTATTTTTCAATAAGTCTCCACAAATAGACAGGAGCGTCAGACTATTGAAAATTTTAATTGAGCATTGCAATTTACCACAATTCCCACCGCGCGTCCGTGAATACAGTGATACCTCGGTTCACGAACGCTTCGGTTCACGAACAACTCGGTTCACGAACAGAAAATTTCATAAAAACACGCTCCGGTTCACGAACTCCGCTTCGGTTCACGAACAGGCGCCGTGCCCATTTTTATGCTAATTCCAGGCTGTCACATGGTCGTGACTTCCTGTAGGAAGATCGTGGAGAGAAGAAGAGACACAGAAAGAAGTACTGTGAGTACTGTGAAGACACTTTCAGTGACTTTTTGATTTTTGGTGTGCTTTTTAGCACATACAGTACTGTACTGTACTACTGTACTGTACAATACTGTACTTACTGTATTGTACAGTTCACCCGTTTGAGTGCTTACTGTCTCCCACCCACCTCCCACCTGCCTTCCTCCATGCCAGAAGTCATCTCAAGCAAGGTTAGTGTTCTCTCTTTATACATTACTATACTGTACAGTACTACAGTAATGTGTATTGTCAAAAACCAAAAAAAAAGGTCAGAACGGATTAACCGGATTTACATTGAACCCTATGGGAAAATGTGCCTCGGTTCACGACCAATTCGGTTCACGACCAGAGTCAGTTCACGAATTAAGTTCGTGAACCGAGGTATCACTGTACTCAACACGCGTAGATACCGGGGGGGGGGGGGGGGGGGGGGGCTTGGGGAACCAAATCAATTAACGGCACAGCCCAGGGCAAAAGCAACTACCAGTGTCTGATCATGCTAACGTGATCAGAAATAATGACCTTTTTTTCCTTAATGCCAGCAGAAACTTAGTTTTGATACGTGGAACCGTACAACTGTGCACTATTCCATCGAACCAATTTGGATCTACGAATCATGTCTACTGCATCGCAAGCAAAACAAACTATAATTGAGCCACCAAAAGTTAATTTTAAGAAATATAAACTCGGTCAAGAAACTCAACAAGACTGTTGTTCCTGAATCTGACCACAGATAAGTAAAAAATCAGATGCCTCCTGATTCCTCTCAGACTGCTCTCAGTGCTGGAGGCTCTGTGTTCCCCCACAGGCACCGTCTGTTGGCTGGCGCCCCGAAATCTTGCACGTAGCTACGTGTGTAGCAGCAGGTGCTGCTGCATTGTCTCCTCGCAGCGGAACTCCTTGGCGCAGCGGCCGCAGCGGTAGCGCTTTGCGCCGGCGTGCGCACGCCGGTGCCGGTGCAGGCTGGCGTGGTGCACGAAAGCCTTGCCACACTCGGCGCAGGCGTAGCGCTTCTCTCCGGTGTGCGTGCCACGGTGCTGGCGCAGGTGCCACGGTGAACCGCAGCCCTTGCCGCAGACCTCGCACACGTACGGCCACTGGCTGTCGTCACGCAAGTTGGCGCCGTCGTCGGCGAGCGTCGGCCCCAGCAGGGCCCCGTCAGGCCTGGGCGCCAGCGGGAAGCTGTCTTCGACGCAGGGGCCGGCTTCCGGTTGTGGCCTCCAGGCGCCGGCTACAGCAGTACGGGGAGAGAAGCCCCCCTCGCTGATCCTGCTCCATGGCTCATTTTCATTCTGCGGCTCCTGGTCCTCCATGGCCGAGACGTCCTCCTGCTGCTGCTGCTGCTGGCTGTCAGATTCGCTCTTCACTACATCTGCTCGGAGGGTGAGAGAGGAGAGGAGATTTGGGCTTGCTAAATAACAAATTAATTCGTTTGAATTGACTCCTCCACTTATGAATACAAGCATCGACTTACTCAGCAAAGTACTTGCTAATGGTGTGAATAGGAACGTACCAGACTGAACAAAAAAATATACGTAGTCGAATCTTGACCTTAAACTGTTGACAATTCATCGAATTGTATGGGGAGGGTAAATAAATAAATAAGTTTGTCAATCACACAATCATGAACTGCAAATCTGGTGAAACAAAAAAAAGTTACTCTCTTTTATTTTACCAGGTAAGGCCCACTGAGTTGTGGCTCTTTTTCAGAAGCGACCTGGCTATCACAAATGATAGCTCAACAAAGTGTCTTATCATGTGGAAATGTATAGCAGCCAAATGCTCAAAATGCGTGATGTTGATTCTACATGTGGAGGGAAAAACCAGAGGACCCGGAGAAAAATCCACACGACCACGGGGAGAGACTGTTGACATGGTAAAGTACAAGGTAAAGGGAATAAAGGCAGACTGACAAAGTTTGACAGTATTGTAAATGTAACTCTGATGTTATAGCAAATACCATAATCGAGGTAATAAGTACCCAGTAGTGAGTAGTGCAAAACAGGGAGAAAGACTGGAGTGGGAGGGGGGTCTCTTGTGTAAACACACTGCTCTACATACGGGTCAATGTGACCTTGGCAATTAATTGAAACTGGCCACGTGACATGACTGAATCCGGGCTCCAAAAGACCCCACAGGTTTACACTATGAGACCTCTTTAACCAGTGGCAAAATATAGTAATATGTTTTTACCCTTTCAACTGGTACAAAAACTGACACCTTTATACAAGGCATCATGTTTGCAATAACCACAACACAAGCAGTCAAAATGCAAACAAAAATAAACAACTCTGATGATTTACACCATTGGATCCTCATTTCCCAGTAAAAATATAATTGGTTTTTTACCCTTCTATTTGGCAACAAAACTGACACCTTTTTTTACAAGGAGTCATGTTTACATAGACCACAATACCTGCAGTCATAATGCAAACAAAAAACATAACTTTAATAATGTGCACTGTCCTTGAAGTTGATTGGTCCACACCCGAGATAGCTTTCCTTAGAGCCTAGTCTCACATGGTGTTGTATCAGATAGCGCCTTGTATTGTGGTCTATGTAAACATGACTCCTTGTAAAAAAAAAAAGGTGTCAGTTTTGTTGCCAGATAGAAGGGTAAAAAAACCAATAATCAATTCTGATGATAATAATGATATGCACTGTCCTTGAAGTTGATTGGTCCACACCTGAGACAGCTTTCCTTAGAGCCTAGTCTCACATGGGTTGGACCAGATGGCGCCTTGTATTGTGGTCTATGTAAACATGACTCCTTGTTAAAAAAAGGTGTCAGTTTTGTTGCCAGATAGAAGGGTAAAAAAACCAATGATCAACTCTGATGATGATAATGATATGCACTGTCCTTGAAGTTGATTGGTCCACACCCGAGACAGCTTTCCTTAGAGCTTAGTCTCACATGGGTTGGACCAGATGGCGCCTTGTATTGTGGTCTATGTAAACATGACTCCTTGTAAAAAAAAGGTGTCAGTTTTGTTGCCAGATAGAAGGGTAAAAAAACCAATGATCAACTCTGATTATGATAATGATATGCACTGTCCTTGAAGTTGATTGGTCCACACCCGAGATAGCTTTTCTTAGAGCTTAGTCTCACATGGGTTGGACCAGATGGCGCCTTGTATTGTGGTCTATGTAAACATGACTCCTTGTAAAAAAAAGGTGTCAGTTTTGTTGCCAGATAGAAGGGTAAAAAAACCAATGATCAATTCTGATGATGATAATGATATGCACTGTCCTTGAAGTTGATTGGTCCACACCTGAGATAGCTTTCCTTAGAGCCTAGTCTCACATGGGTTGGACCAGATGGTGCCTTGTATTGTGGTCTATGTAAACATGACTCCTTGTAAAAAAAAGGTGTCAGTTTTGTTGCCAGATAGAAGGGTTAAAAAACCAATGATCAACTCTGATGATGATGATATGCACTGTCCTTGAAGTTGATTGGTCCACACCCGAGATAGCTTTTCTTAGAGCCTAGTCTCCATTGGTGTTGGACCAGATGACGCCAAAAATCCTTTTGGTGTCATCTATTTACCCACAGGTTACCGGGTGGCTGGAGCTGTTCCCGTACCGCAATGTGCGCTGTTCCGTGGGACGCGGCCCAGGTGCTCCGACACAGAATCCTCGAGGACACCGCAATCCTCCCCCGGGTGTAGGGGACTGCTGGGCTCCCCCGTTGCTGCCGCCACCGTCGCCGCCACCGTGATCTCACTCTTTACACTCTCTGAACACGTGGTGTGCGCATGGAACAATGATGAACATCCGATGCTATAAAACTACTGCCTTTTGCTGTTATTTTTTTCTTCTTCTGCTATGCTGCTGTCAACGAGTTATCTCTATCTATTAGAGACTTACTCTGTAGATAGAGTTGTCCAATGAAACCAGCACTGGAAGGATTGGCCTTGGTGTTCCCAATGTCATGACATTTTCATTTGCAATTCTGCAGCCGGCAGTGCATCAATCTGTGCCACAGAGCAGCCTGGAAGATGCCATCACACAACTATTTATTCTCAAGTTACTTCAACAGACCGCTCAAATATTCATCAAATCGAGGGACACACAACCTTTATGGTCCCTGAAAGGAATGTGAATCGTACGTTCACCAAACCAAAATGTTTCGGTCTCTTTGTGAGACTCTAAAAAATATAAAACTGTTCAGATTTTGCTTGCATGTACGAATGCTTGCTTTAGGAGTCCGAAGGCCCACATGCTAATGGGGAACAAAACTGTAATTGTATCGTAAGAAGTAGTTCTTGTCGGTTTTTCTTTTTATGAAGGATATTTGTCTGTTAATTATGTTACTGCACGTAGATTACTTAGGCACACATCTACAACAAGATAAGGACTGTACATATGTTTTGAATTGTATCTTCCTCTAACCAACGCTGGTCCAAAGCCATTCTACCGAGTTACCAGGTATTAGCTCTGGATTCACCGACCCATTTGGCCACCTGCCGCCACCCACCGGATTGGGACAGCTCTTCTCCGGCCGCTATCCCAGGCTCCAGCGAGATGAACCTCTGTGCGGCGTGATGCAGTGTGTCGCTCAGCGCGCTCAGCATCGCCACGATCGTCTCCACGAGCCCGCCCAGCGCCACCGATCCCCCTTCCCCGGTGCCCCCCTCCTCGTGGACCAGCGAATCTGCGATGCGGCGCAGCACTGCGTAGAAGGCGAAGGGCAGGCGCTCTTTGGCGGCGGCGAACAGCTCGACGCGGACCTGCGGTGCCAGCGCGCACGCCAGCAGCTCCTCGTAGTCGCTGATCCCCAGCTCGCGCTCCATGGCCTCGGCGAACGTGAGCTTCATGCCGCGGGAGGCAAGCCACGCCGGGAAGTCCCCATGCGGGTCCACGCTGCTGCTGCTGCGTCTGCGTTGTGCCACAGAGGCCATGCTGTTGCCGGAGACGGCCTGTTGAGTTAAACGATGAGGTTGGGGGTAATGAGTACTGTGTGAGTTGTATTGGGTATGCAGTTCACTGTTGTTGGAATGAGTGAAGAGTAAATATTGCTTGAAAAACTGATACGGTGAATTTTTGACACCCTTTCAAATCCTTCATGCACTCAACTGCCTACCTCTACAATCTCGTCTCACTACTCCCCTCCACGTACTCCCATACCTCTCCACCTTGCCTCACGCAACTCCCCTCCACACACTCAAGTCCGGAAACCAAGGCTTTTTATCAGTCCCAGTCAACATTCACGACGGAGTTCACTCATTCTCCTCTGCTGCCCCTCAGGTATGGAACTCTTTTCAGCATCCTGTACTATAGACTCCTCGCCCCCCCTGTTCTGAGCCCAGGCTCATGACCCTCGTCTCTTGACCGGCTCTTACCACATGGAATTAATAAACCAGTGGAAGCACATTTTGCACAATTTCTGTACTGCGTCTTGAGATATGATTGCATTTAGACATTGCTCTACCGCATGTAAATCCAGATCGCACGGTCTTAATACATTCCTGTGGAGGGAGCTGGTAGGAACGTTGGGTTGCTCGGTCAATGGCCAGGGTCAACGGCGGCGTGGTGAATTCCGCAAATATGCCCGACTGTGAGGGCGGGCACAAGCCGGCGTGAGTAGGTTAAACGTTGAGTTTTATAAGGGCACCACGGGGTGACCAGCCCCTCCCCACCCAGCCCCACCCCCCACCCAGCCCCTCCCCATCCGGCCCCTCCCCACCCAGCCCCTCCCCATCCTCCCCTCTCCACCCAGCCCCACCCCTCCCATTTTGGATGCACGACGGACAGACACAATAAGCCTGTTGTGTGGCGATCGAAACGTCGTGATCTAGTATTCATTTTCTACGTGACTTTACCGAAAGAACCAAAGAGTATTACTATCATCACCACCACCACCTCCCTCAAACTAACAAAAGGCCTTCTCGCCCAGTCTCAAGACGGGAGTTTAAATAACCCAGCCCAGTCGATGGCAACCTCCTCACAACAACGGGGGCAATAATAGATGCGTTTATTTCACCGTCCGAACAAAAGTAAACGCTTCTAATGTGAATGGCAAAGACGCCCCCCCGTATAACCTTAACAGACTATAGGGGCAAGTGCTGTTAGCGAGCACCTATGAAGGCCGGCACGGCACACGAGGGGGTGGGTGGCCAGCACCACGCCCGACCGCCTTTGTCTCCCCAGTGGCGATGTTTGCTACACACCGCACCAGGTACTCATTTGAGGCTGAGTCGACCTAGGGGAGGCCCAGGACCGGTTCACATAATCCGTCACTGGTGTTGGCCGTGAGCGGGAATCGAACTCGGGTAACTTGGTTCATAGCGCAGCGCGCTAACCACTACACCACCGCTCCCCATAGACATACGCACAGACACACAGAGACACACACAGGTACACACAGACACACACACAGACACGTACACAGAGACAAACACACAAACACGCACGCACGCGTCTTTACCGACAGAGAGGGCACGGCAGAGGCCTTGTGCCGCAGGCTTCACTCCAGGCGAGGCGGCGATGACTTTTCCGCGCGAGAGAGATGTAGTTCTTTTTATTTCGCTTCGAGTTGAACCCTCAAAGTGGCGTGTCTCGTTCCGCCCGTGGCCCCGATCGAACACCAAAGTCTCGCTCAACAAAGCGTCGCGTCGTCCGTGGCGACTTTAAAACGCCGTTTTACCGGTGGGAACCTCCTGGTGACACCAGGCCACAGGGGATTATTGCGTCCGTCGTGCAGGGAGGGGCTGGGTGGGGAGGGCGGGGCTGGGTGGGGAGGGAGGGGCTGGGTGGGGAGGGCGGGGCTGGGTGGGGAGGGCGGGGCTGGGAGGGGCTGGGTGGGGAGGGGCTGCCACGCGGCTGCCTGGAATCTCCCCATCGCTTCTCAGCCACTCACGCAACCCCGCTGCACCAATCAGACGCGCGGAACGGGGGGTCAGGGGGTCAGAGGGCGATGACGTCACGCGCACGCGCGTAGCCGATTGGGGGGTTGTATTGGAGCATGATTTAAAGGCTTTTTCGGTGAAGTCACGGAAGTAAAAATAAATAATAAAAATAAAAACTTTCATTTTTTATCATTATACTAGCTGTACTACCCGGCTTCGCCCGGGACTTGTATCCACCACGGCCGGCCGCCTTTGTCTCCCCAGTGGCGATGTTAATACGCCACACCAGTTACTCGTTTGAGGCTGAGTCGACCTATGTGAGGTTCAAATAATCTTGATCGGTGGTGGCCATGAGCGGGAATCTAACTCGGTTCGCCGGGTTGGTAGCGCAGCGTAGCGTTAACCACTACACCCACCGCTCCTCACACACACAGACGCACACACACACAGACACACGCAGAAACACACAGACAGACACAGACAGACACAAAGACAGCACGCTAACCACTACACTACCGCTCCCCACACACCACACACGCAGACACACACACAGAACACACAGACAGACACACACACACAGACACACAGACAGCACGCTAACCACTACACTACCGCTCCCCACACACCACACACGCACACACACAGACACACACACAGACACACACACACAGACACACACACACAGACACACACACACACAGACACACACAGGCAGCACGCTAAGCACTACACTACCGTTCCTCCTACACACCACGCACGCACACACACAGACACACACACACAGACACACACACACAGACACACACACACAGAGACACACACACAGACACACACACACAGACACACACAGACACACACACAGACACACACACACACACATAGACACAGGCAGTACGCTAAGCACTACACTACCGTTCCCCCTACACAACACACGCGCGCGCGTCCATAGGTACACATACACGCGCTTGCTGCAGACACACACATACACACACATACATAACCGCGCATACACACAAACACATACACACACATGCATACACACAAACATACACATACATACAAACACACACATACATACACACAAACACATACACAATACACACACATACATACAGACACACACATACATACACACAAACACATACAGACACATACATACACACATACATACAGACACACAGACATACACATAAACACATACACACATAGTCATGACCCGGCTTTGCCCGGGACTTGTATCCACCACGCCCGGCCGCCTTTGTCTCCCCAGTGGCGATGTTAATACGCCACACCAGTTACTCGTTTTGAGGCTGAGTCCCTCCCTCGCCACTCTGCCTCCCTCGCCACTCTGCCTCCCTCGCCACTCTGTAGAGGACGTGAAATTTGTATGAATTTACCTCAGAGTGGCGTGTTGGGTGTCGAGGCCTAGCACCGTGCAGAGCCTCCCGCCTTGCCTGATTTTCGCACCCGGCGAACGCTGGGTACGGGTGCCGGTCCCCCCCCCCCCCCCCCCCCGCGCTATTAAAAATGGCGTCCACCCCGCGGAGAAAAGTTGCTACTCGTTGCCAGGGGCAACCGCCGTCCAATGAAAGCGGCGAAGGCGTGGCTAGCCGTTGCCAGGGGCAACCGCCGTCCAATGAAAGTGCAGTCCACACACACACACAGACACACAGACATGAACGATTTTATATATATAGATTATTTTATTTCTATTATTATTTCTATTATTTTTATTTTTTTCCCTACGTGACTTTACCGAAAAAAATCTAAGAGTACAAATCCTTGCAGTCACGAAAGCTTCAAATCTATAAATGATTTAAAGGGCTGTGGGGCGGATGTTTCGTGTTAGCACAAGTGTTGCTGTGTACTGGGGAATTAAAGAAATGCTTTAACCGTCCTCCAGAGTAGCTGGCGACAAGATTCACGCACCACGCTTGGACACAACCTCAACAATAGCCGCACGAATAATACTGCCACGTGTACCCGTGCGATTCTATCCTCTGCTTTAGAGTTTATTTCCACGAGTCCCTATTACCTGAATCAGTCGGAATCAGCAGGGTAAGGCATGATGATACTCTTAGTTCTTTCGGTAAAGTCACGTAGGTAAAAAATGAAATTCAAATTAATAAAAATAAAACAATAAAAATCACGACGTTTCGGAGGCAACACAAGCTTCCGTCTTCAGGTGAAACCGTCACAGCAAAATATCTGTACCTTATATAGTGGTTAAAGGGGGAGGACCCAGGAAGGGCAGCGCTATATAAGGTACAAATATTTTTCTGTGACTGTTTCACCTGAAGACGGAAGCTTGTGTTGCCTCCGAAACGTCGTGATTTTTATTGTTTTATTTTTATTAATTTGAATTTCATTTTTTACCTACGTGACTTTACCGAAAGAACTAAGAGTATGAATGAATCCTTGCAGTCACGAAAGCTTCAAATCTAGAAGGCATGATGAGTTAATGAGATAATGATGACGTCACCCTGCTGCTGCTGCTCTATATAAGAACGGGAGACAGAGCAGAGCCTCACCATTCTGGCGAATTGCCCGATGATGCTGGATGCAATTACCAGCGAAACGTCGTACTACTCAAATTGTAAATGTTGTGGTTTCACGCTTCAACACACCGGTGGGCTAAAGCAGTGAACTATTTGTCTTTTGTAAACGTGACACTTTTTTTTACTGATTGGCCGTGTCGGGTGGTGGAGGGTTACGAAACCCAAAAACGTTGATTATGAATAATATTGGTCGCGAAAGCCTACGTGTTAAACAGGGTAAGGCAAGTCTATCTCCCGACGGTCTAAACCCGACCTACCTCGTCTATTTGGAATTAATCTCCCGAGGCTTTTACGCTAAATCCCAACTCTCTCTCACGTACTCACGGTTCGGCTCGGATGTGCGTGAAGTCTTAGCTGCACGAAGCTCTCGCTGGGAGCGGGGCCCTGGCTGCGCTGATACTCTTCACACAGACGATCCAGTGGCCGGCAAGATGACTGCTCCAATCGCTGATCACGACTAAATAACTCTACCTTGCCTCGCCCGTTATTGTTCTTTACATCAAAGAGGATTTGGCGCTGATCCGCTCGCCTTCTCGGCCAAACAGATCGGACCGTTGCTCTCAGCGACGTCCGCATCTAGGTTTGCCACGAAGCTCCCGACCAATCAGAGGGCCTGCCATTCGTGGCTCCGCCCCCTACCTGCCTGCTGACCTGTGTGTGTGGTGTGTGTCTTAACCGCGGGGGCTGCGTAGCCTCGTCGTGACCGTGTAATTCCACGTTAATTCACGGTGCCGCAGCGCAATTTAGCCTGGGGAAAGCCTAAGTCAATTCCCTGGCCTCAGGGAAAACCGTGGAGAATGTTCCCCCACGAGGAGGGCTCCTGGGTGAAACCTGTGGGCCAGGCGACTTCCCCGCGAGGCTCTATGTGGGGGTGTGTCCGGGTGTTCATGTGGGGGGCGGTGAGGGAGGAGCAGTGTCGGCCAAGCTGCTTGGTGGTGGTGGGGTCGTAGGTGCGGCGTCGGCAGAGCGGCTTCGCTGCTGTGGCACCACATAGCACCCCGAGGCGCCCGTCCCCGTCCCGGGTTGACTGGAGCACCTCGCCTGGGCTGCCCCCACGAGGTAGCGCTACGGGGTCCGGGGGATCCGCCCGGCCCTCGTGGCTGGTCTCGGGGGGGGGGGGGGGGGGGTGGCTCCGTCCTCTGGGGTTCCTGCGGCTCCCCTCGTCCCTCGGCACCTGCGGGCTGAGGGACAAACTCACAGGCAGAAGGGTTTAGGGGCCGTCGCCCCCCGCCATCCCCTGGCTGGGCCACTACGCGACATAGCCAACTCGTAAGGGTTGTCACATAAACAGAAAATGCTAATTCGTTACTAGTACAGCACACCGGTGTATTGGAGAGCCAAGGCACAACATTTACAATCTGAGTACGTTTAGCCAGTAATTACAACCAGCTTCATCAGGCGACAGCCAGATTTGTGTGCAAAAACGAACGTGTCGGCGTGATGTATTTTTCAATAACTCTCCACAAGCAGACAGGAGCGTCACACTATTTAAAATTTTAATCGAGCATTGCAATTTACAACAATTCCCACCGCGCGTCCGTGAATACTCAACACGCGTAGATACTGGGGGGGGGGGGGGGGGGGGGCTTGGGGAACCAAATCAATTAACGGCACAGCCCAGGGCAAAAGCAACTACCAGTGTCCTCGAAATACCGGGATAATCCACTCACTTTCCTTACAACCCACCAAAAATATTCCACGAAGGCAAAATTTCGCGCATTTACAACCAGGAGTTGCATTTATATTGCTTGGTATACTATACACAAAAAGCAATATAAAACAAAAAATACAATTAAAGTAAAAAAACACAAGCCAAATTTTGCAACACACACACAATCCACTGCCACAAGTAGTTGCAGCACGGTACCAAAGTGGGACTGCTGTCCTGGCTTGTGATAAATCTGCACGGCGTGCAAACGCAGCCCGTCATCAAATCAGCATCCGCATTTGCACGCCTCTGGCGAGTTTTGGGAACGTGATTTTACGTTCTCTTTTTTTAGGGGTTCCCCCCAAAAAGCTTGTGTAAGAGGAACAGCCCTTCAAACCGATTACTCACATCACCAGAGGGAGATCTACGGAGTGCTTTTGGCCTACTCTTCCAGCACCAGCCCGACATCTTAAAGAGGTAGGAGTACCCATACTTCACCTCCACCACGCGTCATCTTCCCAATCGACCCCACTTCCGTTGCGTGCTGGACGTGGTGGTATTTCATCGACCCATGCTATTTCGAGGACACAGCGCACAACCCCCGGGCTGTAACCATTTCAAAGAGGAAGGATAAGGTGGTGGTGGTAGGGGGGGGGGGTCATAAAGATCGTAAGGAATCGCGCGACATTCAAGCGACAAGCAAGCCACTCAATGAGAGGAAAAGGTGCCCCGTGGCAAGCCTCTTAAAATTAAATACAGCACATCGAGGGTTTTTGCTGCCACACAACGAGGTTACGGCTACTCTCACACGACTGCTAAACCACACCAGAGCCAGGGGGGGGAGTGGTGGAGGGACGTTTAGACGAGCACACATTACACTACACACGTTTCGTACGTCAACTACACCACTTCCAAACATTCAATTCCGTTTAAGCCATTTACACGTGGCAATAATTAATACAGCATTCCGAAACGAACAAGGTTGTCCGTGTGTGTCTCTTTGTATTGATCGGCTGCGTGCATTTTAACAAATCTCAATACTCTCCCGCCCCTGAACATAACGAAAGAAAAAAAAAATATGCAAAATGGCAGAAGAGTTACTTTTTTTTAGGGAGCCGATTTGCTGCCAAAACAAATCGGACCAAATCTTTCAATGAAAGAAGACTTGGGTCTACTGTGTTTTTTGTTGTTGTGATTCCAGTTGTTTGTGCTCAAGTCCGTGTACCCCAGACGCAACCAAAAGCAATCGTGATATAATCGCTCGCCTCAAACTTCTATTCGTCTTTGAACAAAGATACACGTGGCATGATGCTAAACACGTGGCATGATGCTAAACACGTGACCGGACAAATTACGGCCGTGCGTCTTCAGTGCAGCAATAATATGCAGTGCAAATAAACAGGTGAATGGTGATCAATGCAGTCAGCGTTGTTTATTAATGGCCAAGCTGAGATGATGACCGTTTTGAATGTCCCACTGTCCTCGGCAAAACTGCGACTACCTCGGATGTGCACCGCCACTGGTTTGGGTGGAGTCATAATCACATGAACATGTTCAGTCCCCGAGTTAATCCACTGCTGGCTGAGGGCCTCCTTATGCTGTGTGGGTCATGGGTGATATTTGACCATAATTCCCGCTGGGCAGTGCTGGTTGGTGAAATAGATGCTGGAGCAGAGCACAGTAACAACGGTTGATTTTGCTGCACTGCCGCCTTCCGCTGGCAATGTAGCCCAACAGCGGCCTACAATGCCAATTTTGTACATTGTCGTCGCCCATCCAAACATTATCCAGGCTCGACTCTGCTTGGCTTACGAAACAGGACACATTCCTGGTGATTTGGTGATCGGCGATTACATTCTGAATCCAATCATGGAATGTATCAACGCTGCAAATTTTAATAAAAAATCCCCCCACGTGTTTCGACATCCGTCACGCTCCTCCGTTGCCCCGTGTCTTACGGGGACACGACCCAGCACGTGGGTGCGCATAGCCCGAATGTGCATGGCCAAAGAGTGCAGATGAACGCAGATGAAAGCGCGCGAGCGCATTGGCAGGCGAGCACGTACCAGAGCTGGAGTCAAACACGAGTTCAGCAGCGATGTTGGCCGCAACAGCAATCCCGATATGGTGTTTTTTTTGCACTTGCATTGCGACTGCAAAGTGACGCAATAACGCATTTGTAACCGACTCCAGGTCGAGCACACACACACACACGGACAGACTGACACAATTGGAAACTCCTCCCTAACTACCGATGACCAGCTCGTTCAGAAGCACATGCCAGGTAGTTTACATGCGGCCAACCACGAGGCACGGATCGACCGTGGAGATTCGTAAAGCGGTGTCCGTTAATCGACGAGTCTGCCCCTACCTCGGTAGGCATTCAAAATCGGCAACGGGCACTCATCTCAAACAGCTCGCATTATAAGGTCGCACTCATTAGACACGACAGTGCTTGTAACAAATCAACCACAACACTCTGCCTTCTCGACAGACCTGTTCTTCACCTGAAGACGCTGCTTGCATTGTGGCCGAAACGTCGTGAGAATTATTTTATTATGTTTTATTTTTATTATTTTCCTTCTACGTGACTTTACCGAAAGAACCAAGAAGATCAACCACAACACCTTGCTGATCTCGTCAAGGAGTGGGAGCATAAGCCGTCACGCGAATTCCGGTCATCCTCGCAGCAGCAGCTTTTGGCTGGCCATTTGGACAAAGACGATCACCGCATCGCGGCGCTTTCAGAGGCGCTTCTGCAGCCCTCTGGAACGCTCTTCCTTCCGATATGCGGAAGCCACTGGAGCTATGCACTTTTAAATAATCTAGACTGAAAACTCATTTCTTTACAACTGCTTTTTGCGTTTAGTTTGTTGTCCTTCCCCCGCACCTCCGATTAGCACGGTCGGCTACGTACGGTGCGAAAGAAGTTCAACATACGTACAAATAAGTGTCGGCGCGGATGAAACAGAAATGTATGTCAAAGGAACAGCTCTTCAAACCGAGAGAGCCTTTACGCGATGGCAGCGCGAGTGCGTCTCGCGCAGCGGATCTGTTTGTACTTGAGCATCGATGCTGCGCCAGCGATTGTTCGCAGAGCCGGCCCAATGGTCAGACTGGAAGAGGTTAAACTGCGACGGGGGGAGTTTCCAGTTGCGAGTCTCTTTACTGAGGTGACCTTGGGTACGTGTGTGTATGTATGTGTCTTTGTACGTGGTGCACACACACAAAGTGCACCTAGCCTGGCACAAACGCCATGGTGATATTACCATCTCTTATGTGGCGAACGGCGGTTGCTGTTGTTGTGCGGGTGTGTATCTTTGTTTTATTCAGGGTATGAATGTGTGGTTGTAATTGCTAGCTGCAATTTCGATCGCTTTCATTACAAATTACACAATTATAACTGTGAATGACACCAGTTCTGGGGGGGTCACACACACACCCAAGTAGAACCGGAAACTTTCCCCTGACAATGTGACAGCTGCCCACACATGCACACGTCAAGAATTCTACACCAAGACTACCCACCCCCCCCCCCAACACGGGGATTGTGAAAATTCTCAAGTGGTCTCTCACCTACAATACCTCGTTGGGTGGTTAAATCTTAAATAGACGCTCTCATCTCAATCCCTCGGAAACAGCTGCGATCGGCGTGGATTGAATCGAAATGTCTCGGAGAGCCTTCAGGTGCCGGCAGAGGAGCGAGGATGCCTCTCGTGCAGCAGACCGCTCTGCAGTCACGAATAAACGCTGTGGCTGTGGTGATTTAAGCGGTGGCCGCCCAGTGTTAAGCTTCGACAGGGGGAGTTTCCAGAGAGCGTGCTCTTAGGTGTCCTTAGGCAGATGTGTGTGTGTGCAAGAAGTGTGTGTGCAGGGTGTGTGTGTGTGTGGGGTGGATGTTCACGCGGGGTGTGCGTATGTGAATGCATGTATGCGTGGGCATCATGCGGGGGAGTTGGTGTATAGGGGTGTGTGCGTGCACATGTACGGTGTGTGTGTGTATATGCATGTGGGTTGTGTGTATTTGTGTGGGTTGATGTGTGTGTGTCTTTGCATGTGTGAGTGGGATATGTGCGTAAGTGAGTGGGTATACATGTGTATGTGAATGATGTATGTGTGGGTGTATATGTCTTTGCGGCGTGTATATTGTGGGTGTGTGTGGGTTGTGTGTGGGTCTATGTGTAATGGTTGTGTGTCTAATGTATGACAGTGTGTGGCTCGTGTACCAGCTCGTGTGTATATATGTATGTACGTGTGTAAGTGTATGCGCATGGGATTAGGGTTAGGAGTCGTGCGTTCGCTGGTTGTGGACTGAACGTGTGTTCTGGTCACCAACAGCAGCTGTCACTTGTATGGCTCAGTCTCCCATTTTCACTTTCGATGTCTGCGTAAAACACAAACAAAACGATGCCAGCAGGTCAATCATTGTCCTTTCCCTGCACCTCCAATTAGCACGGTTGGCTATATATGGTGCGAAAGACGCTTAACATACATTCATATAGTTGCTTGGTTAATGCATACACTGCAATTTAGTTTATTAATCGACGCAAAATGATATTCAGAGTTGAATATTTTTTCTCCAAGTGTTACCCATATAGTTTAATAAAGAATTAATAATTGGTAGAGTAATCGATCACTGAATTAATTGGATAGCCCAGCTCCAACAATGACCATCATTACCGAAGCGCCACAGCCCCATAACCGCACCCCTACAACCCCACCCACAACCCCACCCACAACCCCACCCCAGCCCCACCCACAGCCCCACCCACAACCCCCCACAACCCCACCCACAACCCCACCCACCCCCACCCACACCCCACCCACAACCCCACCCACAGCCCCCCCACAACCCACCCACAACCCCACCCACAACCCCACCCACAGCCCCACCCACAGCCCCACCCACACCACCCCAACACACCACCCACAACCCCACCCACAGCCCCACCCACAGCCCCACCCACAACCCCACCCACAGCCCCACCCACAGCCCCACCCACAACCCCACCCACAGCCCCACCCACAACCCCACCCACAACCCCACCCACAGCCCCACCCACAACCCCACCCACAGCCCCACCCACAACCCCACCCACAACCCCACCCACAACCCCACCCACAGCCCCCACCCACAGCCCCACCCCTACAACCCCACCCACAGCCCCACCCACAGCCCCACCCACAACACCACCCACAACACCACCACCACAACCCCACCCACAGCCCCACCCACAACCCACCCACAACCCCACCCACAGCCCCACCCACAACACCACCCACACCCCACCCACAGCCCCACCCACAGCCCCACCCACAGCCCCACCCACAACCCCACCCACAGCCCCACCCACAGCCCACCCACAACCCCACCCCAACCCCACCCACAACCCCACCCACAACCCCACCCACAACCCCACCCACAGCCCCACCCACAGCCCCACCCACAACCCCACCCACAACCCCACCCACAGCCCCCCCACAACCCCACCCACAGCCCCACCCACAGCCCCACCCACAACCCCACCCACAACCCCACCCCACCCCACCCACCCCAGCCCCACCCACAGCCCCCCACAACCCCACCCACAACCCCACCCACACCCCACCCACAGCCCCACCCACAGCCCCACCCACAACACCACCCACAACCCCACCACAGCCCCACCCACGCCCCACCCACAGCCCCACCCACAACCCCCCCACAGCCCCACCCACAACCCCACCCACAACCCCCCCACAGCCCCACCCACAACCCCACCCACAGCCCCACCCACAACCCCACCCACAGCCCCACCCACAACCCCACCCACAGCCCCACCCACAACCCCACCCACAGCCCCACCCACAACCCCACCCACAGCCCCACCCCTACAACCCCACCCACAGCCCCACCCACAGCCCCACCCCAACACCACCCACAACACCACCCACAACCCCACCCACAGCCCCACCCACAACCCCACCCACAACCCCACCCACAACCCCACCCACAACCCCACCCCTACAACCCCACCCACAGCCCCACCCACAGCCCCACCCACAACACCACCCACAACCCCACCCACAGCCCCACCCACAACCCCACCCACAGCCCCACCCACAACCCACCCACAACCCCACCCACAGCCCCACCCACAACCCCACCCCAACCCCACCCACAACCCCACCCACAACCCCACCCACAACCCCACCCACAACCCCACCCACAACCCCACCCACAGCCCCCCCACAACCCCCCCCAACCCCACCCACAACCCCACCCCTACAACCCCACCCACAACCCTACCCACAGCCCCCTACAACCCCACCCACAGCCCCACCCACAGCCCCACCCACAACACCACCCACAACCCCACCCACAGCCCCACCCACAACCCCACCCACAACCCCACCCAAACCCCACCCACAACCCCACCCACAGCCCCACCCACAACCCCACCCACAGCCCCACCCACAGCCCCACCCACAGCCCCACCCACAACCCCACCCACAACCCCACCCACAACCCACCCACAGCCCCACCCCTACAACCCCACACCACAACCCCACCCACAGCCCCAACCCTACAACCCCACCCACAGCCCCACCCACAGCCCCACCCAACACCACCCACAACCCCACCCACAGCCCCACCCACAACCCACCCACAACCCCACCCACAGCCCCACCCCTACAACCCCACCCACAGCCCCACCCACAGCCCCACCCACAACACCACCCACACCCCACCCACAACCCACCCACAGCCCCACCCACAGCCCCACCCACAACCCCACCCACAACCCCCCCACCCCCACCCACACCCCACCCACAACCCCACCCACAACCCCACCCACAGCCACCCCCAAACCCACCCAGCCCACCCCTACAACCCACCCCAGCCCCACCCACAGCCCCACCCACAGCCCCAACCCACCCCCCCATAGCCCCACCCCAGCCCCACCCCTATAACCCCACCCACAGCCCACCCACAACACCACCCACAACACCACCCACAACCCCACCCACAGCCCCACCCACAACCCCACCCACAACCCCACCCACAACCCCACCCACAGCCCCACCCACAACCCCACCCACAGCCCCACCCCTACAACCCCACCCACAGCCCCCCCACAGCCCCACCCACACACCACCCACAACCCCACCCACAACCCCCCCACAGCCCCCCACAGCCCACCCACAACCCACCCACAACCCCACCCACAGCCCCACCCACAGCCCCACCCACAGCCCCACCCACAACCCCACCACAACCCCACCCACAGCCCCACCCACAACCCCACCCACAGCCCCACCCCAACCCCACCCACAACCCCACCCACAACCCCACCCACAGCCCCACCCCTACAACCCCACCCACAGCCCCACCCACAGCCCCACCCACAACACCACCCACAACCCCACCCACAGCCCCACCCCAACCCCCCCACAACCCACCCACAGCCCCACCCACAGCCCCACCCCTACAACCCCACCCACAGCCCCACCCACAGCCCCACCCACAGCCCCACCCACACCCCACCCACAACCCCACCCACAACCCACCACCCACACCCCCACCCAACCCCACCACAACCCCACCCCAACCCCACCCCAACCCCCCACCCACAGCCCCACCCACAGCCCCACCCACAGCCCCACCCACAACCCACCCACAACCCCACCCACAGCCCCACCCACAACCCCACCCCACAACCCACCCACAGCCCCACCCACAGCCCCACCCCAACCCCACCCACAACCCCACCCACAGCCCCACCCACAACCCCACCCACACCCCACCCACAACCCCACCCACAACCCCACCCACAGCCCCACCCACAACCCCACCCAGCCCCACCCACAACCCCACCCACAACCCCACCCACAGCCCCACCCCTACAACCCCACCCACAGCCCCACCCACAGCCCCACCCACAACACCACCCACAGCCCCACCCACAACCCCACCCACAACCCCACCCACAACCCCACCCACAACCCCACCCACAACCCCACCCACAACCCCACCCACAGCCCCACCCCTACAACCCCACCCCAGCCCCACCCACAGCCCACCCACCCCACCACCCACAACCCCACCCACAACCCCACCCACCCCCCCCACAGCCCACCCACAACCCCACCTACAACCCCACCCACAGCCCCACCCACAGCCCCACCCACAACCCCACCCACAACCCCACCCACAACCCCACCCACCCCCCACCCACAACCCCACCCACAGCCCCACCCAACCCCACCCACAGCCCCACCCACAACCCCACCCACAACCCCACCCACCCCACCCCCACCCCTACAACCCCACCCACAGCCCCCCACCACAGCCCACCCACACCCCACCCACACATCCCCACCCACAACCCCACCCACAACCCACCCACATCCCCACCCACAGCCCCACCCACAGCCCCACCCACAGCCCCACCCACAGCCCCACCCACAGCCCCACCCACAACCCCACCCACAACCCCACCCACAGCCCCACCCACATCCCCACCCACAGCCCCACCCACAACACCACCCACAACCCCACCCACAGCCCCACCCCTACAACCCCACCCCTACACCCCCACCCCTACAACCCCACCCACACCCACCCACAGCCCCCCCACAGCCCCACCCACAGCCCCACCCACAACCCCACCCACAACCCCACCCAGCCCCACCCACAGCCCCACCCACAACCCCACCCACAACCCCCCACCCAACCCCACCCACATCCCCACCCACAACCCCACCCACAACCCCACCCACAACCCACCCACAGCCCCACCCACAACACCACCGACAACCCCACCCACAGCCCCCCCACAATCCCCACCCCTACAACCCCACCCCTACAGCCCCACCCCTACAACCCCACCCACATCCCCACCCACAGCCCCACCCACAGCCCCACCACAGCCCCACCCACAACCCCACCCACAACCCCACCCACAACCCCACCCACAGCCCCACCCACAGCCCCACCCACAGCCCCACCCACAACCCCCCCACAACCCCACCACAGCCCCACCCACAGCCCCACCCACAGCCCCACCCACAGCCCCACCCACAGCCCCACCCACAGCCCCCACCCACAGCCCCACCCACAGCCCCACCCCATCCCCACCCACCCCCACCCCACAACCCCACCCACACCCCACCCACAACCCCACCCACAACCCCACCCACAACCCCACCCACACCCCCACCCACACACCCCACCCACAACCCCACCCACAACCCCCCACAGCCCCACCCACAACCCCACCCACAACCCCACCCACAGCCCCACCCACAACCCCACCCACGCCCCACCCACATCCCCCCACAGCCCCACCCACAGCCCCACCCACATCCCCACCCACAGCCCCCCCCAACCCCACCCACAGCCCTACCCACAGCCCACCCAACAACCCCACCCACAACCCCCCCACAACCCCACCCACACCCCACCCACAACCCCACCCACAACCCCACCCACAACCCCACCCACAACCCCACCCACAACCCACCCACAGCCCCACCCACAGCCCCACCCACACACCACCCACAACCCCACCCACAGCCCCACCCCTACAACCCCACCACAACCCCACCCACAGCCCCACCCACAGCCCCACCCACACCCCACCCACAACCCCACCCACAACCCCACCCACAACCCCACCCACAGCCCCACCCACAACCCCACCCACAACCCCACCCACAGCCCCACCCACAACCCCACCCACAACCCCACCCACAACCCCCCCACAACCCCACTTACACCCCACCCACATCCCCACCCACAACCCCACCCACAACCCCACCCACAACCCCACCACAACCCCACCCACAACCCCCACCCACACCCCACCCACAACCCCACCCCACCCACCCACACCCCACCCACAGCCCCACCCACAGCCCCACCCACAACCCACCCACAACCCCACCCACAACCCCACCCACAGCCCCCCCACAGCCCCACCCCAACCCCACCCACAACCCCCACCCACAACCCCACCCACAACCCCAACCCACAGCCCCACCCACAGCCCCACCCACAACCCCACCCACATCCCCACCCACAACCCCACCCACAACCCCACCCACAGCCCCACCCACAACCCCCACCCACAACCCCACCCACAGCCCCACCCACAACCGCACCCACAACCCCCACCCACAACCCCACCCACATCCCCACCCACCCCCACCCACAGCCCCACCCACAGCCCCACCCACAACCCCCACCCACAACCCCACCCACAGCCCCACCCACAGCCCCCACCCACAACCCCACCCAAACCCACCCACAACCCCACCCACAACCCCCACCCACAACCCCACCCCAACCCCACCCACACCCCCACCCACAACCCCCCCACATCCCCACCACAACCCCCACCCACAACCCCACCCACAGCCCCACCACAGCCCCACCCACAACCCCACCCCAACCCCACCTCCCACGTCCGCCGCCCACCTGCAGGATGGAGACGATGACGCCGAAGAGGCCGATGGCGCTTCCGAAGATCTCCACGATGAGGATCTTGACGAAGAGAGAAGCGTTCTGCGCGTCGGCAAGCGCCGCTCCGCTCCCCACCACCCCCACGCACACTCCGCAGAACAGGTTCGAGAAGCCCACGGTGAGGCCGGCCCCGAACATAGCGTAGCCTGTCGGGAGAGGGGCAGCACACCACAACTATGTGCCAAAGTGCACTGCGGCACACAGTCATGCGAGCTATGCCGGCCTTGTGAAGTGCTTGCAACAGAGGTCGCAATCGGGTACCCGATACCCGTACCCTACCCGATACCCGGTTACCCGTACCCAGTCGGGTACGGGTACCCGTTTGCGACCCTGGTGCGGCCGGGTACGGGTAAGGAATCAAAACCCACTATGAGACCTCCTTTATCAGTGGCAAAATATAGTAGCAGGTTTTTACCCTTTAAACTGGTACAAAACTGACACCTTTATACAAGACATCATGTTTGCAATAACCACAACACAAGTAGTCAAAATGCAAACAAAAGGAAACAACTCTGATGATGATTATTGCAAACATGATGCCTTGTATAAAGGTGTCAGTTTTGTACCAGTTTAAAGGGTAAAAACCTACTACTGAATCAAAACCCGTTTGCGACCTCTGGCTTGCAAGCAGAACTCGCTCCAAAAGTCTGTTGAAGGCTATATGGGGGATCTTTGTTGTTGCTGTATTGTGCTGTACTGCGGCGTGCGTGCCGTGCCGTACCTGCGTGGTAGTTGCGGTTACCAATGAGCTCAGGGATGGCTCCTTTAAAAGGCTGCAACACAAAACAATAAACACAGGCATTTACAGACACGTACACACACGCAGAGCCACAAGTAAATCATACACAAGGATGCACACACGCATCGCCAAAAATAAACACGAACATATTCCGCTTCAGCGGTGGCATTTCGTTTGGTCGCTCACCTCGGCGAGGTTGCTGATGACGATGGCCATGATGATGCCATAGATGGCGACAGCTTCGCAGAAGATGATGCTGCATGGGAGAAGAGAGAGGCAGGGACCGAGAGCGGAGAGAGCGTTGGAGGAGACGTACCGACCGGTCACCGACATCAAAACAGCTTGAGGTACCTGACTGCTGGACGCCCCCTTTCACATCGTGGCCTCACGCTTTACACGCCCATGTGATGGGAAAACCTACCATCAAATCACCCGGACTGCGCCCCGGTCTCGTCAGATCACGGAAGCGAAGCAGCACTGGGCCTGGATAGTGCTGGGGGGATATGGATGACCACCAAGCACAACGGCTTGTCACGTAGCCATTGCCGTATATCCCGTGTTTTCTGACACGGCCCAGACCTTCTTCGCACGAAGCACTGGAACTTGTTGACGGACGCCTCCGATTTACCTACCCCGGTGCATAAACTGTCGTGAATCATAGCTCCGCTGAACCCAACCGGGTCACCTGACTGGGCATCTGGGGCTCACCTGACCAGGTTCTTGGTGCGGATGCGCGGTGCCTTCACTCCGCCGCCGATGATGCTCGAGCCGGTCATGTAGATGCCCCTGGTGAAGAACGCGAGCAGACGAATGTGAGAGCGCGCGTGGGGTGGGTGGGGGGGGTGCGTTCACGCTGTTTGCTTTGGGAGCCGCATCGACACGGCCGTGTGAAACTATCGAAATAATAGCGCTACCACCAAAGCGCGATAGTCAGCGGCAGGTCGGTGAAGCGTTCTCAAAATACACCAACGACCAATGGGGTGTCGGGGAGGCCTTCATCTAGCAGTGGATATATCACTGCTGCTCACGAGGCCGCACACAGCAAATTAAAATTGCAGTACGGTATTGTTACAAGTATTCACAATACAATAGAGTATGTACAAACAATTACGTTTATATGCACACGTACATAACAAGAGACGAGAAGCTATGACAGCGTACGTGGCACAAGCATCGCGCTGGGACGTGGCAAACTTGAGATTTCATAATCATAATACTTATTCATATTGGAGGAATAATTTGGTGAATGATCTACCGTCGAGACTCTTTGCCCACCCACAAAACCATTTGGGCAAGACCGGTAGACCCTGACAAGACTGGGTGGTGATCATAGGTAATTTGTGGAGTGTGTCCCTTAGCCGAGTGTCTGTATTTGCGGAAAAGTCGTTTGTGGCATCATTTTGCAGGGAAAACTGTGTACATTCTCATGGAAAAATATGCAGAAAACCAGTTTTCCGTGAATACACAAACCAGAAGTCATTGTCTGCACAAGTAAACGTGTGTATGTGTTTGTGTAAAGTGTTGATTGCTTGGCAAGGGCACAACACACCAACAAAAGCTCCTTCCCTCCCTCTCTATACGCGCATCATTTCTAAGCATGGCTCCAACAGCAGTGAACCTGTTTGGCCAAGATTCTCAGTCGTGTGTGCGCGCGAGCACACACCCACCAGACCAGTCTGACTCAAGCTGACTCAAGGTCACAGTAAAGCACACCGCAAGTCACATTCACGGGTCAGGACGGATGAGCAGATGAGAAGTTGATGTTGGGAAGGATGGCAGATTTGTTAGCCTTAGAACAATGAGATAATTAATCACATTATTACTATTAACCATCAGCGGCTGGGATCAATCCACTGATGGACAAAGACCTCACCAAGCTATCGCCATCTCTCACCAAATTGAACTTACAATGTAAATGTAATTACGTAAGTGTTACATATACAACCAATACGATACATTTCATAATAGTCCTGAATAAATATTCAACAGAAATAGTAAGCTCAACAAATACATTCCAATAAAATAACACCAAATACATCTGAATAAATTAGGAAACATTTATTAATTTCAGAAATCCACACCTACATGTCAAGATTTATTTTCGTTTTGGAATATACGCGTAAAATCAACTTCCAAAATCATAACAATAATGCGCCACCATCTAAACACTGCTCAAGGCTTCGCCAAGTCGTTGCCATCTCCCATGCATGCACCTCCCCCCCCACTCCCAATGTTTCTTTGCACAGTTTGCATCTTTGTTACATTATCATTGCGATTTTGTAAAAAAAAAACTTAAGGAACATACCCACAGAAGAATGTTTTTGTATTAGCGAGTATTTTGTTTTCCTGCTGTGAGATATGAATCAGAAACATGCGCCAAATATCCATCCACCCTCTATGTTTGATCTAGCGATAAGGCTGTTGGAGCCCCGCGCTGGCAGCTCCCATCTCGATCTCCCCTCCACCTCTCACCACCCCCCCCTCCACCACCCTCGCGGATCAGCTGACTGTGGTTTGAGCTCGTCCAGTCTGCAGTGCTCCGAATCCCACCCACCAGCTTTGCTCGGGTGCCCCTCCCTCTTTCATCTCAACAGTAATGTTTTTTTGTTATTTATAATCTATTGAAGTGCCCAAATAACTGCAGATTATGTTGATTTAAACTAAAACTATTTATTTTATTTTACAATGTAAGGCCCACTGACCTGGCCACAAAGTGGCTTACCATGTGGAAATTTATAGCGGCCAAATACTCTAAACGCATGTTTCTAAGTACTCTAAACGCATTTAGCCGGTGGCTAGGAGGTGGTCTCTGCGTCCCGATTGCGTTATCGTGCCCTGCGCATATTCGTTAGCTTCAACCGCATAATAAATTCGTGAACGAACACGTGAGTGAATGAGTGAGCGAACAAATGAACGTATGAGTGGGGCCTCTCACCAGGCAGCTCCGACCACGGACAGCGAAATGGCGAGGCCGATCCCAAGGTTGGCCCACATGTACGGGGACGTCTCGGTCAGGAACCTGACGGCAAGAGGACAAACGGCTTGTCGGCAAGTCACGGTTCCTCCGAGCCAGACGACAATGGAACACGGATGACACCAACAACGGCTGCACGCGGAATAACGCTTCACCACCGTCACAGTGGTGTAACAAATTTCGATTTAAAGCTTCGTGACTGCAGGGATTCATCTTCTTGGTTCTTTCGGTAAAGCCACGTATAAGGAAAATAATAAAATAATAAAACATAATAAAATAATTCTCACGACGTTTCGGGCCACAACGCAAGCAGCCGTCCTCAGGTGAAGAACAGGTCTGTCGGAAAGACAGCGTCATTCAAACGTCATTCAGACGCTGTCTTTCCGACAGACTTGTTCTTCACCTGAGGACGGCTGCTTGCGTTATAGCCGAAACGTCGTGAAAATTATTTTATTATTTCCCTTCTACGTGACTTTACCGAAAGAACCAAGAAGAAAAAAAAGAGTGATGTAACACTTTACCACATCGCCCGACTTGCAACCGGAAGTCTCGCGAGTTCAGATGCCGAGTCGGAGTTCAACTTAGCCCTTCGTTGCTCGGAGGTTGGCAAAACTCTGAGCCAGTATTTAAGTGGGACATTCACTACCTTATAAATGTTCATTCATTTATCAGCCACGTGGACAGGAAATAACAAAAAGGCTGGAATAATTAAGGGCGTGTGGCTACAGTGCAGCAATGAGTAAATTCTTGTGCAAACAAGGGGTCAATTGTTATGAATGCAGTTAGCATTGTTCTTAAGGGTCAAGCTGAGATGTCGATCACTTGTACATTTCTGACGATCCTCGGCAAAACTGTGACAATCAAACGTTTGTGCCACCGATGGTAAGGTGGAGGAATAATCACTGGTACATGTACAGTCCTTTTGTCAATCCACTGCTGGATGAAGTCGTCCTCATGCCATGTTGGTCATGGGGGTTGTTTGACCAAATGTCACCACGACACTGGTCAGAGCAAAATGGCAAAGGGAAAGGACACAGAACTGTTCCAGATATCACTCGCCAATTATGTTAAACCCGTGACGAGGATTCGAACTCGGCTCACCAGGTTTGTAGCACAAGTGCGATACGAATCCGGCAAACTTTTTAGAAAGGGCTTTTAGAAATTCATAAAAATGCGTAAAAAAAGAGGCAGTGAAAATGTAAATAATTGCGTAGACTCATTCATTCGAATTACAAGCCGTCACCTGCTTCATACAGCCGAAGTAGATCGCAGAAAGCTAACGGTGGTATGGAAAATAATTAACATTTTCAAGCGATTTATCACTGGGATGATGTTTGCACTTTGAGCAAAGACAGTATTAACCCAATTTCTCCACATTAAAACATGGAACAGCATCACTATACAACACTGCACATTAGCCTTTCATCGATTGGTATCATATCATGAACGTTTACGCAAAACCGTTCGTATTAAACGGCAAAAAAAATCGGCTGTGTCAATGATTAATGTTTTAGGTCATAACCACGGTACAAGTATTTAAAAAATAACCTCGGTAAAACTCAAGTAGTCACGCAATCCACAAAGCTAATAGGAGCACTATCTGTGAATGTCGTGCTCAATCCACTGCTGGAATGAAGACCGTCCCCATGCCGCGTCGGTTGTGTGGACTGATCGACCAAATTCCATTGAGCCGATTATTTTTACAGCCCCGTTTGTATTGCCTATCACCGATGTTCTGCCGCTTTTGTTTAAACTCATTCATACCTTCAACCCACAGGTTAATATTCGCATAAATTTGTATGAAACCCTAAAACAATTGATTCTTACATGGCCCATGCAACGCACGCATCATGGGTGTTATAAGCTATAATTTTAATAGATGCGTCGTCACATGCCGAGAGGGTGCATCGCAACTCCAGCGGCTAAGCACTCTCTCACTCTTACAGAGGCTGCAGGCAGTGGTGGCCTAATGGCTCAGAAGTGAGAGCACAGAACTGGCTTTCAATTATGGGTTAGACTCCGGACACCACCTGTGATTAAAGCAGGTTTCCGTGTGGTGCGATGGTGACCAGTGACTGAGAGAAACCCATACATTGCTAGACGAGACCCACAAACTCGTAATGAGATATCTATAGATAACAGGTTTTTTTGGGGTTAGATCGTGTAAATATATAAATGTGTCATTAAACCCACCACCACCCGACACAGCCAACTAGTAAGGGTTGTCACGTAAACAGAACGCAGAACGTGGCCAATTCGTCACTAGTACAGCACTAACCGGTGTGTTGGAGAGCCAAGCCACAACATTTACAATCTGAGTATGACGTTTCGCCAGTAATTACAACTAGCTTCACCCCTCCCCACTTGCATCAAGTGGGGGGGGGGGGGATTAATGAATGCATATAAATGACTATGGGTATCTATAGATTTAAAGATTAAAAACCAGGTTCTCAATTCGAGTCGACGGTCTCATCCCGGTCACCAATGACTGCACAAAATAGTCCCATAAAATTTGGATCTGCACTTAATTTTTTATGAATTCCAGCTATAGTTTCAAATATCGGTGTGGCTATCATGTGATGACCATTACTCTCTGTAATGTTTGAAGCAGAGGTCACTTTAAGGGATTTCAGAGGTAGTCAGCCATGAGGCCAATCACAAGTACACTGTGGTTGCAATGTTATGAATAGACACAATTACAAATGTAATTGAAGACACACCTGGAGGCTGTTCTACGATATCCACTTCCACGGCCATCCTCAAACTGTTGCTCTGATAAAACTTTTGAATGGATTGCTTAGCGTCATGAAGCATACAACACCAAAGGCATCATCAGAAACAAATTGGTTACAAAGTAAATTTTTTTTTAAACAATGCAGTTCAAGAAACCAATGACCAAGGGCACTGGGCATCTGAGGGCGGACGCGACCTGCCACCGTCACACATCTCCCTCTCCCCCCCCCCGTTGCGCACTGTTTACAGTAAGCGTCTGGCATCACTAGCGCATGCACGTATACACACATACACGCATGCACGGTGAGCCTGCCCCACCGAAAAGCAGCCACAACCGGCACGGGCCACCGCTAAAACCGCCCCATAGCAGTCGAGTCCTCACCATCCGATGTCGAACCGGAATCCGAGGTCGAAGATGGTGTAGCAAATCCTTGGGGGGTGGTGGGCAGGAGGGAGGGAAATGCACGAATGGGTTAGCGTGGTGGGATAATCGGAGGTTTCAATGCTTGTTCAGGTATTTTTGTTCACGTCACACATGCCGGCGTTCTTTTAGAATGAGCGTCGCGAAGGTGGGAAGGTGTGATGGCAGGCTGAGGGAAAAACAAAGTGTTAAATCAGTTCCAAAATTAATGAGCTTACGACCAATTCACTTGAAATGCACACACGTCACAGAAATGACAAGCTAAGCAGGGCTGAATCGTGTAAAGTGCAGTTTCCAACTCTTATTATCCACTCTATATCTTTGGCCTATTTATGTGTGAAGGGTCATTTCCCAAAACGTTGCCTATTATATATTTGCCAAAGCAGCTGCATCACCAAATACGTCTTCCTTTTTTCCTTTTAAGTAGTGTGTTGCATGTGGAAAGAAACCAGAGTACCCGCAGTAGACACACCAAGCACAGAGTGGATAATAACACTCAAATCTTTGCACCGATGTGTTAGCAATGAACAAAGTGTATGTCAGTGTCATACTGTGCCAAAATAAAGCACAACAGTAATCAACCCACAGTGAATGTTCACGTGGCTCCATGATAAAAAAGTACTAAATACATCCACAATTAATCTCGATAGGTCCCGTAGTTAATCACCAAGAAACCCATGGAATATGTAACGTTACCATCATGGTTAAATAAAGAAAAATCGTGATTTAACTACCACTACCATGATTGGAATAACACCAAGAGACAGACAAGCAACACGTGAACTTCGAGTATAAGCTCAAGTTAGAGAGACATCTCATAGACTATTACGAAAGGGAAGTGAGCTTGGGGCGGACACCGCGAGAAGGGGCGCAGTCGGTGGTCGAAGGGGGATGACAGAGTAGCAGCCAAAGGAGGGAAACGCATCTGGGGGTGGTGGAAATGAAATCAGCGAGATGGATTGTTGCATCGCAAAACCGTGAGAGATGGCAATGGTTCGGGGGAGGCCCTCATTCCAGCAGTGGGATTTATCATGGCTGGCGACGATGAGCGATGAACTCTCAGTGAATGTCAAATAAAATGTGCATGGTTCAGTAAAGGTGCGAGTGGTCGTGCACCCGGGTGAACTCAATGTGGACATCAAGCTTCAAAGTCAATCTCAATGCTTACTCATGGCCAAAGCAAGGAGACATAACGAAAGCAAATCTCTGCGTGTCTTGAATGGTTCATAAAGGACTCCACTCGTCCACTGTGGATGACCATACGCCAATTTCAATTAATCTACATGTCGATGTATCACCCAAGTTGAATTAAGAACGTACCAAAACATAAAGGACAATCGCAAAGAATTCAGCGAATGCCAAAGCCCCCGTGACCACAGCACAAGACATCCACAACATGCCTCCACATCGGCAAATAAAAGGGCACATAAAACACCATCAATCTCCACGTGACCCCCCACCCACAGCCCCCCAATTGGTTGAAGAGAAGAGGTCCACTCGCTTTGATTAACATGCGACCAGCGGCAAAAATAACGTGCAAAACAGTCATCACGGTGAATCCGAATACTGTCCTCCCCCCGTGGTCCACTAAAGGACGTGGTCACCATAAACCCCGTGGTTATACCAAGGACTATAAAACACTATGCAACCAATGGTTAAATAAATGGTTAAATAAATGGTTAAATAAAGGGGAACCATCATAAACGCGTATAATTCGTACTGACCCCACACGTTGGTGAAATAAGGGGGCATATCAAGACGTATATCGGTGGGCACCAAGTCTAAATGAAGGTCACGTCAAGGCACACACACAACAGGTAATAATGTCGGTGGTTAGATCCCGGACTCACCCACGATGGTGAGCGTGCTCCAGAAGGCGAGCGAGACTCCGCCGTAGAGAAGAGAGAGCGCGGCCATGGCTGTCAGCACAAGGAACACAGCAGAAGCAGCAGAAGCAGCAGCCCTCATCAATGACCACAAGCCACTCGTCACGACAACAACTGCAATCACCAATCGTTACAACACCACGGCAATTACGAAGCGCGTCTCTCTTGGTCGGGCATTAAATCAGCGTTTGATGAATTCTAGAAAGCCGTGGGGAGCAGGTCCTTGGGTGAGGCCTTCACCCAGCAGTGGACAGAGCATGGTTGACGGTGGCGATGAGACTGATGAGACTGATGAGAGAACTTAATGAGCCCTGCGTCTAGCAGTGGAGAGATTACGGTCGATGGTGATGACGACGATGATCGTGGGACGATGAGTGACGCCACTTAAGAGAGGCCTTCACCCAGCAGTGGACAGGGCATGGTTGACGGTGGCGATGAGACTCATGAGACTGATGTGAAGACTTAATGAGCCCTGCGTCTAGCAGTGGAGAGATCACGGTCGATGGTGATGAAGACGATGACCGTGGGAGAGGCCTTCACCCAGCAGCGGATAGAGCATCCGCGATGACCCCAGGCCCCCCACTCCTCACCTGGATACCGACAGCCCCGGATCGCTCAAACCTTTTCCGACTCTACGGACCCCCGTAAATAACTACGACGACGATCGTGTAGCTTGTGCTTATTCTACAATAACTACTACTTACTAATGATGATGATGTTTGAGCGTTAATCTCCAATCGTTAATTTCTCCCTCCCCGGTCGCCGTCTCTCTCGCTTCGCTTCTTCCTCTGGCCGGGGACCGTCTCTGTCACGTGACTTCGTGACGTCCGCACGCACGGCGCACGTGACTCCGGTGATGGGATGACGTCACGATTTTTTGTTGTTAAACTCCTCCCCCCCTACTCACCCCCTCCCCACTCACCCCCTCCCCACTCACCCCCTCCCCCACTCACCCCCCCACTCACCCCCTCCCCACTCACCCCCTCCCCACTCACCCCCCCACTCACCCCCTCCCCACTCACCCCCCCACTTACCCCCCTCCACTCACCCCCCCCACTCACCCCCTCCACTCACCCCCCACTCACAACCCCCCCACTCACCCCCTCCCCACTCACACCCCCCCACTCACACCCCCCCACCCCTCCACCCCCCACTCACCCCCCCCACTCACCCCCTCCCCACTCACCCCCCCCCCCACTCACCCCCCCACTCACCCCCCTCCACTCACCCCCCCCCACTCACCCCCCCCACTCACCCCCCCACTCACCCCCCCCACTCACCCCCTCCCCACTCACCCCCCCCCACTCACCCCCCCACTCACCCCCTCCCCACTCACCCCCCCACTCACACCCCCCCACCCCTCCACCCCCCACTCACCCCCCCCACTCACCCCCTCCCCACTCACCCCCCCCCCACTCACCCCCCACTCACACCCCCCACTCACACCCCCCACTCACCCCCTCCCCACTCACCCCCCTCCCCACTCACCCCCCCCCCCCACTCACCCCCCACTCACCTCCCTCCACTCACCCCCCCCACTCACCCCCCCCACTCACCCCCCCACTCACCCCCCTCCACTCACCCCCCCCCACTCACCCCCCCACTCACCCCCCCCCACTCACCCCCCCAATCACACCCCCCACTCACACCCCCCACTCACCCCCTCCCCACATCACCCCCTCCCCACTCACCCCCTCCCCACTTCACCCCCCCACTCACCCCCCCACTCACCCCCCTCCACTCACCCCCCCACTCACCCCCCCCCACTCACCCCCCCACTCACCCCCCTCCACTCACCCCCCCCCCACTCACCCCCCCCACTCACCCCCCCACTCACCCCCCCCCCACTCACCCCCCTCCACTCACCCCCCCCCACTCACCCCCCCCACTCACCCCCCCCACTCACCCCCCTACTCACCCCCCACTCACCTCCCCCCACTCACCCCCCCCCACTCACACCCCCCACCACCCCACTCACGCCCCCCCCACTCACCCCCTCCCCCACTCACCCCCCCCCACTGTCACCCCCCTCCCCACTCATCCCCCCCCACTCACCCCCCACTCACCCCCCCACTCACCCCCCCCCTCCCACCCCCTCCACACCTCCACCCCCACTCACCCCCCCCCCACTCACCCCCCCCACTCACCCCCCACTCACCCCCCCCCCCCCCCCCACCACCCCCCACTCACCACCCCCCACTCACACCCCCCACTCACCCCCCTCCCCACTCACCCACTCACCCCCCACTCACCCCCCCACTCACCCCCCCCACCACCCCCCCCACTCACCCCCTCCCCACTCACCCCCCCTCACCCCCCACTCACCCCCCCCACTCACCCCCCACTCACCCCCCCCCACTCACCCCCCCCTCACTCCCCCCCCTCACCCCCCACTCACCACCCCCCCCCCCCACCCCCCCCCACTCACCCCCCCCCACCACCCCCCCACTCACCCCCCCACTCACCCCCCCCACTCACCCCCCCTCACCCCCCCCCCCTCACCCCCCTCCACCACCCCCCCCCCCCCCACTCACCCCCCCCACTCACCCCTCCCCCCCCCCCCCCCACACTCACCCCCCCCTCACAGCATACCCCACCCCGCACTCACCTCCCCCCACTCACCCCCCCCCCCCCACTCACCCCCCCACTCACCCCCCCCACTCACCCCCTCCCCCCACTCACACCCCCCCACCCGCCTCCCCACCATCCCCCCCCACTCAACCCCCCACTCGCACACCCCCCACTCACCCCCCCCCACACGCCCCCACTCACACCCCCACCCCTCCACCCCCCACTCAACCCCCCCTCCCACTCACACCCCCCCACTCACACACCCCCCACCACACACGCCCCCCCCCCCCACTCACCCCCCCACTCACACCCCCACTCACACCGCCCACAATCACCCACCCCTCCCCACTCACCCACTCACCACCCCAATTCCACACCCCCCACTCACCCCCCACTCACCCCCACTCACCCCCTCCAACTCACCCGCACCCTCCCCGACTCACACCCAACCCACTCACCCCCCCACTCCCCCACTCCACTCACCCCCCCGCACTCACCCCCCCCACTCACCCCCCACTCACCCCCCCCCCACTCACCCCCCCCCCACTCACCCCCCCCCTCACTCACCACCCCCACTCACCCCTACCACCACTCCCTCACCCCCCCCACTCACCCCCCATTCACCCCCCCTCCACTCACACCCCCCACTCACCCCCTCCCCACTCACCCCCACCTCACACCCCGCACTCACCCCCTCCCCACCCCCCTTCACACCCCCCCACACCCCCCCCTCCACTCACCCCCCCACTCCCCCCCCCCCCCCCCCTCCCCCCCCCCCAACTCCCCCGCACTCACCCTCCCCACTCACCCCCCCCCCACTACCCCCCCACTCCACCCCCCACTCACCCCCCTCCACTCCCCCCCCCACTCACACCCCCCCACCACCCCCCCCCACCCACCCCCCCCACTCACCCCCCCCCACTCCACCCCCCCCACACCCCCCACTCCCCCCCTCCCCCTCCCCCCCCACTCCCCCCCCACACCACACCCCCCACTCACCCCCCCCACTCACCCCCCACTCACTCCCCACTCACCCCCACTCACTCCCCACTCACCCCCCCCCCACTCACTCCCCACTCACCCCCCCCCCCCACTCACCCCCACTCACTCCCCACTCACCCCCCCCCACTCACCCCCACTCACTCCCCACTCACCCCCCCCCCCACTCACCCCCACTCACTCCCCACTCACCCCCCACCCCTCCACCCCCCCCCCCACCAAGACGTGACTTCATGTCCACCCAAATAACTTCTTCAATCGTGAGCGGTGATGACGTCGGCACGTCGGATGTTTGCGAGATTGTCCCGCGGGCAATGACGTCGCGGAGGCGCGAGGCGAAAACGCGATGACGTCATACACGCGATCAATGAAACTGCTCTGGAAATGACGTCACAATCAAGGTTGACGTCACTCCTTCGGGAACGTCACTGCGGCAAAAATAACTACGGCGAGCGGGGAGGGAGGATGGCGGTGATTTTCGCGTTTTAATATTACGACGTGTTGATTTAAGCGATTTAAAATATATACTTTTTACTGTATTCGATTGTTTACAAAGTTGTGTTTATGTGAGCGAAAGCTATCACTCGCATTCGTCGAATTCTAAATTAATATTGACAACCCGATTAGTTGTCTTGGCAGTTTTTCATTCATAGTCGAGGCTTATTAATTACGAAACATTAAATAAGCAGCCTTAGTATCTATCTCTCCACATAAAAAAAATACCGTGTTTGTAATACAACCCATTAGTTACACGATCGTCCGGGAGGGCATCATTTACAACAGCATTGATTCAAATCCGCGTTCAGATGCGCTTCTGTGGTGGCCGTCTGGAACGCTCTTCCGATATTCGGGAGCCACTGGGAGCTTTGTAGTTTTAAATCGTCTAGCTTGACAAACTAATTGATTTAAAACTGCTTTTTGTATTCAGTTTGTTGCCCTTCCCCTGCACCTCCGATTAGCACGGTTGTCTACGTACGGTGCGAAAGAAGTTCAACACAGAGCATCAAAACCACCGAGGCTTTACGGGCTACCAAAAATTCACAAACCTGATGTCCCATTAAGACCCATAGTTAGTACAATAGGCTCTGACACCTACAAATTAGCACAATACGTAACGAAACAAATACAGGCCTACATCGGTAGGACCTCTTCATTCATAAAAAAAAAATTAACCCGTAAAAACAAAGTTTTTCACTATAAATCCTTTATATGCGTGGCGGCTAGAGTCCTCTCGTCCTCTGGCTTGAGATGGCTGCCACCTATGGGTCAGATGATTGCCAGTATTAAGCAATTGGTAATTAAATATTTAATTTGTTTTCCCTAAACAATGTAAAATTTAGGGAAAAAATTTCACAAACATTAATTGTCTCGCACAACGAGTCTGTGTGGAAAATGTCAGCTCGATTGGATCACGGGAAGTGGGTTAAAAAGCGACCGAAAGATTTGCACGGTCGTAAGCGCGCAAGCAAGTGAACTTAATATAAAGGATTTTTAAAAAATCTGAACATCTCGAAAATATAATTAAAGATATTAATCTTAATCCTAATGATATTCTCGTAAGTTTTGATGTTACCTCTGTGTTCACGATGGTTCCGGTCAACGAGTCAATTAAATTACTCGATACTCTGGTAACGAACAAAGGTTTAGCCAAAGATATCCCAAGACGAGATGAACACTGTCTAAAGAACACCTACTTCTTGTGGCAAGGTGACTTCTATAAACACAAGTAAGAAGCAGCAATGGGCTCTCCTTTGTCTCCTGTGATTGCGAATTTGTACATGGAAGATTTTGAAACAAAAGCAATAGCTTCAAGCACACTAAAACCATCTGCTTGGTTGAGATATGTGGATGACACATTGGTGGTCGGGCCACACGGCAAAGATACACTGAACGCATTTCTAAATCATCTCAACTCGTAAAACCCATTCCATCCAGTTCACCATGGAAGTGGAAGCTTACAGAAGTCTACCATTTCTTGATATTCTGCTCGGACGGGGTAGAAATGGTAAAATAACACACGGTTCTAGATTTGAAGCTTTCGTGACTGCAAGGATTCATATTATTAGGTTTTTTCAGTAAAGTCAAGTACTTGATACAGCTGTCGTGGCTGTGACGGTTCCACCTGAAGACGGAAGCTTGTGTTGCCTCCGAAACGTCGTGATTTTTATTTTATTTTACTTTTATTAATTTTAATGTTTTACCTACGTGACTTTACCGAAAAAACCTAAGAATATAACACACGGTGTTTACCGAAAGAAAATGCATACTGACGCCTATCTGAATGCAGAGTCA